ATCCTAAAAGTATCTTGTTCCCCGTCTTTTGCAAATCCGGGTCGTAGGAGTGGTTGGTTGATGTACGGTAAAAGCCGACAGACTCATCTGTCGTGCTCCCTTGCTTATATAATTTAATAACAATAGACCGGACTCGGATATTAACTTGAAGTACCGCCTCGGTTCCTCGAGCTCAATGTATTTACAAAAGACAGGCGCATGATCCTTCTGGTAACGAATATTTCTCGAGAGAAACCTCAGGCGCGTGCTGTAAAACTCCAGCAGTTGAAACAAAACCGAAGGATAAGTCAAGGTGTGCAGTTTTGTGTGCACTTCATGGTAGTGAACCTGACTCGGAAAGTGATATTTAGCCCCTCGATGTTGATGGTTCCATGACTGGCAAGCAACAGTGACATATTGTCATACTAGGCACAGCATGCCAATCGCCGTTCCTTTCTCATTCCATTGTTCAGCATATTCATCAACTCGACTTTGTCATATATAACGATCATTTCCACGGTCATGTCAGGACGTCTGTTTCATCGATACTGTACAGCATCATGATCAGGCATGCTTCTGCACGGAATGGAGCTTGAATGAACCCCAGCTCTCCCCACAAGCCGGTCTCCATCTTTTCCTGTGCTTCCTTCGAGGAACGGTGGCAGTGAGCATGTATAAGACTACTCCACCTATCAGGAATGTATTCCTCGCCACGTTTTATCACAAAATTTGAAAAATCATAGAAATGGGCTTAGAATATTGTGGTTAAGTATCAGGAGAAGACTATAGACTTACTCTAGCATCTGACATTCGCAGAACAAGAACAGACGGATATCAATTCAAGAGTGCTACCGTGCAGCGGAGATAGTCGAACAAGTTTCAACCGTGTCCCTTACTCGAGCGCTGCAACATCATAGTGCCTAGCAGGTATACTTGGCATCGTTGTTGCCTTCCTACTCAACTCACGGCGGGCCTGTTATCTACATCTCTGACAAATTCCTCTAAGGTCGTTCACAGCTGTACACGGAGGTGCCCCAGTTCTCATGCCCCTCATTACAGGTATACTATATTTACATCCGTTATGATTGGACCTAGGCTCATCTTTCTTGGCAGGCGTGCTGTAATCGCTGATTTTGGCACGTATGTTCCATAATCGGTTTGTTCAGTGTTCCTTATAGTTTACCATAGTACTGTCAGGTCAAAGTCAAATGCAAGTTCATCATTATCTGTCACTTGCTTTTCTGATTCTGATCTTTCATGCTATGAACCGATGACGGTTTCAAAGCACTCCAGGTCTACGCGGTCCGGAACTTTCCAGTACAATGACAATGTGAAAATCTAGCGACAGGCAGGGCTATCGCGACTACTGTACGCGCAGTGACATGGTTCAATGATTCTTAGTTTTGTTTCAAGGGCAGTCGTACTGATATATATCCATGGATTACAAACAGCCTGCGTTACTGCAATTCAGTCCCATCTTAAACTTGCAGAAGGTGTTATCGTAATTCCCATGTACAAGTAGGCCAAGCCAGGGCACATTTCTTTTAAGGGTAACTTTAAAGTGGCATATTTAGACAATCGAATTATAGGGAATTCGCTGTTTACATTCAATGGTACATGAGGGAGTGCAATGGTTTACCGTTGGAGCATTCCATTCAAAGTATAAATTAGGACTAAAAGAGTGGACGCCGTTCATGGATATCGCTTAGGCTCGAGCAGAGTGCTAAGGAAGGAAGTCACTAGGAACTTTACGATCACTGTCAGACGTTTCTGCCCGCGATGGTGGATCGTCGAACTTGGATATTATGGTCCTTTCCACGTTGACTTGCATCTTGAGAAAACGTTGTAAGTATAAATTTACAAAGATGCTTATTCAAGACATACCGGTAACGAGTCGGTGGGACTGGCCACGTTCTGCCTTAGTGGGAGTTGGTGGAGGCGCATCTAGCAAATCATGGAATTTTAGTCAATGCTTGCGTTGGTATACGAAGGACTCACGAAATAACTTCTACGGGAATCTCCTTCTCTACCATCGAAATTATCCGGGAAAATGATAGGAAGTGGATTGCTGCCCGATGGTGTGCCTTGAGAGCGCTCTTCTCGTAGACGTTTTCGTGAATTCAAGCTATAAAATGCAAATTATCGACATGGATGGTAGGATCTAACAGAGCAAAGAAACATACGTTGCCAGCAACGAATTGGCGTAAACTGGATAGAAAATATTGAGTGAGCATGAAAATTCACAATACATGGAACGTCCGGAGTGCTCACATTTCCCTATCACAAAATGGAGACCCAAAAATATTCGATTTTGAGGCATCGTTAGCCACTGGAATCTCATCAGCTTCAGCCCAAAAAAGATTGCAAACCTGTACCTACGCAAATCAGCGATGCAACGGCTGCAATACTACAACTATGTATCAATATATCAGTTTGTACTTAGCTGCAGCTATACATACGATGTAATAGAACCGTTCTGTACTGCATACAATGTTAGAGTATCTATAATCCGATTTGTGCTTTCATTCCAGATATGAGTAGGTTCGCTTTTGAAAAGGTAGCAACATACCTTGAAATTGATGAACGGCTTAATCGCAAGAAAAAGCAAAGGAAGATCGTAGTCATAACGTCTACGGCGACCGAGAGAACCAGTCCTAGGGTAAAAACCCACTATGTCTACTGTTGTACTTCGTCAAATCCAACGGCGACGGAAGAAAGTAACTCACGGATGGAAAAGTGCGATCAAAGTACGTGTATTGTTTCAGCTTCAGCCTGACACTGACTTCAGAATGATCAAAACTATATGGAGAAAAAATTTCCTACATTTCTCCCATGGATACTGAAGAACAAACAAAGGACAAAGTGAAAATTAGTAGATGGACACGATCGTGGAGGGCCTATCTTACTGCTAGCGGCCACTGCATATCCGTATTAGCTCTATGGTACCCCCGTTACATGAATGCACTTACCAAGTCGACAGAACGCAAGTAAAGCCTATAAAGGGAAGGTAAAAATTTGTATATATATATATAGGGAGCACTCATACAAGAGGACCTGCGACCGTCAGCTTCTTTTTGCTTACTAGCGAGTCGTGTTAGGCAGATATGAGAAAGGATAGAGTCGAAAGGACTTACGCCTATATATCCGGTATGCGAAGAAACTAGCACTGGGTTTTAGCTATCTCATAAGGCCACCATGTATTGGACTGACCTTTGAACCACAAAGGTGAGCATCGCCTATAGAACAACATGAGTAATTCACCGACTCGTGAAGTCCAAATGTGTAATACTTACAGTTAGTTCAACAGTAGGCTAAACCGCAGATCAACGAGAAAGAAGGTCAGCAAGACCTAAAGGAAATGCGGGCAATATATGCTCACGCCAACGCTCCTGCACAATGTAGGATCATAGATTAAACATACACGTTTTGTGCGAAAGTTACACTTACCATGGGATGCGATCTTGTCTCGAAACATCACCATACTGGACTATGATGGAATCCCATAACGCAGCACAAATAAACGCTGAATGACAGAGATCCAGGAGCCTGCCTCAGATAATTGAGTTAATTAAGCCACAAAGAGCTCCTGGATACCGGAACGGACCAGATTGAAACAACCTATGTAGCCAGGTATTAAGTTGATCCCGGAAAACAATATGGTGCCACATACCATTGTCTTATTACGCGGTGAATCAGATGGGTATGTCCTACAATACACTATGAACTGCATACCAACACAACCAGAGAGGCTGGTCAAGTATTAGTTTCATATAAGACAAACTATGAGTTGCAGAATACAACTTGCCCGAAAGCCAGGAGACCACCAATAAGCAGAGCACCATAGTCACTCGCGACGTCGCTCGTAACCATACTCCAAGAGTACAAAACCAAAGTGTAAGATGGGGAAAATAACCGGAACTACCTGTGTCAGGTTACGATAAGTAGACCTATATATTACCACCCTCCCGCCACTGTGGTACATAGCCGGAGTGTGAAGATGCGACTCATCCGGCTCATACGTCAAAACGAGCACAGCTACTTACTATTTAATGATGTAAAATTCATCGTGGGATCCTCACACTTCCCGAACTTAGAGTGTTAGTAGGCCATACATGTGCCTATCAGTAGTCGGATCGCTATAGGAGCCGAGGGAAAGAACAAAGTTAGCAAATGAAAACAGAGAAAGGATTAAACCTGCCACTTCCGCCGATCACCCCTTCGTTCATCCACTCGCTACAAGCAAATCTAGGCCAACGCAAAGACTTCCATTTGGCTGCGCTATTCAAAACACTTTTAGATCCTCATGATAGGAGATCGATGGAATTAAGCGGGTTGATGGCGGCGACACAACATTGTGGCAAGGGCGCTATGGGAGTAACAGTTTGCGATGATTCAAATGCTTCTTACCTTTAGAGCCATGCTAGTATGGACCTTAAACAAATTCAATCGGATCGCACGCACAACGCCAGTTATAACGTCGTGTGCAATTGGTGGATCACAATAGTACGCGAATTTAACGTGGGGGTTCGCTTCCCCATATCTATGCAGAAGGCAGTGATGCTGAGAAATTCGGAAAGCTTAATGTAGAGAAGCCACTCTAATCTAGGGGCAGTCTGTCACGAGCTCTGCACCTGAATCGTCAGCTTTCACACATCGCTTGCCATGATAAAAACATACGCCTAGACTTTCCAGTGAGAATGCTGGGGCCCTCATGAGAATATGTTCTTTTGTTTAAAAAGCTGATTGGATACAACTTAGTAAACTTCGTCGTATTGTTGAATTCTGTTGTAGAAATCCATTAGACTGGCGAGAATACTCAAGGTACCCCTTCGATCATCACGGCTGATGACCTCGGCATGTTCCTAAGTTGGAGAATCTCAGTGACAGCCTGAGAGCTCTGAAGTCTAACCACTTACGATAAGTTATCAACCAGGCGAACTTCAAATTCAAAACATACTGTAGCCTCTAGGGTTTGCCTGTTGCCTGAGAAAGACCTTTAACTATATATCCAATTTGACGAGATAATTGAATTTGATGCATTGTAGGCGCAAGATCCATGTTTCGCCACAGATAATTTTGTAAATGAGATTGGATCGAAGAGCAGTACAGTTAACAACCTAATTTCGCGCGGCATAAAGCACGGTGGCAGCGATCATACGAATGATATGAAGAAAATCAGAAAATCAACAGTTCGACTCAACTCGAGGCTATGGCTATATCTATTGATAAGAATAGCAGAAATAATCACACTGCTAAATGGTCCATGGACGTATGCTGTTCATTTGATCGTTCTAAAGATGAGTTCGAAGGACTTTATATAATTGTCGAAATGAGGGTCCAGCGGACAATCATTACCAAGTAACTGATGTACTCCATAACCTGCAAGTATGTCATATTTATAATCACAGTGAAAAAAAGGGAATAAAGACATACATAATGCTGTAGACACAACGAGAAGATCAGTCGGAAGGCAAGTGTTCTAAACAAAACTCCGCGCGCGTCAAAAAGCCTAAAACTCGAGTCTTCGTTGAATTTCGTTGATGAAAGCTACCCTGGAATAGCCAGCGGCATACGTTGTCCTTGTGCGGTAATTCGGGCCACAGTCAAGGTCATGCGCCATAAGCTGACTTGAGCAACGTTGTAAACGGTCGTTGACTACGATAATAAGGGCAAGGCAGGTCGGCTGGGCGGTAATGTGTTCGTCTGCATAACTCATCCCCGTTTAACTTCAAGAAGAAGCCCAAAAGACTAACTAGAGATGCAATGGCATCACCAAACGACCGCTATTAGTTGCTATCTATACGATGCATCCTGTTCATTACTCGCCTCAGTCACTTGCGCTAAACGTCCAGTACTTCACAAAACGCCTGTACAGGAAATTTGAGTCTATACTCGGCTTGTCCTTTTTATCGCCCTTGAGAAAGTTTCATAGAGCTCCGATACCAAAGGGCTGTTTTCAATTGCGAATGAATGGCATGAAATTTCAGAGGGCGATGACGATGTCTCTGCCTCGACTCCCACAGGTATTCCCCAGCCGTTCTGAAGAATGTAATTGAAACGATTATCAGACAGGTAATAACATGCGTTGTAGAGACAACTTATGGAATCAACTTATATGTGTGGTGGCATTTCCCACCACCCAGCTGGCGGGAGTAAATCGGAGCATTCCGTGTATACCCAACGACATGACAGTAGTCAACTATTTACAAATCAACAACGAAGGAGAAAACCTGAGTCATTCCGAGCAATGCATTACATAAAATATCATAAGATAAAAACACAAACAGTACGTTGCAGTCGTGCCCAAATTCGTGTAAATGAAATCGTTATAAGGAAACCTGAGAAGGGAAATCCATAGCAATGAAGACACTGTCCAGGATGTAGCTGAGAAAATGATCAAAGAAAAAGCAAGCAAAAAAAATAGGGGGTGAGATGCAACACGTTAACCAGTAAGGGTAAGGCGAAGCCAAATCTTCTAGCTGAACTATCCGGGTGAACAATCACGCAATAAGCGGGCCCCGCATGCCATCGCCCCGACGAGCTGCAGTAATTCCACGGAAGATGGTTACCAGGATAGCAAACGTGACAAGAATCCTGAGAATGGGACAAGGTTAAGATGACATTTACAGTATAGTATGAGTATGGATAGGTACCAGATCACCCAAGCAAAACCTTCTAGAGCATTCAACTGCCCACAATAGACGAAAATATTTTGTGTGCTGGACGGAATTTGAGGTTAGGGTAAGTAGAGAATAGTGGAACACAGTACTAACGTGCAGTTAAGCCCTCCACCGAGTGCTGCCGTGATACTCGCTGCACCAGCTGTCCAGAATATCCAAGTGATCGAGAGGCTGTGGTTATGAAAACGTTAAAACGCGATTTAATAGCAGATGGATGAAGGCTCACAAAAGTATATGAGAAGCGACGCTGCTGAAGATTCCAGATGGCAAAAAGAAGAAAAAGAACATGTATAGGGCGGAGAAAACCACGGTCCATATTGAGGCGAATAACAAGAAACGAGTTCGGTCCCGTTCATCAACGCTGAAATAGTTGTGGTTGGCGTCGAACCTCGAAGTTAACCACGCAGATATGGCAAGCTGGTGAAGTATGATATTTAGATAAAGTAATGTACCAACTGTAACAAGTTTCTCACTTCGATTATACTGAAAAAGATAATCAAGGAGAACACGACTGGGTGGAGTCACGTTAGACATCTCGTTTGAATTACTCTATTAAACACTGACTTGGGTGGCCCCTGCGGACATGATTGTCGAACGCCATAAATCGTTAGATCGTGATAAAAGGTAAGTTTTATGTGTTTTGTATGCTGGTGTGGATATAAGACTGGTGCAAAGAGCGAGTGCTCCAAAAAAGCAGGAATATTACGACTTGAACCGCGCCACCATGCGTTGAACAGAAGGCGCAGCAAACGTGGCTATGCCGGGAGTCTGGCGATCTCGTGACGTCACTAGAAAAACCTTCCGTGCTTGGTCTCGGCCTATTGCCACTGACCAGTACTGACTTTTGGCGTAGAGCTAGAGCATCACGGTTATCAACGCTAGCCCAAACATATTGATAGATTATGCAAGAAATGATTGTTTCCGTAAGAGTCCGCTGCGTGATAATATACAGGATGCGATATGGAACAACTAAGTGTAACGACGACGACGACGAGTGCCAGATCCCTCCTCTGGAACACACAACCTCTTCCCAGGGAGCAACTTCTCGCACCTGACCTCTGGATTCGCATTCAGCAAATCGTCTAGGGAACATTTGTGAGCCTTTGAAATATCCCAACAGGTATCTCCAGATTTGACATAATAGGGAAGTGTCTTATCGGGGCATGGCTCGCTTGGGGCCGACTGGGTAGGTAGGAAAACAAGGCGCCAGACAAGCAGCAAAACCACGGCAATAATAAGAAAGAAGGGAAATAGTGTGCGGTATGCACCCGTGTTGTATCTCTGGCGAGGCGAAGCATTCTGTTTTTTAAAATTGTCAATGAAATCTTGCATGCTTTTCTTCACACGGAAAATAGCGCACCTCGTCCGTCGAAAGAGACTGATATCCATCTTGACGTGAAGGGGCCGCTTCTAAATCATCGCCTTCGTCACCTTCTTCAGGAATAGTTATCGGCACTTCAGAAACTGCCACCCAGGCGTCTTAGCTCCGTTACTGTCCACATGGTACAACCGCAACTTACCTCGAGTTAATTGCCCGAACTCTGCACCTTCTGCACCTTTATACAACGAGCCATCTGAACTGCGAAAGTAGTAAGAACTACTATCGCTGTCGTAGCCTACACGTTTCATTCCTTCAGGTAGACGGTAGTCATCCTGTATGAAAAAGCGATACGAATGCTGTCAGCGTCCATAACAACTGGGGGAAAAATAAAAGGTGTCGTACTTCATCGTACTGCGTCCAGCGCCCCATTAACGTGATGAGTGTAGAAGTGAAATGTTTAGCACAGTCTTGCTGTTGCAGCTGCGGATACAAAAACAGGACCAAGAGGCAATGAAGCCTTTGCCGAACAAGCATATCCGGACGGCCGGAGTAGATGGCGTGGAAACCGGCCATTTTCCGGAGGCAGCCTCGGCCAGGTCCGATCAAGTTTATCGCAATGACGTCGACCATCTGGACCAGGCTGAAAGTGAAGAATGCATACATGGACATTCTTATGAACGGTGTATATCCGTTCTCCACCAGTACTTAACGTTCTAAATGCAGTCTCTTCCCAGGAAATTGTTCCCCATGTCCTCCGAAAAGATATTTCGCGTTGCTTTGCGCGGTGACGGTTTGCTAACATCACCTCGATGGAACAAGGGGACAGCATTCACGAGGAAGGAGCGTAAAGCGTTTGGTTTGATAGGAAGGCTTCCATCTGCAGTCAACACGCTGGATGAACAATGCGAGAGGGCGTATGCTCAGCTCCAGTCTCATGAGTCGCCCATACGCAAGAATTCCTTTCTCCAGAGTCTCAAGGCGCAGAACTGGGTCCTCTATTACTCATTATTGTCGCGGCACTTGAAGGAGTTGACTTCGATAATATATACTCCCACAGAAGTGAGTCCTTTTGTTTAATCTTGGTTTCCCGACTTTACTCAAGATCGGACAGGCCGATGCTATAGCCAATTACTCGCATCTTTTCCGGAGAAGTGAAGGGCTTTATCTCTCCTTTCTGGATATCGATACAATGGAAGAAGATTTCCTCGAACAAACCAAGGGTCGGGATATAGATCTTATCGTCTGCACGGATGCAGAGGCCATCTTAGGCATCGGCGACCAGGGCGTTGGAGTAGGTATACATCCCTTTGATCACTACCAGAACTCATTAAATCTCCCCACTTTAGGGAATAGGCGTATGTTCATATTTTTTTCACTGTGCAACAAGGAAATAATTATATGTTGTAGATTTCTACCGCTAAATCTGTCATATATACGTTAGTCCTACTGATTACCTCTCATCCGATTATTGAATATCTTTCAGGCTTCTCGCGGGTATAGACCCATCCAAGGCGCTTAGCGTTATGCTAGATGTCGGAACTGACAACGAAGACTTATTGAACGATCATCTATACGTTGTGAGTATCTGTGATCAATCAAAATATGGGATAGCTTACGACTGAATCAGGGATGGCCAAAACACCGCGTCCGTGGGGAGAAGTATGATAAATTTATAGACAAGTAAGTTATGTGTACACCATGGTTTTCATCCTATAGCTGACTGCAGCCTTCATTTAGGTTCGTGCAACTCGTCCGAAAATACCATCCGCATAGTTTGCTCCACTTTGAAGATTTCGGTGTATCAAATGCTCAGAGGCTCCTCGAGTGCTATCGTGACGAGCATTCAGTGTTCAACGATGATATGTATGTTTACATGTTTACATCCCTAGGGTATGTCCAACTAAAATCTTACGTTCGCAGACAAGGAACTGGAGCTGTCACACTGGCAGCCCTCATGGCAGCAGTTGGAGTAACTAAATCAAAGCTCGCTGATCAGCGTTTTGTCATATATGGCGCTGGTTCCGCAGGACTAGGTATCACCCGACAAGTGCGCGATGCCATTATGCAAACGGACTCAGTGTCACGGGAAGTAGTCAACAAGCAGTTCTATCTCCTGGATCGATTTGGACTGGCCAAAGCCTCTCTCGGGTCCAAAATACGACCAGCCCTTTCCGAGTTTGTACGTCCAGACGAAGAGTGGGAGGGTGTCTCATCCAATGAGAATGGGGAAATTGGGTTGTTAGAAGTGGTAAAAAAGGTGAGGCCGACTATACTGATTGGCTGTTCGACACAGGGAGGAGCATTCACGAAAGAGGTGGTGGAAGCAATGAAGAGCGGCTGCGAACGGCCTGTCATATTTCCGCTCAGCAATCCCACTAGACTGGTCGAGGTGGACCCCAAAGATGCCAATGAATGGACAGGAGGGAAAGCGCTTCTAGCGACGGGAAGTCCATTTCCTCCTGCAAAGATGCCGAGTGGAAAAGATTACATGTCAGTCGTTTTCACAGATAGATGAAAGTATAGGCTAACTGCGACGACCACTCAGTATTGCGGAGTGTAATAGTATGTGATACTATTTAAGAGCCGATGTCGTTGTCTGACATATTTCAAAGATGCTTTGATATATCCGGGTCTAGGTTTTGGGGCTTTGCTGTGCCAGTCTCGACGCATGACAGACACCATGATCATAGCGGGCGCGCAGCGCCTCGCATCACTTTCCCCAGCTCTCAAAGATGCGGATGATGCGCTGTTACCCGATTTTGATGAAGCACCTCGAGTGAACTTTGAAGTTGCCGTGGCTGTAGCGGAGCAAGCGGTCAAAGAGGGGGCTGCTGGGGTAGAGTGGGAGGTAGGGCATGTCAGAGAGAAGGCGAAAGAGAAGCAGTGGGTGCCTGTGTATGGTTCCTATGTATATAATGCGGAGGGAGCTACCTAACTCAGGTCTTTATTCATTGTAGTTGTAAGGTGTATTTCGTTTATGACTACATGTGATTTTCAATCACATGGATCGGAAAAGCTTGTTATATTATTGTCACAAAGTAAAACGCCTATGCTCTGAGTCTCCGATTTATACGACTGTCAACGAAGTTTTGTAGTGCTATCACAGACTGCCAGGGAATGGCCGGCGATACAGTATAGACCGGCGACCGGCCGCACCGGTCCAGCCTGGCTCAAGTGGCTGGTGCAAACAAGAGACAAACAAAGATCACTCGTGTTTCCGCGAAGTCAAGATATCGACGAGGATCGTTGACTCTACCTTGAATTTTCTGCTGCTACATCCTACCGTCACATACGAACTTACACAAAACGATGGCCGAAGTAGCACCACCACCAGTAGACGGGAATGATATGCAAGATGTCGTACCTACAGTTGCAAACGGTGATGCGCCTGCACCTGAAGAACCTGAAGTCATATCGGAGACACTGTACATTCAGAATTTGAACGAGAAGATAAAAATCGATGGTACATAATCTTTCAGTTATATACTATCAATCCATGCTAATTATGTTGTTCTCTGGTAGTCCTCAAAGCCTCACTGAGAGGTCTATTCAAATCATATGGTGAAGTTTTGGATGTTGTAGCACACGGCAATCTGCGCATGAGGGGCCAGGCTTTTGTGTCATTCGACTCTGCAGAAGTTGCGAAAAAAGCGATGAAGGAGGTTCGGGGATTCCCTCTATATTCAAAACCAATGGTACGCGACCCTACTTCCTATCCGATACCAATCGCTGATTACTCAGGTGTTAGCAAATCTCATTTGCCCGGACACGGTCTGATGCTGTGGTTAAGCGATTAGAAGGAGAGACTTTTGAGCAGCACAAGGCACGGAGAGCAGAGCACAAAAGTAATTCTAGACTTTTCTCATTTCTTTCGATTTCTCATGAGGGTTATCCAGAGAACACGCGATATTCAAATCCACTAAAACAGAAATTCCGTGCTAAGAGGATGGCCGCAGAAAGTACGGACAACTCTACTTTCACTTTATTATTATCTCTTTCGCTCAATATATCTGTTTTTAGTGGACGGTGTTACTGCTGTGCCTGCCCCGAAAAGGCCAAATGTACAAATGCCAGACGAATATCTACCTCCCAACAAGATTCTTTTCCTTCAAAACCTTCCAGAAAATGTTACGAAAGATCAACTTATGGCACTTTTCTCTCAGTTCGTTTCCAAGTCATGTTATCTATACTCGCTTACACTTACCCACCGCTGTCAGATATCCCAATCTGTACGAAGTCCGTCTTATCCCAACGAAAAAGGATATCGCATTCGTGGAATACATAGACGAGGGCAGTGCAGGCGTCGCAAAAGACGCGTTACACAACTACAAACTCGATGGCGAGAATAAAATCAAGGTATCTATCGCGCACGCTCTTTTTGATGATCCTAAGCTGAACCATTGCTGCAGATTACGTTTGCCAGGAAGTGATGCAATTCCTGGATTTTTTTTACGACTCGGTTGGTGTACTTTTTGCAATATTTAACATAGCGTTGTAAGTGTTTTGATAATGTGAGTCTAATTTGTTGCACCACATGTAGCCTTCGTCGTGCATCGCTGTTATGTTGGCGTTGTGATCATTGGCCAGAAGCAAATTATTTGTCTTTTTTGCAATGTGTTTGGTGCTAGGAGTCCGCGGCAGATACAAGCGCTCGTCAACCTGCAAGGGGAGGACAAATATGCAAGGAAATGGTCTGAAATTGCTCGGTCCCAATATTTTTAATACACTATCAAGCTTCAAGCTTCAAGGTTTACAAGTGTGGGACAGAAGTGCTCAGCACATTCAAGATGCCAACTCCACCAAGCTTCCAGTTTCGAATATGTATGGCAAGCACAAGCAAGAGCTGGATTCATACGTTCGATCTCCCTATGTTCGCTGAGATGAAATGTTCAAGTTCAGTGTCAGCCTGAGTGAGGACCAAACCTCAAGACAAGAATGAATGAATGCCAGTCGGTTTTGCTTTCTCGGCCGAGCCGCTCATCACGAGCACAAAGTCTGCAGGTTTACAGCACTTGCAATTGCGTAAACAGATCAATTCAGCAACGTGCGCTCTCGAGACACCCTCATGGCCTTTGTCTGAGTTCAAGCCTTTGATGAGCCGCTGATTCCCACTTTGTCTCAAGATACTACAATCAGCTTCTTGACTATCCTGATAGCTATATAGTCTCCTTATTCAACAACCCTGGGGCCAAGGAACATCAGTTCGTTCACTTCAAACACTCCAAGCCTCGTTGCTCTTGCTCGTAACCATCACAGCCTCGTTCCATTGACAGTCTCTTATCTCTCCAGTTTCTTGGCTTGTCTCGTACCTGCCGGCTTTAAGTTTCTCATATCTCATAAATTGCATTGGTTTACGTCTCCAATTCCTAGCATCTTTGGGTTTGAACTCGAACTTGGCCACCAAAACGACGCACACGACGCGTTCCTCTTGCACTACTGCTCTGTCGCGAATTTGTATATATCTTTCTCGAACTTTCTTGTTATATTACAATGGTCGGACCAGTGACTCGGGTTCGTGGCATTCATTGAAGTTTCAAGTTGTGGCGTTTGCTGAACCAAGTGCTGTTGCAGACGTACGACTCAGATTCAGACGATTATCCTGGCGACGAAGTGTATGAATTAGTATGGGACGACATGCAAAGCATCGGTGAGGGCATTAAATGAAGCCTCATGGCTTTGATTATTAAATTAAAAAAATACTCTAGAATCATTACAAAGTTCACCCGTCAAACCAAGCAGCTCGACCCATAGACCATCGATGATCACACCTTTGGCAGACAGGCTCGCTGCAAGTCTCAATGTATATCAACAAAAAGAACCAGGCACTCCATCCCCTGTACGAATCCGTGCCACAAAAAAATTCAATACAGTATATTCTTTCAGTAATCCATGTTGTGCTATTATTAACTTTCTCTCTTAGAGAGTGGACACAGACATACGCAACGTTAGGCTTAGCAAAGATACAGAGCAGTCGGAACTGGACGAAGGTATTCTCAATATCTCTACCCTTTGTATCTATCTGACCATACCATAGTTGAGCAAAGTAGGCAAAGCTCTCATATTTTACTAGATCACTCGCTCAGTATACATACGTCTCACTAACCAGTGGTAGACTGCGAGGAAGAGTCGCCAATTACGCCAAACAAACCAAAGTCTTTGGTATTGTTCCCAGAATCCAGGACCAATGGAGTAAAGCGTACTCTTCAAAACACCACGACGCGACCCTCACCCAAGGTGCGAAGGACGACCGCCAACCAAACAGAGAGATTTGGATTTGCACCTCCTTCGAGCTGTTCTGACGTCTTTGACCAGCCCGCTCCCGTTCGCAAACCAATAGTAGTCCAGGCACAACATCGTGTCAAATCAGCGACTCTGGCTTTCGAGCCATCTGGACATCAACTCACTTTAGCTATGGTTTCACATGATCGGAATGTACAGGCTCTCATGGATGCAAGATGCCTTGCGTGGGGGGTTATATATGAGATTGCACGTGGAGTGACTCGAGGAGCCTGGAAATGGAGCGACGTTACACCCGAAAAATTGGATCGCCTTAAAGGTACCAATGTCCAGTCGGCATATAAAGTGAATACGATCATTGGTGACAAACCAGTTCCCATTCAACCTCCCGCTTCGGATGTTTGGTATGTCAGGCCATTATCGTAGCATCAGTGCTCTATATTAGATTGTCTAAACTGAGATATGCAGGGCTGAATACGATCGCGAAGAAAAGGCTATTAAAGAAAACCTCACTCGTGGGCTAGGTTTAATGGGAGAATGGGAAGGGCAGCGGAATTGGTATGGGGGCTCTATACAACAACGGGTCAGGCTCGTCAAAAACCCAACCTCAAGCCGATTAGCATACTCATTCCAACTTGAGAAACCTGAAATCAGGAGGTCCAACCGGTTTTCGAGGTTTCTCGGTTCTCGGAGGATGCTGCAGCTCTCCGTTCCTGATGATCTCCTGCTTCGCGAAGGGGACCAGCTCAGAGGGTTCCTATCTGGAGTAAAGCTGGTATTATGTGGCAGGATATATGTCCCCTTTCATGCGAAGGACAACAGCTTGTATATGATGGAATCTGATGAGGACTATCAACGTAAACCCCTCCCGTTTTACGGTGATGAGCACCGCCTCTCGTTTGCAGAATTCGTGAAATGGCATAATCCTTTGTCGCTAAATAGCAACCAGGTAGGTTCAATCATACAAACAGCAACATTCTCTAGCATACTTATATTTCTGCTAGCCCATCAGTAAATGGTCTACGCGCTGGGCGCTTGGACTATCGACCTCGGTCCCTGTGTTGGAGTTTGCTCCTGAAGATATATTTTCTATCGACGACAAAAGTTCGTATTCTCATACTCTTCATAACTTACCATTCATATGGTTGCATAGTTGCTCCTCATGATAAAAGTCAAGGAAAGCCTCCCGCAGCGAAATGCATGACAGATGGGTGTGGGTTCATCAATGGTGCTGGGCTGACCCAGATAATGCGCATAATGGAATATCCGAATCGTCCAACCGCTGTGCAGGGGCGTATCGCCGGTTCGAAGGGGATGTGGGTTTTACATCCTGATCCTAGTGAGCAGTTCGCTGATGGTCCGCCAAAAATCTGGATTCGGCCATCTCAAGACAAAATCAAGCTGCCACCTTTAGCACTAGTCGACAGAGCACATCTGATATTCGATTTGCTTGCTCCTTCTCGCACCACCATTCCAAGCCGTATCTCCGCTCAGACCATAGTCAATCTTTCTTTCAATGGTGTGCCTAATGAAGTAATCACAAGTTTGATGAAGGAAGGACTTGGCGAGGAAGTCAAGTCATTGACGGAATGGAATGGTCCGGACGCTATGGTATCCGTTTGGCGGGCTGTAGAGAGAGCAGGCCATGTTGTGCACAGTAGGCTACGAAAGCGTGCTGCTGGCCAAGCTCGTGCTTTAGGTTTGGGGCGAGATCGTTCGGAAAAAGATGCTGAGCAGGATAGCGATGACGACTTTGGCAAGGAAGAAGCTAGTAGCCCGCTATCACCAGGATACGATGGACAGCCATCCAGCGTATACGAGTCAGCGATGACACTTATTCAAGCAGGCTTCCATCCTATAAATTTGCAGCCCCTCTTCGATAAGCTGAAGATTATCCTGACCATGGTCATTAATCAGTATGTCTCCTCTTTCCATATGCCTGTTCAAGAATCAGCAGATGCATATATTATTCCTGGTGGGTACTATCTTTATATCGGCTTTCAAACATAGTAAATCATTGCACGTAGATCCATTTGGAGTTCTAAAAGAAGGCGAAATACATTTCCGCTCATCAGAAAGTCTCACAAACCCTGCAACAGGAGCGCAATTTGATACGGTCCGAGGTGAAGTACTGGTAGGTAGTTACCCTGGTGGTATTTGTAGACTAAGACTCATGGCAGTACCAACGGTGGTCAGGTTACCAGAAATCCGACTCGTTTACCCTCAGACATTCAAAAGGTGCGTACTACGGAAAGTATTAATTCAATAGTATGCTACTAAATAAATCTTTCCCAATGAAGGTCACCGCCGTGAGCCACCCTAAACTCGATAATTATTACGGGGTGATCGTGTTCTCTACAAAAGGCGATCGGTCTTTAGCAAGTTGGCTGGGCGGAGGCGGTGAGCTCAATTTGCTTCTATTTCACCTGAATTTTGTTGATTGAGCTATACTGCCCATCAGATTATGATGGAGGCAAGTATCGTTCAGTCATTTTGTATATGTCACCTGAAGGTTTCGTTAGATACCGTGACCCTTATATGGTCAAAGCCGCTGGTGGATAGCTTCAAGAACTCTCCTTTCACTGAAGAACTCGTTGGTCTGTTGAATGCGTTCGAGAGTCACGTCGAGTCCGTTATGGATTTTGATGAGCGCGTGGTTACGCTATCAGCAGGCCAGGCGCAAAAGGAATTCCAGACGATCTTGCTTCTGGGATTGGCAGAGACAAAAGTTGGTCTCTATTCGAAATTTCACGACCTCGCCGTTTATGAATACGGTTATTCGAGCGAACAAGCTGTTCGTATGGCATATATGTTAGTAATATCCCGGTTCATACGTTTCTTCAGGCTCACAAATCATGCAGGTTCACTACTTGTCTTGACTCGAGCAAGACAGGGCTACGCGTGAGGTCTGAAATATTCAAAAAGGATCATGGAGCGTATGCTTCCAAGGCGGCGTATTATATGAAGAAGGTCGAAACCTCTGACCGATTCCTGGTCACCAACAATACGACTTATATAACTAAACGACATACGTCCGAGCCTTTTATTTTGGATGTCATTGTTCACGAGGGTCTTAAACTGAGAGACACGCATCTAAATCAATATGAAAAACGTGGCGAAACTCTGAACAGGAAATTGGATAAAGACCTCTGTAAACCTTTCGAAGACGCCGAGAAAAGGGCGGTAAACGCAGAGAAGCAAGGTTTCCCAGGGCTTTCTCATAACTTGCACGAAATAAAGGAGCATGTCGACGGGGTGGGGATTTTTTGGAAAAGAATTAGTGCACAGTCCGCTAGAGAACGGGAAGGGTCCCCAAGAAAGAATTCCAAGCATACAAGTTCTCAAGAATCCAGCAATGACAATTACCGCAAGATTGCGTCCGAGTTTGCCAAAGAACTTCCTTTCAAAAACGGCTGTCATTTTTCCGAGGGCGAGATTGAAAAAATCAAAGCGTCGTATCTATATGCCTGCACCCCCTATAGCTCATCTCCCAAGGCCGCATTTGCTGCTGCCCATGCGGATTTGTGTAACATCAAAGCTCAAGCAGCCAGGGGCATCACATTTACCCCGCAGTTTGCAGAGAGCTTTTCGATCACCTCATCTACTATTCGAGTGCTTACCATGCTACACAATAGCGAGGAATAGTCTGCGCTTTCAAGATATCAAAACAGTATATTTTTTTTCATTTCTCTCATTTCAGATTTTGCCGCTAGCACATCCAGCATTTTACCTCAAGTTTACCCCTGCTACAATTTACTTTTTGGCATTGCTCATCTTTTTGTTTTGGGTTGCGTACTACCAAGCTGCATATAACACATCATTGTATATTAGAAACATTGACACATCTGTCAAGGCAGAATTTAGCGTACAACAGTTGTTATCCTGAAGACATTCATCAAGTTGTTTTGATTTTCTCGGCTCTCTTGCATGTTTAATATACTCATGTACATTATTCTTGGTCGTAAGCGAAGAAGCAGGGAGCTTTTCGGTAGCTGTTATCGATGTATGTGCGCATATGGGAGATCTCGACTTGGGAATGAGTGGCAGCCTGCAACGGCAGATTTCTTTTTTTCCCTCAGTCGATATCGTTCTTACTTCCATCATCCCATTTCCTCGTAATCGCCATGGCATCCCCAACGTACTCCCTCTTCTGCTTGGGCAACCCCCTGCTTGACATGCAGGTAACAAATGGGGAGGAACTTTTGAAGAAATATGATCTGAAAGCTAATGATGCTATCCTGGCTGAGGAGAAGCATACACCGATGTAAGTATTTCTGTGCGAATCGCTGCCCTGCACGGTCAAACACTTTTATAGCTACGATGAAGTCGTCGCAAACTACAAAGTAACATATGTTGCCGGTGGTGCATCGCAAAATGCTGCTCGTGGTGCTGCCGTGAGTTATCTTATCGCAGCATTCTCCTAGCAATCTCACAATTTATCTCACAGTACATACTCCCCCCAAATTCCGTAGTCTACACCGGTTGCGTCGGAGACGATGAACTAGCAGAGCAGCTAAAAGCTGCTAACAAACGTGAAGGATTACAGGAAGCTTATCTTGTCAAAAAAGGCGAAAAGACTGGTGCATGCGCCGTTGTCATCACAGGCCACCATCGGTGAGTACAATTCTTATCTACATGATGCCCACCTCTTGATGATAGTATATCTTCACTAGATCGCTGGTCACCACCTTGCGAGCTGCAGAGAAATTCGAACAGTCGCACCTTTCGTCGTCCGCCATTGCTCCCTTGGTTGATGCTGCCAAAGTATTCTATGTCGAGGGATTTTTCTTGACTCATGGAGTCGAGTCTGTCCTCGAGGTAGCAAAGAAGGCATCTAACGCATCCAAGGTAAGATATCCTTTCGTTATATCATCATTAAACATCATTAATGTTGAATAAAGGTGTTCGTCCTCAATTTATCGGCACCTTTCATCTCTCAATTCTTCGGGGCTCAACTTCAACAAGTCATCCCTCACACTGATATTATCATTGGAAATGAGAGCGAAGCTGAGGCCTGGGGTAGCGCGAATGGTGTACCGGACAGCAAAGACTTACCCGCCATCGCCAAAGCACTTGCCTCCCTCCCGAAATCCAACGCTTCGCGCCCCCGTATCGTCATCTTCACACAAGGACCACACTCCACTATCGTGGTATCCTCTGCGGAGCCGGATAGCCCCAAAACATATGGTGTAAATGCCATCCCGAGTGATCAGATCGTTGATACCAACGGCGCTGGAGATGCATTTGCTGGAGGTTTCCTTGGTGCTTTCGTTGCTGGAAAGCCCTTGGACGAGTGTATTGAGGTCGGTCACAAGATGGGTGCTATGTGTGTCCAGCTGGTACGCACTCGTTTTTTTGTATTTTGCGCGGCAACTCATTGTTATCTAGGTTGGCCCTCAGTACAAGTGGCCAAAAGTACAAGTTATCTAAGCATCTCATCTCACGTTCCTTTACGATAATATTTCCATTCTCGTTCTCATTTGTTTCCATTCTCTCTGTCGCTCTCAACAGCGATGGCTCTCAACAGCGATAACACAGTGTATCTCTATACATTTGATATTTAACGTCACAGCTCTCCACAGCATTGGCATGTAGCACATTTCCTACTATTTGCAACAGTTTTTCAATACAATGTACTCATCCTTATTTGTATGATGGCATTCGCCTACGCTATGGGTCCTGGATTTTCTACAACACACGTAAAGGTAACTAAAATAAAAACTAAGAGACAAGGTGAAGGAATATCAAGCGCTAGAGTAGAATTTATGAAGGTGGTGGAGAAGCTAAAGATTCCTGTAACACAAAGTCTAACATTAGACCTATTGGATGATCTATCGCACCAGAACTGACCTGTGTCAATAACTCAGCTATAGAGAAAATAAGTCAAGTCCGGTATAGGATAAGAGCGCAATTATAGTATTACCTGGGTTTAACATTGGCTCGCCGTCTTCGGTGAGCATCTGCTCCATTGGTTCAGGACGATCAAGTGTCTGTGGCTGAGACGCCGCTCCCGTATAAGCGGGAACATCACTTCCTGGTATACCACCATCGCCGGCAGAGGAAGACTCGCGGGTAAGAGGTATATCATCCTCTTGGACTCCTTCGGTCTCCCCTTCGGCATCTGCATCGCCCTCCATATCAGCCTCCTGTGGAGCCTGTTCCTGGGTTAGCTCCGTTTGAAGCTGGCGAGCGCTACCAACTTCTGGTGTACCGGAAGCCGTGCTATGAGTCCCAGCCAAACTAGACTCGCGCTTAGCAGACTCCAAGACTGCTTCCATGGCAGCTTGAGTGATTTCCATAGAGACCGATTTGACTTCTGATATGTTTGGGTTTGTACCCTGAGTCGCGGGCGACATATCTAGTGAAGGATCAATAACGGGCGCTACGGGCGTCAGCTTTTGACCGCTCTCAGTGGAGCGTTCTGATATCGTCATGCCCCCATCCTGCTGGCTGGGACCTGGCTCTGCTTGGGATAATCTTGGGTCTACGTTATTCTGGATACTCGACATAGCTGGAGTGCCGGTACGCGAAGAGCCGTCACTCTGAGGTGGTTGAGAATGCCCTCCATTCTGCATTTGAGATTGAGCGACGAGTTCGGGATTGATTTGAGGTTGATGGGGAGGATGTGGATGTGGAGGCATCATGGAAGTACGATAATACGGCGAGGCATAATAGGCAGGATGCGGGCCGGGCACTTGATGATAACTCATGGGGCCCATTTGTGGTTGGCTGCCATCTGGGGCCCATGGGGGTGGAGGAGGCCAATTAGCCTGGTGGAGTCTGGTAGCGGACGTAGGCAGTCCAATGCCCTGAGGATACTGGCCATCCATTACCATACCTGGCGGCGGCGGAGGCACATAGACTGGCGGATATGAGTGCATGGGAGCGGAAGCTGGGGTATCATACATACCACCATTCATGGTGTGTTGACGGTAGTAGCTGTGAGGACCACTGGCTGGACCTGCTGTACCTGGTTGTGCTAGAGCACTAGGAGGTGTTTGCGTACTAGGAGGGTTTTCTTTTTCCTTTGACGACGGCGATGCACTTGGGCTCTTCGACTTTGATCCTGATGGGGAGGCTCCTTCTTCCTCCAACTTGCCCTTCTTTTTGTCAGGATCGGCTGGTTCTATGATTACTCCATTATGCCTATGGACGAATATAAGGAAGTGCATGACAAGGATTACTGATAAGCCCACCTGGATTTCTGATGTCTCCTCAAGGCATCTGTCTAGTGAATGGTCATTCTCCTGAAGAATCAGTAAAATAAGATAGAATATTCACCCGTGTAAAAGTCGCGTCACATTGTGGACATGCACTGTAAAAAGCCATGTTCAGGTCAAACACGATTATCGGATATTATAATGTATGAACGGATACGCACAATCCAGGCATAGAATGTAGTTTGGTTGTCCTCTGATGCCGTTTGAGATCGGCTTCACGAGCGAATTGTTTGTTGCAACCGTTTATTTTGCAAGGCCATACCCCTGTCTCTGCCGATTTTTTCTTCTGTGGCGTCTTTTTCTTCTGAGTTTCCTTCTTTTCCTCTGGCTAAAGTGGGCCAGCCACAAAATAGCTTTCAGGTGGCTGATCATTTGTCGAGTCTCATCAACAGGACGTACCGTCGCCTTTACCTGCGCTCGGACCATCTGGGATGCCTGATGGGGGCTCACACTTATATTCCAATTATTTTCCTGTTTATTTGAAGGACCAGCGGTCACGATATTCAGTCTTTGTCTTGTCTGTGGCAAGTAGGTGGCGGGCAGCCAGCGGTGGCAGAGCTTGTGGCAGAAAACCTGGGTGGCACGGTGGCGGTCTCTGGCAAAATGTGGCAAACCCAACTTCCGGGAAAAACCGCTCCATAGCTGTGCTTAGCTAAGCCACCTCAGGAAACACCCGCACTGCGACAACAACTAAGATTATCCTAGATATATTTGTTTATCATACGCAGAAATGCATGTAGGGTATGGGAACAGTGTGTGATTATAAGGGTATCAGCGTATGAAGCATAAACAAAAAAAGAAAGTGCATTAAAATGACCCTCCTATTGCACTGGCACGGTCCAACAAGCCTCTAACTCTTCTATTCAGCCGCTCACCCTCGAGTTTCCTTTCTAGAACTTGGTGTGCTGGCGTCTCCTTCCGGGGCATCCATACCTTCCCCGTCTTCCCGTTCTTTTCTGTCCGCTTCGCATTCAGGGCAGAAAGATCAACGACCCGTGGGGATGATGAAAACTTCATGACATCGCGGTAGAGGAACTTCGTTTCCGTGGCTAAGGAACGCAGTGTTGGTGGAGGGGTGACAGCTTCGTTGTCTGATTCTTCTGAATCTGATGTACCAGAAGGATCTAGCGGAGGTGTTGGTACGCGAATAACAGGTTCGCAAAGAGGCGGTAAGGTCTGTATTTCTTTGAGCAGATCTTGACCTTTAAGATATGAATTCTCCGTTCGAAGGAATCGGACAGTTCCACGGAGAGCATCGATCTATACACAGTTAGATGTAACACGAGAACCGGAGGAATAGTAAGAAACTAGCCTGTTCTAGTAGGTGTGAAGTTTCTAAGCTTCCCTCTATGGGAACACTTTCCGCTTCTGTAGGCTGAGTGCCTGATGCTTTGTGATGAAGGAATAGATGATATGAATATGAGGCCCAAAATTAGCTCAAGACTATCAACACGTACCTTGTCGCTCTGGGCCAGCGGACATCACTTTTAACTTCGCATTGTCTTGCTCCAGTGCGTCGAGATCGGCCTGCAGTTGCTCCATAGCCTCTTCATAGGAGCGTTCTTGTTTCCTAGCCTTGTTGAGCTCGATCTCAAGATCGCCGATGGTATCGGCTTGTTTCTTGACAGTCTCCATCCGACGTTCCATAAGCTCGATCTTGACGACAGACTCTTGGATATTTTGGTCCTTGGCTTTGAGACTTCGAACAAGGCCTTGAATCTCATCTTGCAACTGCACAGCTTTCCTTTCGGCTTCCACATTGATTGCAGTGCTTGTTTTGATCTCGTCGATACGGGTGACCCAAGGCGCCGTTCCGGAAACTTGTTTTTACAGCAGATGGAGACACGTGACTTGTACGCAGAACAAGAGGGACTTACTTTTGCAGACATTTTCTCCGTCCAAGACTAAAGGAAGAAGCTTGCTACACTCTTGAGAAAGTTGAGCTACTGATTCGCCGATAGCTTCCCAGCACGATGCTCCTGGCTTCATATCCTTGGCAACCGTCGACAAAGCCATTTGCTTGACGAAATTGAGTACAGTTGATAGTTGGAAAGCGCATTTAGCACCGCGTGCATCACTTAGATGAGGTATAACTTGTTGGGCCAGCTAAAGGGTGTTACATGGTCAGAGGGCGGATAGACAAGTATGCGTTACTCCTTACAGAAATACCGAAATTAACGAGCTCAGGAATGGTGTTGCTAAGAGCCTTGAGCTGTGGAAGCATGTGAGATTTTAGAGCACTAGAGTCGTGAATGAGGTCTTCCAAGCGCTTTGTAAGTTTCCTAAATCGTATATCAGCAGACAGTCTGTAGAAAAGGAGAGCTATTTACCTAGACAAAACTCTCGCAGTCTTGCATTGATCCAATAGTTTATACAAGGGCTCAAACAGTTCAACTTCAGGATCATAACCTCCCATGTCCAAAACAACATCTGCAGGAGATATGTGAGGTGCAAGTGTAAATGAAAGAAGGGACGAGACCTACCTTGATCTTTAACTATAGCTTCGACCGAGGTCTTCGTCAGGCCAATGGATGCGCCGAATATATCTAAATCGTGATCAAACGATAGTGCATATCCTAGCTCCCGTTCACCAAGATCATGCTCGAAGCCATTGAAGTATGTTTCGGCGAGATGATCGAATTGAGCTTGCATCCTGGGCATGGTAAGCCAAATGAACATCCCCTTGTTTGATATTAAACTCACTTGGCAATGTCACTGACACATTCCATTTCTCGGAACTCATCTCGACGGAGCAGGTCAATATGCATATCGATTCGTTTCTCCATTGGTGCAATCTCTGGGTAAATCCTACCGATGTTCAGGAAAGACTCGACATCACAGTGGCGCAAAATGGCAGCAAAACGTTTGCATAAAGTAGAAAGGCCAGCAATACGACCACGCATCTGAGAAGGTGTGAGCTATCGCACCATGATCATAACGTTTATACAGACCTCACAGACGCCAACCAGAACATCGGAGACGGGTCCATTGAGAGACTCAGGAAGCCCGTGTGTTTGCGCCACGACAATGTTGATGAGATCAGTTTTGTATCCAAGGCGCTGGAAGAAGAGATAGCAGCTTGTCGCGTCACTATCCGATTCGACATACAACTGGGGTAGATAAGGCTAGATGGCAATTATTAATCAGTCTTGCATAGCACCCGTCTGTGGTCCGATCATACCTGAACAATGGTGAGCAGCTCACGGCTCTCCCTTGCCTCCAATTTCCTGATTTCAAGCTCTATGTTCTTGGCCTGGTTCTTGGAAGCAGAGGATTGTAGCTTGAGATTCAGAGACATCATAGCCGCGGTCTGTGAGGCAGCTGTGGCTGATTCATGCTGAGCGGTTTGAGTTTGAGAACGAAGAGTATCAAGATCCCTAGAGAAGCGAATAAGTTATTAGTCGTTCAGGACTTCGACAGATTTGCATACCCTTGTAACTGTAAGACAAGTTCTCGGAATTGACCAATAGTGTTCTCTAGATCTAGACAGGCCTCTTCGAGATTCGCAATCTTTTGTATATGTTCACGAGCTTCTGAATCCTTGGCATCTGAGGTATCCTGTGAGACACCATACAATTCACATCGAAGATACTAGTTTACCTATCTCGTCTTGCATGGACTTCTCCGTTTCTATATGGTTTTCCTCGAGCTCATCGTTGAGTTCCTTCAGAGCTTCAAGGTCTTCGATAGTGATACGCATTTCCTCAATTTTCTGGGAAATGGAGCGGTTATGCACAATAAATGGCTTATGGCGAACCTATACTTACCTCACCAAGCATAAGGTTACGCTCTGTGAGTTGCACGAGCATTTCTTCTGCACCTAGGGCGTCGTCGAGTTGAAGTTTGAGGTCATCAATCTGAATTTCAGCATTTGATAATTTGATCAAAGTTTCTTCATATGAAGCTGTGCAAGTTTATTAATATCTGCGTTTACTTCACTAATAGTGCAAACCTTGAAGATCATCGACGCCAGTGATATCTTTCTCCATTTCCGTGATACGACGGCGCTGCTCCTGTTCCGTTTCTTGTGACATATCGCGTAACCTATACACGATGATTCAAAAGAGGGGCTACCAGAACGTGAGGACATTGACAAACCGAATAAGCGCCTCCTTGAGGCGTTCATTCTGTTTTTCCAATTGAATGAACGCTAAAGAAGACTTGATATTAGAATCACCCCCTTCTCCAGGATCTGGAAATCCAAGTTTAGCGTATACCTCGGTAATAATGGGAGGGTTTACCTCCACCTTCCTTCAGGACATTCATCTCAACTTCTACGACTGCTAGTTTCTCTCTAACCTCCTCCAGCTCAGCCTCAGCGATTTCTGCACGTTCCTCTGCTACCTCCTTATCCAACATCGCCATCTCCAGTTGCTCTTGCGAATCAACTGATCTACTGTCGGTAAGCTGAGCGAGCTGCTGCGCGTCCGAAAGTTCGCGGCGCGTCGCGGTTAGATCTGTCTGAAGCTGACTGAGTTTGGCTTGAAGTTTGGGACGGAGGGCAACGAAGGATTCGGCCTCGGAAAGGCGACTTTCAAGCTCTCGTACGTGTCGAGCGTCGTCGGCACGTTTTGCTTCGAGGACTCGGATCTTGGCTCGAAGCTCTTGGAGTTCCTGATCATCCTGGGCACGTTGAACGACTGGCGAAGAAGGTTGGGAAGGAGCCTTGGTAGCGACAGGGGAAGCAACATGAATAGACGTGGAACCGTTTGATAGTGATGGGGCGATGGGGACAGGCGGTGGGACTAGACTAGGGGCTTGAAGTGGGGATGACTTGTGTGGTGGTGGTGACGGGGGTGAAGAGATCCGTTTGGGTAGGGACACACCCTTAGATAATGAAGGTTCTTGCGAAGGAGACTCGGTGATGCGTGGTGGTGGAAAGGCTGGGCTAAGAGGTGCGCTACTTTCCGCAGAAGACTGTCGCGGGAAAGATTTCCGAGGTTGAAGCGAAAGAGCTGGAATGCGTTTAGCAGGAGAAGTGGGAGCGAGACGGGATATCCTAGGGCTTGCTGCAGTACCTGCAGCCGGTAGTGCGCTGGCATGTGGTTTTGCAGGACTTGAAGAACGAGACGAAGAGGAAGCGGCTGATCTCAAAGAAGAGGCTCGTGCAAGTCCAGTGCTGGGTGTCCGCTGATGGCCCAGTGTAGATCGCGCAAGTGCAGATGGGATTCGCTTTTACGATATAGTCAATTATAAGCTGGCTCGAAAGTGAGATATGCAAGATGGCTCACGTTTGCAACTGGAGGAGCCTCGGGCTCTGCTGAAATGACCTTAACCTGGCTTGGCCTGACGAAGACTCCGTGATCTGGTTTACATGCAAAATAGGTGATGCCTTGTATTGAGCCATTGTTCTTTCCCTTGGGCTCGTGTAGCTCTACTCCTACCCATTTTCCGGCTGAGAAAGAGGTTGTTCCGCAGAAACGAGCGATGCCTCGTCCTGCAGGAATCTCGACCAAAGCACCAAGTGGAGGTTCGTTGGCCGACATCCCAAAGGAATGTCAGAAATGCCCTAGACCGATAAAATGAACGTTAGCTGGAGAATTACGCCAGTCACTGATATATGGGGCACTTTCAAGTGTTACGGGTACGCATGCATATAGCTGGTGGACCGTGTAGCCAGGGTCTGGGACTGTGATGATGTGACACCGTGGACCGTCACGGTGCATCACCGTCACATTTCCGGCCACTACAGCAAGGACATTGACGTGACCCCACAGTCGCAACTATAGTATTGGACTGCACTTTGTGCGCTCACAATCATACATCCGGACCATCGTTGTTCGTTTACCAGAGGCTGCATCTTGAGGGCATTATTTTGTAACATTTTCTGCATTTCAGCTAGATGCAAAACGGACGTCATGCACCAGGTACGCGTCGCATTCCTGTGCACTCTCTTTTTCGCCATTTATCTCTTTCATTCAGGCATAGATTCTTGGCCTGTTGAATCAGGTCTGAGAGTCGAGCGCCATGGCTCTGATGTGGGGTCGGAAACCGAGAGAGGCTGGGGTTCTACTTCGCTGTCTGATCCGTCTTCCAATCAAACAACTGATGGCAGAAACGACGTTGACTTGTTGCGGGGAATGGGAAGAAGCGCTTCAGACGAAACTCTTCCGGATCATGTTCCCATCGTGCCATATTGGTCAGCTAAACGACATATTTCCTGCGGTAATCCTGCTCCCCGCTCGCCCTACACCGCTAACTTGTTTCCGTGGCGTGGCTCGGCTCCTGGAAAGCTCAAGACTGCAAATGCTGCCCTTGTTCTTTGCCTGAACATCGATGTAGATCCCCCAGACATTATCAAAACAAACCCATGTGCTGTCTTGGAATGTTGGGTGGATCCACACACAATGCCGTCTCATAAGGCTCTGGAAGCTATTGGAACCAACTTACAGCACCAGTTCGAAGGCCTTAGTCTCAAGATTCCATACAAACCTATTTTGGACCCCTCTTACGAGGATTTACGGCGGTTCTGCATGACATTGCGAAAACAGGCGAAAGATGAAACTGTGTGCTTTTACTACAATGGCCACGGTGTCCCAAAGCCAACTCCTAGTGGGGAGCTGTGGTGCTTCAATCGAAACTATACGCAATATATTCCGGTCTCATTGATGGAAGTGCAGACTTGGCTCGGATCGCCAGGAGTGTATATATGGGATTGCTCGGCTGCTGGCAATCTACTACAAAACTTTAATACCTTCGCTGAGCGCCGCGACCAGGATATATTCATGACACGCGGAGGCTATGCAGATGGCATGCAACCTTATATGAGTTCTTTGCAATTAGCTGCCTGTGCGGCACATGAACAACTTCCATCTTGCCCCGAGCTTCCTGCAGATATCTTCACATCTTGCCTCACGTCACCCATAGATATCGCGCTCCGCTACTTCATTATGAACCACCAGCTTCCCAACAATATCACAGCAGATATGGTCATGCAGTTACCTGGTGACCTCAAAGACCGTAGAACGCCTCTTGGAGAACTTAATTGGATTTTTACAGCCATCACTGACACCATCGCTTGGACTACCTTTTCTCGAGATGTCTTCACTCGTTTATATCGTTCGGACCTCCTTATTGCATCCCTTTTCCGCAATTTTCTGCTCGCAGAGCGGATCATGAAGAATTATCACTGTACACCTCATACATATCCCGCCCTTCCATCTACCAATACTCATCCTTTATGGTCATCGTGGGACCTAGCAGTCGATACCTGCCTCAGACAGCTACCTGATTTACTTGCAAAAAGTCCAAACGTCAGTAGTACCCCAACGAGTCCCGTTATGCACGCGACGAGGTCCAGACGGTTAGGGCAGGCTGTAGCAAGGGATAGCACTCCATCCACGAGTCCCTCATCGGAGAAGCCTTACCAATACGTATCGAGTCGCTTTTTCACCGATCAGCTCACAGCATTCGAGGTCTGGATATCTCGAGGCGGCTCTGCTCTCACGAAACGTGGTCCATTTTCACTTCCAACCCAGAATGGCGGAGAAAGGTTTGATGGTTCGGATATTGTTAATGGTGTTAATGGTGTCGATGGGAAGACGGGCGAGAATGATTTAGTCCCTCGTAAACCACCCGATCAGCTACCGATTGTTCTCCAAGTTCTCTTATCACAGCCCCACCGATTGCGCGCACTAATCCTCCTCTCTCAATTCGTTGATCTTGGGCCATGGGCAGTAAACCTTGTGCTCACCATCGGGATATTTCCATATATATCCAAACTTCTGCAAGCCGCTGGCCAGGACCTTAGGCCCGTCCTGATCTTCATCTGGGCCAGAATACTCGCTGTTGATCCTACGGTCCAAGTCGATCTGTACAACACGCAAGGCTATAAATATTTTGCCAATGTCCTTGCTCTGCAAGAGGAACCAAGCCTCACTGTCCTACCGAACAGTGCTGAGCATAAGGCCATGTGCGCTTTTGTACTCGCTGCTATAGCACGGGATTATCCCCACGGTCAGAATGCGTGTTGGCGCGAGCGAGTTTTCGATCAGTGCTTTGATCGATTAGACGAAGGCGACTTCTTGTTACGACAGTGGTCGGCATTGTGTATCGCCCAAATCTGGGACGCGAATGATGATATAAAAGTCTATGGCGTTGACAAGGGCACCCAAGACAAGCTCATATTACTGCTTTCGGACGAGTCGCCTGAGGTTCGTGCAGCGGCTTTGTATTCATTGGGTACGTTTATGGGAGCTTCGGGTTCTCCGGACCTAAACAAGAACGGCGGAGGAGGTAGCGGAACAATGTATCAGCTCGAGGAGAGAATTCATTTCCGCATGGAAGTTGCCGTTGCTACGGGCGCAGCTCTTGCGACTAAGGATGATGCCAGTCCCATGGTCCGCAAAGAACTGCTTATCCTCGTCAGCTGCCTTGTGAAGGAATGGAGAGGCTATTTCGTAATATGCGCTTGGATCTATTGGGAAGAAGATCGGAAGTGGAGGAACGAGGGACCATCTCAGAAACACGAAGAGGAGATGACTGCTCAAGCTGTATCAGAATGGTTAGACCTCTTTGGAGACGATGATGGCGCGCGGGAGGAGAACCGTGTATTGCTGTCCTCGTTCTTCACGATTTTCGTCCTCCTCCTGGAACTGTCGATTGACCCTTATCATGAAGTAGCTACAAATGCCCAGACGGTCATCGACTACATTATGGCACTTTTGTTAGAATCCCCCTTTACTCGTCTGGAATGCTCCACACTCGACACCCCTCCATTGCCCACAGATCACCAGGCAACAACGGCAGGCGGCACACATTCCCGAGTGGCCTCCTTACAGTCCTCGCCTTTGCTCAGCCAAGCGCCACCTTCGCCATTACATCCGATTAGACCATCCCTCACACGTAGCGATACGATGACAAGCAGTATTTCTACGGGCGTTACCAATACCATACGAAGGACATCGTCATTTGCCAATGCTCTCAGGAACTTGGCGGGTACCATTGCATTCCCAACGGTGGATGATTCTCGCGCTCCACCGAGCCCTGGACTATCTGTGCTTCCCCGTCCGGATCTTTTGGATGCGTCTCGCCCTCCGTCGCCTAACCTGAACATCGCGCAGTACACTTCGCCATATTCGCGGCCTCCAACGCCTACTAACAGGTCACGCCCTCCTTCACCAAACCCTTCGCCTCGTTCTTCCAGCGATAGATCGCAAGTACCGATGGATTTCTTGCCTTCGGATGTCATGGAAGCTTTAATGGAAGAGGACATGGAAAGATTAAGAGCGCGGAGACGAACGGCCACCTATTCGAAGCGGCACCAAGGAGGGAACAACGGCACTGGTTCTCTAAACAGCCCATGTGGAAGCACTTTCTCGATCGACTCGAATAGTAGTAGTGTTATTCTTGGATTGGGAACTGGCGCTGGAATCCGAGATGTACTGCCGTTGAAGAGCACTTTCTATGATTGGTGCTGCGAGTATTTCAAGGAACCTCAGATGAGGGTACGTTTTTATTCTCGCTAACCCTCTATCAGCACCCTAAACAGTTCCATCACAGCAAACGGAAGCAGACGAGCCAGGGAGCATACAATATAACTATCAGGTTTGGCGACAGCAGCGGAACGAAAAGGTCACGATGGAAACTCATTCGCAAACGACTGTAGCGGGTGAGTTTATCCCATCTTTAGTCAAAAGCTTGATCTCATCATCTCGAGCTGTTTGTAGAGTCTTCTCGATGGGATCGCGCCGTCGCAAGCATTCAAATCAGCGGCCAACCGCTCTCGATGGCTTTTCATTCTTATGATCCTCATCTCGTTATAGCCAATGAAACGGATATGATTAGGTATGTTTATATCCTTCTCCCAATGCGTTTTGTTCACCGTACATCCTAGTGTATGGGATTGGTCACAGCGTAAACGGCTGAATCTCTTCTGCAATGGTAATCCAAAAGGTACAAGTGTCACTTCACTCCACATCATCAATCAGGATGTGGGAGGAATTATTGTCACTGGGGCTGGTAAGTGGCTGATACCTTTCTCATCAAATTGCCTAAATATTCATTGTCGTACAGCCGATGGGATAGTTCGCCTGTATCGAAACTACGATTCCCTGATGAACCAGGGCCCTGTTCAGATGGTTAGCTCATTCCGCGCTCTCAACGACGTTATTCAGGTTCGCAGAGGCAGCGGAGTTATCGTCGACTGGAAACAAAGCAGTGCGTCTCTGCTGGTAGGAGGGGATTCTCGCATTATTCGAGTCTGGGATGCGAACTCAGAGACCCAAGTCCTGGTCAGTTTTCTCTATCTTCCAAAGTCGTACTTGAATTTACTTGTGTGCAGGACCTGGAAACTAACTCTGACAGTCCTGTAACGGCCATCGTCTCAGACAATGGTCCATCATCGATGTTTATTGCTGGCTTTGCGGATGGCGTTGTGAGGGTATTTGATCGTAGGCTTGGTGAAGAGGATGCGATTGTCCGATCGTATCCTGAGCATTCCTCATGGATTCAAAACGTTCGCTGGCATCCAACCCAAGGAGCACAGTTGCTATCTGCAAGGTAAGCATTATCTATACAGCAAGGCCATTTTTGTCATTGAATTTTTTAGTTTGGACGGCGAAGTGAAATTTTGGGATCTTAGAGGTTCTGATAGAGCTGTCCAGACCTGGGATCTGCATCCTGGTGGTTTATCCTCTTTTGACATGCATTCTTCCGCTGGCGTCCTCGCTACGTGATTATCATTTTTCTTGTTGTAATATTTGATCACGTGTTCACATTCATTTACAGGACGTCTGCTCTTACTCCCACTCACTGGAGACATCAAAGTCTCATGGTACACTCTCTCTTGAGGCCGTCTCCACCTTTGTCGATGTTGCAACTGCCCACAGGCCTCACTTCGTACAATCCGCGAGGACCATCTCCTTTTATTCCTCGTTCGACCTCTCTCACTTTCCATCCGATGGAGATGTTGTATGCTGCAGGAGAACCTGATGGATCTGGTACGTCCATATTATCTATATAAACGGCGGTTGATTGTTGACTGTTTTGATTAGTGAAAATCATGGGATGCAAACTTGTATGAAATTAAGCGCGTAACATGGTCTCGGATGCATGGCTGGCACATCTCCTTATGTATTGAAATAGCTGACTCTTCATTTCAAGTTGGATATATGTTCTCAATGCTCTTTACCGCTGTCATGTAGATTTATTACTATGGTTGCATATGTACAGTACTATATAGCGTACCCTTATAATTCCTTAACAAGTTCTACCACTGTTGTGGCAACTCTTATCGGAAACGCCGACAATCACCCGTTCCATCGACTCTCAGGATTTCTTGATCAAACTTGAACTTGCCAGCATACAGTCATTTTATCCGTGTCCTGTTTCTCATGACCAATCTATATTCTCTCTGGGTTGCAGGCTCTAATGCACGCGGTCAACTTTCCAACGGAACATTCGATGACTCGCATACATTTGCCCCTTGTCTATTTTCTGAATCAGCTTCCATATTTCCCTCCACCATACGGCGAATTCTTCAACTGACATGTGGTGCCAATCACACGTTAATACTCCTGCAACGTAGTGACGAGCATGGGTTGGAAACATATACAGAGCTGTGGGGTTGTGGGGACGGCAGTAAGGGACAACTTGGACCCACGCTGGGTCAAGTGCACTCTGCTACAGAATTCAGGCGAATACCAATGCCGCTACAGGATACATATACGCCGCTCGGATATACGTGCCGTCTCATTGCTGCAGCTTGGGAAACTACGTACCTTGTTCTGTCTTCACCGAATCACCCTGATGTTCTGATCTCTATGGGTTCAAATGACTTTGGAGCGCTGGGTGTGGAATCTGCGAAGATAAAATCAGCGCCATTCGGACCTCACGCGATAGCTGTTGAGGGACTTGAAACAGATAGTAGTCTGCTCATCAAATCGCTCAATGCAGGTCCTCGACATGTTGTCGCCGAGGTGGTAGGAGTAGGAAAAAATGGAGTCAAGGAAACTTTTCTGATCGGCTGGGGGGCGGGAAGGCAAGGTCAACTGGGTGTAACGCTACTCAAAAGAGCTCCTCAGGACCATGCAGGACCGCGAAGAATACCCAGTGATAAATCAGGAGATCCTATAGTATCATGTTCTCTTGGAAATCAACACACTGTCATACTGCACTCTTCGGGTCGTGTATCTGCCTTGGGATCAAATAGGAAATGTCAGGTGCAGGACATCAACAACTTAAGCAATGTTCATAGTATAAACTGCACGTGGAACGGCACTTACGCCGTAGTCAAGCAAGAAGATGGGATGACTCTGCTTGGGATGGGCGATAACAGCCGAGGACAGCTTGGAAGGGAAGTGGATGGACGTGGCTCATCTCAATCGACTTTGGTTAACTTCCCGTTTGAGCTTAAGAGCCGTGAGCTATTGAAAGTAGCTTGTGGCAGCGAACATGTTCTCGCCCTCTTTGCTGTACTTTCATCTAGTACATCTCACAGCCAAATATCGAATGACGATGATAGGGAACGGGAAGTTTGGGCGTGGGGATGGAATGAGCACGGGAACTTGGGCGTAGGCACGACAGGGAATGTTGAAAGACCTATCAAAATATGGCCAAATGGTGGAAGCGATAGCAGTAGTATGAGTGCAAGGGTTATTGATGTATGGGCAGGCTGTGGGACAAGTTGGATCGCACTTTCGCATAATGATAATGATAACGACAGCAACGGATAATAAAGTCTGCATTTAGGATAAGTCATAGTCATACAGTGAGGTGTACTGCAACGTTGTGAGCGTCACGTCGAAATGCTTGGAAGCACGAGTTGAGTGCATGGTTATTTGTTGTCGTCGTCCAGTAACTCGTAGTCAAGGTGAATCTGCCGAACAGTAGTTCTTTTCAGAGCTGCAAGCTGAAATTAAACACAGAATATAAGTTTGTCCATGTCTATTGATGAATGACAGATCCGTCACCCTTCCAATCAAGATCTTTGGGATTAACGTGGTCAGTACAAATTCAGCAGATCAACAAAGATTGGCTGGGATGATCAAACCTGCGTGGCGTCCTTGGCTTCATTGTATCTATGCAATAGCTTGATGTGTTTCGAAACAATCTTTTCTGCGTCTTCGTTTTCTCTAACGCATATAGTAAGTTATGGCTTCACAGTAATAGACAAAGAGTTCGGCCAATAATAAAACGGACCCAAGGACCTGTTGCAGTTCGTCAACTTGCGCTTGCAGCTTTGAAACATATATTTCCTGGTTCTAAGCACAGTATTATATGTTTGTTGAGGTAACAGAGGATACAATTACCTTTGCTGAGGTGGACGCGTGCATGACTGTCGAAAGTCAAGAGTTGGTTTGTTGACGCGTTATTTGGTCGCATGCCGAAGGCACCGATGGCCAGGATTACTCATAGAGTGATCGGCCCGAGAAAACTCGGCAGCGGCATTGCAAGACGGCAGATTGTTTCTTGGGCAGCAGGAGCGACCGCAGCCCATTGGTACACACGCTATCCTCAAATGCCACCACGGCGCTTTCTTTCCTGTACATAACCTGTGTGATGTGTTGCACCTAAATCTTTGCTTTCATTGTTAGCCTCAAGACACATCATGGGGGGACTTTTCTGGCGGCAGTTCGCTGCGTTATTCTGGAAGAATTGGATTGTGCTTTCTAAACACCCGTTCGTGAGTAAAATCAGTGCGTGTATCCACTCGAAAGCCTAGCGTTGATAGTCCACCTCCAGTTGAATGTTATACGATGTTTCATTCTACCTATTGCATATGGCGTCTTCCTCGCTGTCGCACAGACGTTCCTTATGAAGCCCAATAACGTGAGTTTTGTGCCATATATTTGGTTTCCGCCATCTCATTCTGTCTTCAGTATGGGATTGGCTCCCCGATACCAATATACTCATTCAAGAGTGAGTTCGACGGCTCTCTTACTCTGATATGGACAGACGCAACCAACGGCACTGGCTCACCGTCACCAAGCGATGTCATGTCACATATCACTAGCAACTTCACTTCCAATCAGCTTCGAGCGATCAAACAGGTAGCCACACCAGACGACATTCCTCCGGCCTGCCCACAGAACTTCAACTTGTTCTCCGAATGTTACGCAGCCGTAACATTCAACAGTCTCCCCGCCGCAGGAAACGATACGAGTCCAGTGAACTATACAATTAGCGCGGATGGGGGCCTCGTGTACATCAACGTGTATAGCCATACCAGTGATTTTGAAACCAGAATTTTACCTCTCCAATGGGCATTAGATCAGGTCAGCAACCTACCTTATTGAATGTGTCCCATCAATAATAACCAGAGCCCTCCGTGTAGGCGATTATCGAATTAAGGACAGGTCAATCAGTACCCACGCCGTTAGAATGGCCATACACTCAGGAAACGAACCAACAACAAGCCACTGATACTAGGCTAAGTAGGACAGTTTTCATTATTTCTGGATCCAGATCTGATTTATCATCCTCTAGGCTATATCAGAGGACTGCGGTCCCTACTCGTGCTTGCATTGTAAGCCGTATGGTGTGATATATGAACGGTTTTTTCTCAGTTCTCTCATCAGGTTTATTTGTTATATTGGAATTGCTTATCAGCTTCCAGGCTCGTTTACTGGGGAGAGGGCGAATCTACTGACAAGCCATATGAAAGCCATGGGACTTCTGGACTCTGCAAGGATTTTGTTTGTGTATTTCCTTACAATACTGCTGAGTACCCACTGAAAACCAGCGTAGATCATGGCATATCAGTATATGTCTGGCGTACCTTCCTGCTTGGATTCTTGTTTCAATTGTGTGGCACTACCGTATCTTTACCGGAACAAACGTTGGATTAGTCCTTGTTGTGCACCTTCTTTTGGGAACTTCGCTGGCTAGTTGGTCGTTTTTCATCGCCACTCCCTTTGGGAAAAGCCCTCAGCTCGCTGCCGTCGCATCCACATTCTTGGCTCTCTTATTTGCCATTTTAGCCCTGGTTTTCGGTCACGCTAGCACAGGAACAGCCTTCGTGTTTTCCATCGTATTTCCCCCTGGATATTATATCTTTGCCATAAGAGCAATATGTGGATGGGAAAATCACCAGATACCAACTAATGCTCTAAAGGGCGACCCTGATAACAACTTGATGCTTTTGCCTTTAATCATAGCAGCTCTTGTAAGTCATTTTGGTTTTTCGACGACAAGCTAGCACTGATGTCATCTCGAAGGTTGATACATTTTTATGGCCATATTTAGCTGTTCTGCTGGAGAGGCGCCTGTATGACGCTCGTGAGCCTTCGTCTGGGAGCAGTTGGTTATGCTGTCGTCGGCGAAAAAACCGTTCCCTGGACCCAGTTGTACATCCTGAAAATGTCGCCATATCCATCCGCAACCTGGGAAAAACATTTAAGCCCTCCATGTTCCGACGGGAAAAAGCCCCAGTTACCGCTATCGCTGATCTCACTTTAGATATTCCCACGTCTGGCATCTATGTTCTGCTCGGGTCCAACGGGTCAGTGTTCTCAATTGAGACCATAGTAAATGTGATACTGACATTATAATAGAGCTGGAAAGTCAACGGCTTTATCTATTGTAGGGGGTCTCCTCGGGCGTAGCACAGGTTCGATCACGTTTGAAGGTGGTGTAGCTCGGCCTCCTCGTGGAACGCTTGGCATTGTCCCACAGAAGAATGTGTTATTCCCCGAGCTAACCTGTTATCAGACTCTAAGGGTATGGAGAGCAGTTAAGCGCTCAGATGGTTCCGTGGATGATGATGACGATTACGAACAACTCCTACGTGATTGTGATCTTGGCAAGAAGATTCATGCAAATGCCAGCACGTTATCTGGTGGCCAGAAGCGAAAGTTACAGCTTGCTATTGGTCTCATTGGAGGTTCCAAGATCGTACTCGTTGACGAGTGTACCTCTGGCGTTGATCCTTTATCTCGTCGTGCACTATGGAGAACTTTGACTTCTGTTCGTCACGACAGAACGGTTGTGTTCACGACGCACTTTTTGGATGAAGCAGACCTTCTTGCCGATAACATCGCAATCTTAGCTGCCCCTGGCAAGTTGGTCGCTGAGGGATCACCAGTGACTCTTAAATCGACGCTTGGCGAGGGTTACAGCATTCAAGTCTCTTTCGATTTGACAGAGCTCACTGAAAAAGAATGGATCAGCCCGCCAGCTGAAGTACACGAGCGTTTACGTACCTTAGCGCCACGTTGCACTATGTCTTTGGCCTCACCATCACAGGCGTCCTATCATCTTAAATCAAAGGACCCTATCGTGGTGGAGAAGGCACTTCAACTACTGGAAGATGAAGAGTCCACTCATCACGTAGCATCTTACGATGTCATTGGTACAACTATCGAAGATATCTTTCTCGATCTGATGAACAAGGATGCTCGACTAAGCATTGAATCACCCGAGAAGTCTCTGACATCGTCTATGATCATGACTGAACCGACAGTTTTACAGTTAACGGATGGGCGGCCAAGGTCTCCATTTAGTCAGGCTTTGACCATCTTCCACAAACGTGCTCTCGTTGCTCGTCGCAGTTGGTTGACGCCATTCCTCGTTGTGCTCATTGCAGTAGCGGGCTCATGCATTCCATTGTTCTTCCTATCTGGACAAGCGGCAACGTGTACTACCACATACAAGAACACCACTACTATCCCTCTTTATCTTCCAGACTCTCCCTTAGAATTGCTGGCTTTTGGTCCTTCGGCTCAAATTTTGACTTCGCCTCCAAATATTGTCAGTTCCCTTGGCTCTACTGCGATGTTCCTGCAAACAAAGAATATAGCAAATAACGCCACTTTCGTTGATACTATCCAACAAGACTATCTTAACATATCTTTCGGAGGTATTTCAATAGATCAACAGACAGGGGATTCATTGGTTGCTTGGCAAGCATCTCCACCAGGCCTAACAGGCACATCTATGCTGAACCTTGCATCAAATGTTCTATACAATCGAGCACTCAACAACTCGGGAAACACTGCTGAAACTCCGAGTCTCATTATGGCTTACTATTCAGATTTCCCTCCTGTTGCAGAGGGTACTCTTGTGGACTTGAAATGGATAGCCTTCTTTGGAGCTTCAATGGTATGTTATACTTTCGTTCATTTTCTTCATCTTCTTATCTGAAAATATGATTCAGGCCGTGTTTCCTGCATTCTTCTCGCTATATGTATCTCGGGAGCGTCGTTCATCTGTACAAGCCATGCAGCTTTCGAATGGCCTGTCAGATCCCATCGGACTTTGGTTGGGCCATCTCATGTTTGACACGATATTTTCGGTGACGCTAGCCACAATCATTATCATTATATTTGCCACAGTCACCAGTCAACTTCATGGTCTAGGATTTTTCGTACGTCACCTTTCACGCTGCGTTGTATGCTGGAGATGCTTATACTTGTTTTTAGTGGGTTGTCCTGGTGTTATATGGCATAGTTGGTGCACTCTTCGCATATTGTATTTCTTTGTTTACGGCTTCTCCCCTTGCTGCATTCGCAGCAGTTGCCGGTTATCAGATCATCATGTTTATTGTGAGTTCTTTCGAGAAAAGTGACTGCTATGAATGTTCACTCGTGCCTTAGTTGTATCTGGCTGGCTACCTTTTAACCTTGACTTATGCAAAGACGAGTCAAGCTAATTATGACATCGCTGTAATACGTGAGTCTAGTATGTTCATGTTGGCTTTTCATAGCTAAACTTCTTATATTATAGACTTTACGCTGTCTGTTTTGTCTCCAGTGGCCAGTGTTGTAAGTCTTTGATTACATCTCTACTTAAGACATACTTATAGTGATTATTAGATGAGGGCGGCACTTATCTCTGTGAACCTATTCTCGCTTCTTTGCGCAGGAACAAGCCCTGTCACTACGGCATCGTTGGGTATCATTACTAGATACGGCGGCCCTATACTGTATCTCTTCATTTATGGTTTCGTTCTTCTTGGTGTTCTTGTTTGGGTAGACTCTGGTTCCATCTTACCTCGACGTTTCCTCAAGACTGGTAAACAACGTCGTCAATTGGAGGAAAACCAAGCTTCGTTTGAATTGTCGAGAAAGGATGTAGCTGAAGAAGCTCGCGATGTAGCATCCTCTGACGATGCTCTTCGAGTTCTCCATGTGGTCAAGTCTTTTGACGGAAATCGAGTCGTTGACGATGTAAGTATCGGAGTTTCAAGGGATACTATCTTTGCCATGTTGGGGCCCAATGGCGCGGGAAAGACCACCACCTTCAATATTATACGTTAGTCATTCGACAAATCATGCAGATTACTAGACTTACATCGTTACATGTACAGGTGGTGATATCGTTCCAGACTCCGGTGACGTGTTGATCAAGGGTGTTTCCGTCGTCAATCATCCCAGAGTTGCGCGTCTATCTCTCGGTGTCTGCCCTCAGTTCACTGCGATAGACTCGCAACTGACTGTTCGGGAGCATTTGATGATCTATGGCCGTCTTAAGGGTCTTTATGGAGGTGAAGAAGTTAACAGAAATGTCGAATCCTTGATGCATGCCACATCTTTGCATATGTATGCCGATCGCCTAGCTAGTCAATTGTCGGGAGGAAATCAGCGTAAATTGTCACTTGCCATTGCTCTGATAGGTATGTCCTTCCTTGTAATTTGTAAACGCCTATTCAGCTGATGGGTTTTGATAGGTAACCCCTCTGTCGTATTGATCGACGAGTTTTCAACTGGTATAGACGCAAAAATCAAGCGAGAAATGTGGGGTACCCTCAGGAATGTTGCTGTAGGGAAAGCAGTCGTTATAACTACCCGTAAGTGGATCTCGCTTTTTCTGTGGCCACTCTGACTGATATATTTTCTCCGATAGACTCGATGGAAGAAGCATCAGCCCTAGCGAATAAAGTTGGTATCATCTCTAAACAAATGCTAGGTATGTTGCTGTCTTTTCACTGGTTAACCAAATCTGACCATCCACTCCAGCTATTGGCACAACCGATAGTCTGGCAGCACGATATGCTAAATACCAAGTCCATTTCTCGTGCCCCACTCGAGAGGATGTCACCAGGGCACAACTACTTATGAGCTGTATACCAGGTTCACGACTGGCGGATGATGTGGCCACTCGCTTCGAGGTTCCCATTCTTCAAGGCAAAGACGGCCTATCACTTGCACAACTATTCCATATTCTTTCTTCGCAGGGTGATTTCCAAGAATATACGGTAGAAAAGGCAACGCTAGAAAGTGTCTTCCTGAAGGTGATCAGAGAGAACAATGTACTTGAAGAGGACACCACCCCGAGTAGACGACGAAGGTTCTGGTTCTGGTAATACGGTGAGGGTGATGTTTTCGTTCACGGACATGGGTCGCTGCAGCATTACGTGGCGTTGTAGCTATACCAGGATTCGTAGAGATCTTAATTATCTTTACAAGGACTATACTTACAGTATGTACAGGTACTTTACGCTGTCACACGATTTTCCTGAGTTTGCACGGGTTTATGCATTATTTAAATGGGCAATAGCTCTGGGGCGGGTTAGAAGTTCTAGGTCCATCCAAGAAGTACCATTCTAGCGTGTGCAATATATAAACTTGATCTCAGCAAGCGTAGCAATTGCAAAAGGTGTGTAAAGATAAGTGTTTGTAAGTTAAAAGGAGCTTTTTGACAGGACCAATCAGGCAAATGCCGGAAGGGGCAAATTGCTGTGAAGTGCTACTCTGACACCTTGGCAAGGCAGTTCTGTTGACCAGCCGTTGGTATGTGGTTTCCGGAGAACGCTCATCAGCAACATGACGAAATGGCTTCATTCCACATCTGTAGCAAACGCAAGCTGAGGCTGCTGGGCTATGTTTTCGCTGCATTACAAATTTCTTGATTCAACACTGATGAATCATCATGCTAACTATCTTTCTTTCCAACGTCTTCACCTAATATTGGGTAAGGATTGAAACACTGAAAGCCATGGCAGGATCGAAAGCGTTCAGCGGTGTACAAGCACTCGTATTCGATCTCATGGGCACATGCACTGACTGGCATACATCCATCCTAACTGCTATGCAGAAATATCCAACGCCCACTCCGCTCGTCGGTTCAGATCTCCCACTCCTAGCTTCGCAGTGGAGGGAAGGGTTCTTCAAAGCTATCTTCGCCTCTTTCGAGGCAGGAGAACAGTCCCCTGATATTGACGTTGTACACGCACAGGTACTTGATCGCTTGCTAGATGTTAAAGGCGTTGGAAAAGATATATGGACAGACGAAGTTAGACTTGAGCTGGTACAAGCCTGGCATCATCAGCAAGGTGTGTTTTCTGTTATCATCCGGTTGAAAGTGGAAACTAACATCTTCAGTAGCTTGGGAAGACAGTATCGAGGGTATACAGAGACTGAAAGAAAAGTATTTTGTGTGCGGTCTACACGCCTCTATTAATCACCGTGGATCCTCCTGAGACTGTCGCTTTCAGTGTCGTATTGGCAAATGGAACAACTCGTTTACAGCTTGACATTATCCGGTCCTCGTGCTTGCCGTTCCACACCTTGTTTTCTTCTCAGCTTCTCCAGGCAACTAAGGTGTGTTACACTTACAGGTCCATTTCGTTAAATTACTCTCAAGTCTGCTGTCTACGTAGCCTAATCCTGAGATCTATCTGAAAGCTCTTAATTTAATGGGATTGCAAGCCTCTCAAACTGCTATGGTGGCGGCACATGCCTATGATTTACGTGCAGCCGCTAAACTGTGAGTCATGTTCGGTAACGGCTACTCATCTTGGTCTGACATTGATTTTGAAAGAGGAATGAAGACCGCGTATATCCACAGAACGACAGAAGATCCATCCGAAGATATGGAGGTCGTGAAGTCTGAAGTGGATGTTTTCATCGATGGACGCAGTAAACAACATGGATTGCTCGAGTTGGCGCGTCTTTTATCCACATGAACCACTCGCCTGTTTGTATGTTGATCCCTGACTACGCAACTGCTGTAACGTTGATTTGATGCTAGCAATAGACCACAACCGCAAGGCATCCAGACAATCTGCACTCTGTTGTGTATATTTAATTTACTAGGCGCCATATACAAGTACTTGCAATACAGAACTTTGCAGTCATTTACCTTGTCGACATCACTGAGGTTCCTGATTTCAATAAGGTGGGTGCTTATGTGACTGGTGCATCTTTGTTCAAGAAAACAAGAAAGCGAGTGGACGTAGCGAGCGAAAACAGTTCTTCAAACCCAAAAAATCCCTATAAACGCATCAGTAGGGCCCAGAAACAAGTGCTGCAAAGAAATAGGTGGACAAGGCGAATAGCGTATGTTTGCAAAATGAATGTGTTATCTCCTGAACCTCATGCTCGTTTTAGAGCCTGCGAGGGTCACCGAGTATGGTGTTAGTTGGCTCCCGCGAGAGCACCCAGCTCAGTCGAGGCGTACCTTGACCGTCTGTCTCGCAGTAAACCTTTTCTTAGCATAATGAGCCATTCGGCGGATGTCAGGCCACACGAAGATGGGTACAACGATGGCCATTACAGGGAGGGCAATCTCCCAGAAGCTGAATTATGCAAAATGAGCTTCTGTATCACCCTGAAGACAAGGACGGGTGGACATACAGTAGATCGGTGTGGCGGAGAGACCACATGCTGTCGAAATTCATTCCCTGTGTGGTTTTATCGCCCATGAGTCATAAGCATGGTGAGCGATATATGGACACGCACAAAGTAACCAGTTAACAATGTCAGTGGGAGGAAGATAATTGTGGCCATTGTTAAACGCCGCCTATCATGTGTACACATATGATCAGTGAATTGTTTGTGAAAAGTTTACATATCCATGACGTACATGACTTCGTTCATTTCGTAGGACGCCATCTAAATACAATGTGAGAGCTGCGTCATTGTCAAGAATGTAAAAATGCGGACATTGAAGGTATAATCAATCAAGTTTTCGGCGATACCTGCGAACATATCCAGACTAGACAACATGTACTCCATATGGTCGTGTACATCAGCCTAGTCCCTTTTATTAGTAACCGAAACTCCACCATGGTGTGCCATATAACCAAAAAGGTGGAGAACGAACAGACGCACGAGATAGATTTTTGACTTGTGACTCATGAAACCAACCACCTCGGCAGCCTTGGGATTTGAGGGCGTGTGCTCCACGAGAGCAGCGCATCGGTCGACATCGTATCGCCTGAGACCATAAATTACGGTCTTGATGGGCTCCATGGTTCGTTTCAGAAGCTTGAGGTCACCGGAAAGGATATGTACTATTTTACAACAAAAGTCAAATAACGAATTTCAAGATGGAGAAATGATAATCAACATACAATGTCGCACAACTTTCATGTTGGGTCTGAGCAGTACATCATGTTCGAGACTCAATATTTTCTCGTGGAATGTATCGACAACTTCCAGAGCTGAATCGACAACTACAAGACGTCATAATGTAAATGTTCGATATGGGAGTATGCAAAGAAACCAAAGGCCACTTACCGAGATCAAGCAAGCTTTGTACGAGGAGGGACGCGTCGGCTGATGTCCTAAGCGTTGTATCGGGTTGCCGAAGACGTGACATTATAGGTGCTGCTACATCGAGGTTCCGCTGAGGGTGAATGGAAATGACTGTGCCTAATTAAATAGGTTGGTTCAATAAATCATCAGTGCAGATTCTATTGAATTCATAAAACAATGTACCGTTACGAAGAAGGAAGATAAACATAGGCTGAACCTTGACATTGACACGCTCGCCCTTCTTGAGTTTTTCTAATGACTTTTGAGCTTTTTCACGCCTACGTCGAGACTGAGGAAAGCTAGTAAGATAACAATGTAAATTCACGCATTTCCCCAGAAGCTTACTGCAGATTCCTTGCGAGACATCAAGTCCGAAGGGATGAGAGGTTTCTCCTCGGGTGGTGCTTCAACATCCACCCTGCTGAACGGAAATCGACGTCTCCTGGACACCCGACCTCTGTTCGACTTGACCCCTGCCCAAGCACCAGACGCAGACGCGCTACCAATAAAAGTGTGCTCCTCGTCCAGAGGTCCACCTATGTCGCTGTCGCTAACAAGTTTGCCGCGTTCATACTCGGACGAGGTCATAGGTGCTGGTGAGGATGCGCGTGGAATTCCTGCTGCTACCTCTTCTGGAATGAATTTTGAGGTGTTATCTTCATCGTCACCTCCTAGAGTATGAGAGAGAACGCGGATGAAAAGGTGTTGCGTGTAGTAGTCACTCTTTGAGCGACTGTGACCTCGCTGATGGAGGACGTCTTCAAGTGCGAGGGGATGCAAATCTATGATGAGGAGTGTGACAGATAAGACAGAAGTCGCGCTGAATAGAACAACAGCTACTCACCAAACTTCAAGGCTAACGCGCTCATGACATCCCAACTAATTCCACCTATGTTTATCCACCTCACCTTGACCCAAGATTCTCTCTGGCAAGCAATGGGGTCGCCCAGCAAGTCTATGAATTCCTTGTTTGTCATGCGCCCAAACGAAGTGCGAACGCTAGAATATTCCGCCATCTCGATTACACAGTTCTCCCTGATATGACCATAGTGGAGATACGCAGATTGTCGACGAGGGTCGACTCCAGGCTCAGCTCCTGCACCATATCGAACAAACATGGTTGATGTGCGATGCATTTGAATGATTTTTCTGACACAGGCGCGAAACCTTTCTTTGGGGGTATTGTAGGCAAACATTCCAGTCGGACGACGAGAAGACTGGGACGGACGGCTTTTTTCTGGCTCTGCGTGGATTGAGGATGAGCTGCCCCTGGCTTGGTCTGCTTCTCTGGTCAGTACAGTCGGGTATGCTTGGGACGCTGCAGACGTGGATTTTTCTTGTTCTGAGTATTGTGGTGACACCGGGCGAGGCATTTCTTCTTCCAGGTCTGGTGTAAGTGAGCGTCCTTCGTCGTCACTAAAGCTATTTTCACGAGGCATCCTTCGTCGGGGGTTGCAGGGGTATCAGGCCGTTCTCGATGGCGGCGGCGACGAGGAGGAGGAGAAAATCGAGGTCAGAAACGGTTACCAGGAGGTCGTAATTAGGAGGGCATAGACAACCGTTGTAGCAGTAAAAGACTTCGAATTTCTAGTATTAGTATATTTACAGCAAGCGAACACGAGGCGATAGCCTACCTCGCACCTTTCCACCTTTCCCACTGCCAATATACCATTCAGCGATATTTTCAGCATCTCCACTGCTATTTCCTGGCACATAGTCGACATCCTTCCAGGTTCCACCAATAGGTACGCTGGTATTCTTGTAACTGATATTGGCGAACTAGGGTACCATACATTCACCCCAGTATCTTGATCTGCAACATCGCGACTATCCACCAACCTTACGGAAACATAATCGGATGTCTTCTGCTGCCCCACGTTGGAAAACCGCCTTGACGAAAGGCCTGGAGAAGAGTAAGATGGCGGGTGAGTAGAATATCTTATCTGATGCCATCTCCCAGTGCTTCTGGCCTCGAACTTAAACGATTGCAATCTTTCGAAAATGTTCATAGTATTTCAGCTTGCAACCGTAGATCCCAACGGTTCACCCCATGTGCGCTCGTGTATCAACAGAGAGTTCATCGCACCGCAAAATTTTCCTTCTTTACCGCTCCTCGTTTCCACTACAGACACTCGCACCCCCAAGGTCACGCAGATTTTATCTCAGACACGCGTTGAAACTGTTTTCTGGGTAGAGGGCACCATGGAACAGTACCGCATCTCAGGCTTCGCGTCCGTCATCCCAGCCCCTTCTCACGCCTTGTACCACCACTTTGAGAGCTCTCGGGGTCCAGCCTTTGCTGCATTAAAGGACGAAGGCTTTGACTGGGAAGCAAAGCGTCGCGAGGTGTTCGACTACTTGGGTGGACACATGCGCGCTACCTGGTGCAGACCTATACCAGGGAGCGAACCGGAAAGCGGGCACGTGGATGCAAAAGCTTGGCCCGAGTCGGTGTGCAAGCTAGGCGAAGCTCGGACTGACCAGGAGAAGGAACATGTCGACACTGCTATCGAACGGTTTGCGTTGCTGGTGATCGACCCGGAGGAGGTGGATTATGTAGAGCTCGGTGTGATACCGAACCAGAGGACCACCTTCAGGAGGACAGAAGACGGCTGGGTGGAGAAAGCTGTTGTTCCTTGATCGAAACGAACAGAATATTAACGTCGTACATGCATTCAGCTACTCGCACGAGCTCTCTGTTTCCTAGATTTCGCACCGTCTGCGGCTTTGTATCCCTATCCTTTGTGAATGGCAGCTCTCTCCACTTCTTCACTTGAGACTCGACCGTGAAAATCTTCGTGGAGCGCGCGTCTTATCGCAACGGCGAGTTTTGGCCATGCATACGGCTAATGACGTTGCCTTCCACCGCAGATCTGCACTCGAGGTTTGTTGACTGCATGCGCATGTACGCTGATACTAAATTATAGTCAAGACTTTCATTTCCGGTGAGCCCTTCTGATTCCAGTTCCCTTGCCCTAACAAGGTGACGATAGTGTGTATTCTCTCTATATCACCAATTACTTTCTGGACAAATTTTACTTGCAACCAACTCGAAAAACTGGAAATGCTAATGACGACAATGTACATATGTTAGGTGAGCCATCGCTGCCACATAATTTTTCAGCCGTCATTTGATTGCCAAAACTACGCGGATAACCGGCAAAGGATCAAGGGACACTGCCAACTTCGTTTTTACTTGTCAAGCTCGAACCGCCGACTTCCGACTTGGGACCATTCCCTAACGTTCATCATCACCGGCGGAATCTGCCAAACAGCGCTCAACTGAGGCCAAAAAGAAAGATAACCACCGTCTTCCATTTCTTGTCGGGAGTTCTGTTTTACCAAGAAGAGGAGCCGAATAAACGCGTCATGACAGTGTCATGACCTCAACCTGAAGTCCCTATCTCGTATGCGGGTTCTTTTGTGCCTGCTCATCGAGTCAGATTTCATACCATAGCGAATCCATCACGTTTGGAACTCTTCGATTGTGTTACCGATTTAATGAGCATGCTACCAATGCCACCGACGCTCGTGCACGGACCCTTGACTGCCAGATGGCGCCTCCCAAATTCTGTGCCGCTTGAAGCGCAACATGTACGAGTTATTTGGTGATACAAATACCAATCGTTCTACCGGCCGCGACGTTGAAGACATGGCAATGCAAAGTTTCTGTACAGGACACCCCAGCCGTCTCCATACCATACTCCATCTCGCTCGTCCTGACCTGAAAGCACGGTTCCCAGAGACATATATACATATTTCACCAATAGTCCATAGCATACAAGCAACCCGGTAATAGTTCCTACACATAAACATAACAAATAAACAACAGAAAATCTAGATACATCATACAGGGCTTTAAACCGAACAACAGCAATAAATCGATGGATAAAAGTTAACTTCCCCTTCTACAGTCCACGTCGACGAGTGTTTACTTATACTCTGGCTTTCTTGGGGTTTTTCTCTTCACCGGCGCTAATCTGCACAATTTCTCCGGATGATGATGCGTCGTCGTCACTGAGCTCCTCCACTCCTCTTTTGGTCCCCTTGGATACTGCGTCATTTAACTCGAGGTCGATAGGATGCTCAGCAGAACCAGTCTCGAACGATTCCTCGTGATACTCATCGTCCTCTTCCTCTTCCTCGTCCTCCTCCTCTTCTTGGGGAACACCTGGACCGCCCTGAAAACAAGTAGAATGGTTACTCTTTTGGTGATCTCACTCGTAGATGTAGAGCACTGACATTCCCCAGCAACAGTGCAGTTAACCCTGCTTTCGAGTTGACCTGGAGATCTCGTGAGTAAGGCCAGAACGGAGGGGGTAGAAGGAAGAGTACGGACAGGTGGCTCCTCCTCCTCCTCCTCTTCATCTTCCTCCTCATTTGGCTCATACACGGCACCCTGCTCCTCCTCCTCTTCTCCCTGAACGATCTGCGGGTGAATAATAGACCAGACTGTAGAGAGATGAAAGCGCACCTCAAACTCATAAATATCGCTTTCCTCGTCCTCCTCGTCTTCCTCTCTAGTGAACTCCTCGCGGGTGGGCTCCACAGTCGATTCGGCGGCCATGATTCAGGTCGGGGGGAGGGGTCGGAGTGGTGAGTGAGCCGGGTGGTGATGTTGGATTGGAAACCAGCTTTGGTAAGCTTTCAGTGCGAGCGTGGATGTGTTCGAGACTGAAAACTGAATAAACGAACGTTCGTACGGGAACGGAAAGCCTCGGTACACTCCGATTGGCTGGTATATCTAATCTCGAGGGCCGCATCGGACCGATGTCACGCAGAGAGTCGGGGAGGTATGTGCCACATGGGGCAGTCTACGGAGGCGGAGGGGGTTGGCGTCCGGGGAGGGGTCACAGAGGATCGTGGGACAACAGCCACAGATAAACAACATGCGTAAATAGGATGTAACAAGCCCAAAGAGACAACGGTGTCTGTGTTCGCACTGGAGATGAACGGTTTGACTGCGCAGTGTCTTGATGAAAGTTGACGGTCAGACAGCCCTTGGCAATGCACTTACATATATCCGTCTTTCTCTCAAGCTGACTCCCTGCTCTTAGCCGCAAAGACGCTTGTTTTGTCAAACACGAGGCCTTCCTGATCTATTCAGCTCTCGCTCGAGTACCACGAACACGTTTCGTCACTTCCGTTGCCAGAAGGTTCATAAAACCTATCCTCTATCAGTCCTGGCGGTGGTTCTGTGATCACATCTAAAACAGCCCTTACGATCATCTTTCTGGTTCCTGGCAAACATTTTATCGTCGCAATGGACATTTAAATGCGAGTTATCTGCTAGCTCCATTCGGATATCCGCAGGCGTGGGGGCTGTATCTCGCTGCTTGGGGTAAGGCTTGATTTGTTGAGTGAATTGATTGGTGCGACGGTGACAGTTTTGTGTTCAAGGCTGTCTGCGCTACTTGACGTTGTACGAACCATTCTGGGCATCTGGCCTGCTGTTTGGTGGACCTGCGTCAGGATGACGGTAATGGCCGCACGCGTCCCCAACCACGGAAGGGTCGCACTGGTCTGTTCAGCTCTCCGCTAAAGGCGCTTTGCACAGGTCGACTATCCTTGGGCTAGGTGCGAGACTTGCTGGTGGGTGTTCCGCTGGATGAGTATTTGCATATGGATTGTGGATCTGCTATTGTTATGCTTTGTATGGGTGCCGTACCCACAAGTCGAATTGTACTGTATGGCCATTGGACGAGGAGGGCGAGTGGTCGGAGTGGAGAGAGTTTTGGTGTGGTGTGGCATGGACGTCATGCCGGGTATTTTGGAAATGAAAGAGCCTACGTATTATCTGGGTGATAGCGTTGATGGATGGAAGGGTGTTGGACGCACGATGGAGTATGGTGTGGTGTGATCGGGAGGGAATGATATGAAGATGATTAGAGAGAGAGATGGTAGACTAAGTGTAGTAGTAGAATAGGGCAGCGGGTGGCGTGCGCAGACTGCCGTTATCAAGAATCAAGCTGAAAATACAGTGAGCTGACTGAAGGGGCAACGGGGATCACAGGCGAGGACGATTCAGATAAGTGGTATGGGACATGTATATAATTACGTTTAATTATTGGAAGCCGCGATTCTCACCGTGCCAGCGTCTTAGTCTACAGCCTCGAGGCAAAGAAGAGATCCAGAGTCACGTCTTTTCGCAACACGCCCTTCCCAGCCAGCAACCTCCGTATTACCCTAATTAATTATTCTCCATCCCCTCTTTCTTTCTTTCTTTCTCTCCACACCGCCACTCCCCTCGCATGCCTAGCGCCGTACTCCCTCCAAAGAAAAACTTCAGATCCGTCCTCGCCTTCACCGCTGCCCCCTTCAACCACTCCCCAACACCCACCACCCGCTCATCCATCCACACTTTCCACCACCAGCCCCGTCCCACCCCACGCGCTTCTGTAGACGTCCCCAGGAGCTACACAAACAAACCCAAGAACAGGGCAGAGCGATCAACCGTCACCGACATCTCCTTCTTTGATTCTGACACCCCTTCCCCTCACAACGACCTTTCTTTTGACTTCAACATGAAGAACATTGATGCAAATCACTCTCGCCCCGTCAGGCGGGCTCCTGTCAGAATCGACGCCCAGGAAGGCCCGTGGAGCGTCAGCGTTGCAGAAACGCCACACGACCCTCGTTCTTCCTATAGCATTTACATAAAGAGTGAGTGTCCCTTTGCCTCTCCACTCTTTCTCCACCCATTCCACTCTCCATATGTCCCTCCCTTATCCATTCCATGCCCCGTCCCATGTCCGTCTCCATATGCACCATGCTTTCTTTCAGAATCGCGAATCGCGCCTTTTACCCTTTGGCTTTAATGCTATCGATGCCCTTTGCTCCTTCCAATGCCTTCCGTTACTGACGCTCTTGACGTTGCAGCTCCGACGCACAACCTGACCCTCACTCGTACCGCAACAGAGATAGTCGAGCTCAACGACAAGCTACGCGACTCTTATCCCGGTACTAAGCTTCCAAAACTCCCTATCGATGTAGCTGCCCTCCCGGCCCCACCCATCAAGCGCAAGTCTACCTTCCTCAACACTCTCTCGCGGCTCGCCTCGCCTTCGACTAACAAAGTATCTCGTCAAGTATCCAAAAGCCAACCTCATTCCAATCACAGCAGCGGTCTTTCTTCCGTCCAACCCACCCCTGTCGTCTCTCCCTCCCAAGAGATCGGTGATCCTTTCTCGTCGTTACTGGGGACCAAGGAAACACCCCTGTCCAACGGTCATTCCGCGAATAGCCCCATTACAGCGCTGGCTGCGTACTTGACGACCGTCTCCAATGAGTCTTCAGTGCGTCAGTCGCGTGCCTGGAAGCGGTTCGTTAGAGTTCGCACGGACGACTTGGAGAGCGTACGTGTCGAGCGAGCTATCAAACGCGTGCGATCAGATCTCGCGGCACATGTCAGCCCGAAGGTCCCCGAAATGTCGGCGCAGAGCGCCAGTGCCAGTGTCAGTGTCAGCGCCAATGTGAGCTCGGCCAATATCAGTGAGCTGGAGGGCGTTGACGAACCGGAAGTTCACCTCGTGGATGGTGATATCGGGAACGTGAGCCCTAGTGATCTGCGAGGCGAGGAGATTAAAGAGGAGGAGGAGGGCGAGGGCGAACAGAAAGATCTCGATATCGCCACACTGGCAGGCGAGACTGGCCATGAGAACGGGGTAGAGTCAAAACCGCCACCTACTGGTGATGGTGGACCCACTATCGCGGAAGAAGAGCCTTCGCCGCTTTCAGCTCCTATCGATACGTCAGCTGCTAATGGCATCGAAGACGACGAGATCACCACGCTGCCTACTCCCGTGGCACTTGACTCTCCCGCATCCAGAATTCCGCGCTCGCAGTCTGCAGATCCTGACAAGGCCCATCGCCTTTCTCGCGTATATACCACTTCCACTTTGGATGGCGCGTCGTCCCAGACTGGCGACGAATCTTCTATATCTACTACCGCTGGTCGGCGCTCGGCACGGAAAAAACGTTCCCAATCGTCTGATCCTAACAAGGAATCGAAGAAGAAGTCTCAGCGAAAGGTGGTGGTCGATGACTTTGAAATGATGCGAGTCCTTGGGAAGGGCTGCGCTGGAAAGGTGCTTCTTGTGCGGCACAAACTTAGTTCAGATCTGTATGCGCTGAAGGCGATCACCAAACGACATGTGCTGGCCCATCAAGAATTACAGCATACATTGACTGAACAAGCCGTTCTGAAGAGGATGGCTGCCGAATCGAAGGACCCCTTTGTCGTCAAGCTATGGTGGAGTTTCCACGACAAGGAGAATCTCTTCTTAGTCATGGTACGTGCAATCTTTTCTCTCAGTGTTGACCTGGTGCTTATATGCACATTTATCATCAGGATTTTCACCCTGGTGGTGACTTGGCAACTCAACTTGCCCGCTGGGGTCGCTTAGGGCGTGACCGCGCTCGATTCTACGCTGCAGAAATCGTAGAAGGAGTCGAGGGCCTTCACGCAGCTGGTGTTATTTATCGTGATCTTAAACCTGAGAATATCCTCATAGGTGCTGATGGTCACATCGTTCTGACCGATTTCGGACTCTCGAAAGAGTTCCCTCGCCGAGCGACGGCGGCCACGGCCCCATCGACGCCTTCGGGTTCACGAGGCGAATTCTACTCTTCTTCGCCTGGTACGGCTGAGCCCGCCACCCCGCCTTGGATGCGAGGAGAGAGGGGCCAGGAGCTGGCCATGGGCTGGCCTGGTCAACCTGTCGGACAGGCTGATACGACGAGCACGTTCTGTGGGACGGCTGAGTATCTGGCTCCGGAGGTTATCCAAGGGCTGCCGTACAGCTATGAAGTGGATTGGTGGAGCTTTGGGACGATGTTGTATGAGATGTTGACTGGCATTGTGTGTCTCCTTTTCTTATGCTTGTGGTGGTGGTGTCGGTGCTGATGGATGCGTTTGCGTCTGCCTTTGCAGACTCCGTTTTGGGCAAATAATCATTCGGATATGTATGTCAGGGTATTGCAAGATGAGCTCCAGTTCCCGGATGATAGGGCTGTCGATCAGGATACGAAGAGTTTGATTCGAGGCGTATGTGCCTGCCTTTCTCGTCTAAGAGAATCGAACTAACCATCCCTTTTCAGTTGCTTCAACGCAATCCAGCACTCAGAATGTGCGAACCTCGGATAAAGCGACACCCTTATTTCTCTATGATGTACGTGAACTCGAGTTGCATCTATCTGGCTTGTTGTTTAATTCTTTCCTACTGTTTGCAGAGACTGGTCTCACGTATATTATAAACGATATATACGTAAGTGACTTTTTTTCATCTCTGCGCTCACGTCCATCGAACCTAACGCGCTGCTGTTATTTTTCAGCCCCCTATATCCCACCTATCGATCCATCCAATGCAAGTGATACCCAAAACTTTGATGATACATTCCTCGACATGGAGCCGGTCATAGACGACCCGAACGAGAACGAACAGACGGACACTGATCAGGATCGTGACCAAACCGACATGGAGCGCACAGACGGCGAAGACTCCAATACCACGCCCTCTCACTCGCGCAGTCCATCCGTGCATCCCGACGAGGACAGCGTGGACGTCTTTGACGGCTACTCCTTCAAGGGTCGCCACTCCATCATCATAGGTGAGGACGAGGGCTCTGAGGAATCGGAAGGAGAGGAGTCGGACGAGGAAGGGTTGCCGGCGATTCTGGCCGATATTCTGGTGACGCAACCGGGGCAGGAAGAGACGCTTGATGGGGCTGTTGATGCTCTTACCATCGATGAGCGGACGCCCGAGCCGAAGACTCCTGAAGCACGGCCTCACACTCTGCCAGCGGAGGAGCCCATCGCTAATCTGCCTGTTACGCCAGTGGAGGAGCCGCCTGCCCCTATTGTTGCACCTAAACCACCTGTTGAGCAAGTCGCTACGACGCCTAGAACTAGCAAGGAGGTCCCGAAGGCTCCTGTGTCTCCTCCCAAGGAACTTGCGCCCACACCCCCTGTAAAGGACATCAAACCGAAGCTCGTCAAGGCACCTGCTGCTCGCACCGGCCACTACCGCACGGCGCGGGGTAAGCGGGAGAAATCCGGTGTTGCAGCTCTTGACCGGTTCCTGTCCGATGGGCCCGACGAAGATGGGAACGTTACGGAGAAGGATGACGAGGATGATGACTGGGACTTCATTGAGGCCGTGGATGGCGAGGACCGTAATGGAACGAAAGGCACCAGTCTTTTCGCGCGTGGAGTGGTCGACCGATACAGGCTGGCCGTTTTCCGAAAGGCGTCGACGCCTTCTCAACGGCCGCCACTTCGCACCTTTTCGAGCATGTCCAAAGAGTCCGAGGTCAATGGCGCCGAACCTACAGACTCGCCCAGCCCTTCTGACAAGCAGCGCCGAGGACGTACGCCTGGTCTCAACTTCCGAAAGCATCCGAGGCAATTCTTGCGAGCTAAATCTCCGCCTTCTGCCAAGTCGGGTTCGACTGCGAAGACGCTCAGCCATTCGACGTCTGCTACTCTTTCGTCGGCGTCTAGCACTGGGATGATGACGCCGTCGCTCTCGGGTGCGAGCACCCTGCCGATTTCGCCCTCTTTGAAGTCGAAAGAGTCTGCGACGTCCGTGGGAGAGAGTGTGTCCTCAGATCAGTCTAATGGAGAGGCCGGCGCCGATCTTGTCCATTCGGAAACTAGGACGCCAGCCGTGTCACATGTGGAGGAGCCCGAGAAGTTGAAGAATAAAAAGCTCAAGAAGTACAAAGAGAACGCGGAGAAAGTCTTTTCCCTGTTTGCATCCCCCCGACAGGCGTCGTAATCCACCATTTACCAATGAAATATCGGAATTCCCCTTTTTTTTTTTTTTTTCTTCTTTTTATATTTGCTTTCAGGTCTAAAAATCGGTTATCTGTACACCTTATTACAACTTCAAAAGGTCATTTCTTATTACCCATATGCATTGCTCCGCCATTAAATAAACTCACCACATTCCTTGCCGTCTTTTCCCCTTCTTTACCCATCTCGCGTCGGACGGTGGCGACTTGGCTCGCCACCGGCTCGGTTTTACCTATCTTACTTATGGACTAGACACTCTTTCGTCTTTTCATCCATGGTTTATCGATTCATACCGGCTGTGTCTTTCTGTCCTTACTTGCAATGCTGTTTCCGCTTTAGTATTTCGTCTCCCCCCCCTCCCAAACTCAAACAAGTACCCTTGACCTTTTAGATCAATCATTTTCTTAATACAGTATTAGCTGCTGTCGGATTATAAACCTTCTACCATACCCCTTTTTGCGAATAAGAACCAATCCCAACAGAGAATATATATATATATGTGTGTGTGCTCGATCGAGTTCGTGGTTTGTCCCGGGTTTATTGACAGAACGCTGATCTTTACAATACGTACACTGCCATCAACATGATGGAACCATGTCTGACCCCTGGATCTTATTCTCACATAACAAAAGGGGGTATCTGCACTGATTCTATTATGCAAGTGCATGCTAGTTTGGGTACCAGCATCGACGTCTGTGCAAAATATAGATTACGAATAATCGATTGGAACGCTATAATACAGCAGCTGAAGATAAATACGAAGGTACCCGCAAGGAGCCAGTGATTGTGTTTGAGAAAAAAACAACCCAGTAACTTATGAAACTATAGAACGATAGAAAAAAAGACCGAATCGATATGATAACCCTAGTCCAGAGCGTTCAAGCTTTCGCGAATTCGCTGTACCCGTTCCTCTACCCCATCCAACATCTTGCCGATGCTTGCCACTTCTTCCCGCAGGTTGCTACCCACAGGACCACTCGAGAGCGGCGACACTATCCTGGGCCGTCCCGCATCTAGTTCTTCCCAAAGGCCAGTGACGATACCCTGCACCCACTTCTCCCTATCGTCCAGCTTCCTCAGCTCCTTCTGTCTGCCCACTTCTTCTCGCCTGCCGACCATGAGGAGCGTCCAGATGTTGCTGAGGACCAAGAGTACGATGACGAAGTAGAGTATCGTTGTGGACGACGACTGGTCCCATGCGTCTTTGATGAGCTCGATAGCTCCACCCGCAGATCGTTTGGCAACGCCATACGCGCCATCGAACGTATCGTACGCCCACTGGAGACCACGCTGGTTGCGCTCTTGCTCCCTTGTTTTCCGCGCCAGCTCGTCGGACACGGGCGCTCCACCAACCAGACCGCCATCGAGTGATTTCTCGAGGGAAGGGCTCAGCGCTTCTACAGGTGCAACGGCAGAAGGATCGACGCCCGCCGGAACGAATTCGCTCTGATGTTCCTGGATATACATCCGCATTGCCTTGTCAAGGTCGGCATGATAAACTTTCTGACCTTCAATAGCGGATTTTTCAATGAGTCCTATAAGTATAGTCATGAGCGCAGAGTTATTACGAAATAACTACGGCAAAGTCACCTTTGATGAAACTGCGACCAGTCCAATCAACTTGGGTGGTTACAACCACACGGGTTGTTATCGCACTTGCCCACATCATGCATGTCCTAGTTTTGACAGCAAACACGCCTCCGCTTGGCACGTCTGGCGTCCTAGTAGTAGTGACTGTCACAACATAGTCGTCAAAGTCGCAGTAGACCGTTTCGTCCCTCAACTCGCACTTCGTCTGTTTTGGTCCTACGCTGTTATTCAAAGGCTTGATGTACGACATGTTGCGACACAGAAGTTTCGAGTCTCCTGCAGTAGGCGACCAGTCTGATATTTGGATATCTAAAGAAAGAACGACGTGAGCAGGGCGTTCGAATTGATGCGTTTGAGAAAAAGGTAGTGTCTTACCAGCAAGCTTTTGCTCAACTCGCATAAAGTCCTTGATAAAACCACTAGTGAACATCAAATTGTAAATCTTGTCTGGAGTTCCAGGCAAGACAGTCTCCAATGCAGTTTCGTTGAGGTGACTTCCATCCTTCCCACAAGCACACTGAGTCGCCTTCTTGCGTGGAACCACAATGCTTGCCATTGGGAGAGATCCATCGGAGTCTTCTACAGCTCCAGCAACATTTTGGGACGAGTCACTCCTGCTACCTCCCATCCCATCCAGACTTTCAATTTCGGGCTTTGCTAGTCGCCATATATTGGCTATCACGTCATACGTTGTGTCTCTCGAGAGGAAAGACGCAAATGTGTACTTGGCCCGACGTGTTGCGATTTGGATCGCATTCGGGATGACAAAAGCAGTCATTTTCTTCTCCAATGAAATTATCTCATATATAGGTATGGACAGCTAGTGAGGCCAAAGACAAATATTAAAGCAATTGTTAGCCTTTGAAGGACTATCAGACTTACGTCTGTAATCCATCCGAAAATATTGGCATGGAAGCAAATATGATTTTCTGAAATATATAAGCGTCCTTGAATGAGAATTTCTCGTTGTAATGCACAACCATAGTCTGCAACACTGAGTAAGTTGTTGGTCCATATATCACGACATACCAATTACCTTCAATGAGATAGTCTCCCTCTGGAATGCTTGGAAATAGCTCGTGGAAGTCTGCGTTTCTTTTACTGCTGGCAACAGCAAACCCTGTGACTGGGATATCATCTTCATTCATGTCAAGTTCATCGTCTGACGCAGAACTGTCGTCGCTGGAACCAATGACGTCGGAGAGATATTGGTCAGAGTTATCACTCTTGCTTAGAGACAACTGTCTCGAACGTGCACTACGGACGTCCAGTGAACTTGGCACAGAGGGCACAGAAGCTGATGCAGCTTTTGTCGACTGTTTATCCCCAGATTTTGAGCCACTGCTCATCGCAAGGGCGATTTTAGATCCTGAATGTGGAGTGTGGGGCAACCCAGGTACCTGCGAGCCTGGATTGGCCATGGCTATTCCTGAAGCTGCTATAGCAGAAGCTAAACCAGTTGGTTTGCGAGTGGGAGTACTGAGAGAAGGGCGACGCCACGACTTTTTCTTCTTCGAGCTCGTAGCAGACCGCACGGACCTGGCGTCCGTGTCACCGTGAGGGTTTAATAGCTCACCCTGAGAGCTATATGCCGTAGGCGAATCAATGATTATTTTACTGCCTTTGTCTACAGAGCCAGCCTTTGCGTGTTTAGCCTGCCGTCGCTGCGCCTCGCTATCTTGTCCGTTTTCTGCTACTACCGTACTATGAGGTTTTTTGATGACTAAAGGTGAAGGCACCTGCGTCTGGCTGCGTATCGATCGATTCGAAGTTCTGCGCTCAACATAAGTATCGGCACGAGGACGAGGATTATCAACACCGAATGGAAGCGGGGGTGGAGTCCTCGAATCACGCGAACCCTCGACAAAGCCGCGAAGGTTACCTGTGGACGAGGCAGGCGTAAGCTGGCGGGTCTGGCTGCGCGACGATTTGGTACTGCCAGTGTCCCATTCTCCAAGTCGATGGGGATGCGAAGGGGTAGGCGTGGGAAGAGCATCTTCAGAGGTAGATCCTGATGAACTCGCAGGCCGTGCAGCTAATGAGATGGCGTGTCGGTCTGGGATTTGGCGGTCCTGAGATCGAGCGCGTTTGTGGTTGCTAAGGTCATTCCGCATGTGACTCTCAGGACGAGGATCATGGTGCGGGATGTCAGAGTTTATGGTACGAGGAGAGGGTGGTATTATACCGATCGTTACGCTCCCCTTGGTACTGAGCGAGTCAGGAGTATTGGTCCCATTGTTTTTGTTTCTGGCAGTTAGAAACTCCTTGTTGTGCAATGAAGAAGGAGCGGGGCTCGTCTGGGTACTGGTTCTACCTCCTGAGGATGGATACGTGGACTCGAACGAACTGCCTTTGCTGGAAGTGTTGTTATTGTTACTTCCAGCGTTTGTTGGCGTTCCTTTAACGAGTTTGGAGAAAAAACCTGGGGCCATCAAGAATCACAGATATGGAGACCTTCACTCGGGATACGGTCAGAACCCGGTACCGCACAGAATCAAGAATTAACGCCTGTTGCTGAACCCAGACCCTCCCTGGCAATGCAGTTAGCGTCCTGTTGTCGCGTCCGGTGTGGTGATGGTTGAGAAGAAAGAGATTGGGTGCCGAGTGTCTTTCGAGCTGTCACGGTAAGTTACTTGATATTATTCCAATTGACGCCAGTCACTCAGGCTCCGCCCTACTACCCGAGCACCGCAATTCATATCATCGTACCATTCCAAATTGTCTTTCTTGGTCTTTCTGCAACAGCTTTTGACGCCTCGTGCGTGTCGTATACGTCGTGCAACAAATTTATATTCAACATGATACTTGACACTGGACCGCAGCTAACGTAACACCTAGCAGACCCTCACCTTGTGGTGGACATAGTATTGATATGCTTCCATTGGAATTTACCAAGGAGGTCACTCACAATACCAAGAGAAAGCGTCTAGAATTACTTGGCCCACCCCCGACTGAAACTTTCCAGTGGTCTCTGCACTCTTTGGGCCCTAAAAGACAGTTATAACTGCCCCCCGCCGGTCAACTTTTCGTTTGGTGCGTGATGTCTTCGAAGTTGATCTGATATTATTGTCCTTACTACCTATTCTTTCATTCGTCTTCCAGGCACACAATGCACGGCTAACGACAATATTAATGATATACGCTCTGTGTATGCGCTTGGTATGGGCATGTGGATTATTTCGCCGAAGCACCTGCTCTAAATATGCGTTAATATTAGGGGCAGGTGCGGTCATGGGTATATGGCGTTTGAATGGATAGGCTTCCGTTGCGCCTAGACGCGGGACGGAAAATAGTGCGATGGTAGCCCGCTCCCAATAAACCCACTCCACTCGAACCGCTCGGACTCGGGGTTTCTTCTACGGCTCTACGTTGATAATGGGAAATCGACTCTTATCCTACGCAGCATGCAAGCGCTTTCCTATACGTGATTCTACTAGAATGTTCTCTGCTATTGTATGTATCATAGTCTGACAATGATTTGTTATCGCAACACTGCCCATAAACCATAATGTCACTAGAAGCTGCCAGGCTGGACCAGAAGTGGACAGTATTGCAAATCGTGTTGTATTGCCTGCGCCATTTGAGGTGGACTGCGTGGGTGATAGCGCTTACATTTGTGTTCGTTGACAGCAATAAGTACTACTTTGTACATTACTAGTATACGAGCGAGGTATGTCAGCCCAGTCACGTGATCTCTCCTGTGGTGAATTGAAGCTGATTAACGCGGCTGTATATAAACAATCTGATCTCCATATCATTCTCAGTACGCCAGCATCCAATCCTTCATCAATCAAACACCTTCAAGCCCCTCATGACCGTCACTCCCCTCAACTCTCTCAAAGAATTCCAGGAAGTGGTGAGTCTCTCTTAACGTCGCGCCTATATGCGGTATTCATTGTATCTATCACAGATCAACAATGGTAAAGTCGTCATCATCGACTACTGGGCAACCTGGTGTGGCCCGTGCAGGGTTATATCCCCCATTTTTGAGCGTCTCTCAGACGAGTGTAAATCCGACAATGTTGTCTTCTTCAAGGTAGACGTGGATGACCAACCTGACATTAGCTCAGAAGTAGGCATTCGAGCGGTACGATTTCCTTTCTTTCCATGTGCATTACGTGCGATAACTCATGATGGTTTCGTCTTTCGTACAGATGCCCACTTTCCAGGTCTTCAAGGATGGCCAGAAAATCGGCGAACTCGTCGGTGCCAACCCTCCTGCACTCGCGGTATGTGCGGTATTCATTTTACACTACAGCCACTAACCTGGCAATTCATGGCTTAGAAACTCATCGAATCCCACGTCTAAGGAATATCTCAAAGCTACTGATGAGTTCGGTTCTGAGGCAATTGTTGTTCTTATTATTACCGCCTTTCCCGTACCTTTGTTGTATTATTTCCAAGTTGAAGAAGAAGATCGCATTTCTGACTGTAGTAAATAAATTCGCTAGTGTCTCCCATGTGTTGTTACAAACCTCAGATCTCAATATTAGCTCTTAATGAGTACAGATGACGGAATATCCGCGTTATGAATCAATATGGACAGTAAATGGACGGCCAGTATAATGTCGGCGTGCCAAAGCCCGCATCTGTCATCGAATTTTTGGATAGTCACTTTATCACCAGCGAAGTACTGTAGTATCTTTTTGCGCGATCTACAGGCCAGACTCTTCTCTGTGACGTTTTCTCTCGTACATTCGTGCATCCTATAATACATATATGCAATGTACCCTCCTTCCATTCACTCCATCTCCACAATCCGGTATCTCTCCACCCGTTCTAAATGTGGGGTCTGGGGTGTCAGAACAGCTGCGGAATTTATTTTTAGTCTGACTACGCACTTTCATTGAAGCGTTTTCTGAATTCAACCTTCAAGCGCACATAGAATGATCTGACATCGAACATCCATTGGCCAATACTGACCGTCCGCGTCTGCACGATCATCTTCGGGTCATCCTCGTCCGCTACCTTTCTGATGTCGCCTTGCCCATCATGGCGGACAAGCCGAAAGACGGGTATGTCAACCGGACGCCCATCCTGATCATCGGGCAAGGTCAAGAAGGTACTGTTGAAATGCAGCATTTTGCCTGCCATGATAGCAAGTGGGATAGCTTGAAAGTCAATACAGACGACAAAAGATGTCAGCTGATCGACGTTCGTGATTTTCTCTTTGTTTTGGTCGCTGTAGTCGAAGATGCGGTCCAAGACGGCGTCTTTGTGGATGTTGAACGTTTGATCGATCAGGAACATGAAAAACTTGGACTCGGAGTAGACCTCATTCGTGGGCTTGCTCAATGATATTATGTTGTCTAGAGCAGGTACAGAAAAGGATGTTAGATAACAACAACTTGATCGGAAAGTCCTCGTAATTAAATCAAGTACACGAACCTTCAGGATTCCCTTGAATAGATTGACAGAACGCGCGATGTTCTGGCCATGCCTTTCGCTGACACTCTCGTGAACAGTAATGAGTGCTGCGGCAACCAGTACATCGGGAGAGTTTGACATCGTTTCCCCTATTCACATTGGGGCACTATTGTTAGGAGATGAAAGTAAGAGAATGCATAAAATTGGGAACGTCAATGTCAAAGCCACTCACTGCAGAGAACCCGCAAGTTCTACTCGAACTCGATTTCGTGACCCTACACATGTCAGCGACATCCATGATCATCAGCCGCTCTTTTGCCATGTCCGTGAATGATACCCATTCTTTCCACAATAACCCTGCAACCCGAGGTTTAGCGATATCGGATTCAATGATCTCTTGGAAAGGCTGTTCGAGCGCGAGTAGAACAGAATGCAAGACGAAAGCTTTCTTGATGATATCAAACACTTTGACAGCCACCATGGCAAGGCTACTATCAAGCTTTGTTTCGACCACTGAACACGAAAGCAAGAAGGCGCTGAGGAGTCCGGCCTCGAGCGCTTTTGCAATCCAACCAGGATTTGTCTGTAGCAGTGACATATTATCAAAGAAAAGATACGAGACCCGAAGTGTCTGTAAGACGTCAAAATCCATAGACTTCGTGATTCGATTTGCGGCAGCAAGGAATGCCTTCGTCGCGAACGTAATCCCAGACCGTCGCTCGAATGCCGCCAGTATCTCACCATTACCATCACAACTAACCATGAGAATGAAAATAAGGACTCGGATCAGATCGAAATTTGGGGAATCGACTGCGAGAGCCGAACGAAGGTATTTGATATTGTAGGCTGCAAGTGTATCGGCAGAACCCCCTGCTCCCTTGACCATCACTGCGACAATCATGTCCCGAACGAATTCTCCACCGCTAAGCTGTTGAGCAATGATCTCGGAGAATACCATCCCTTTATATCCAGATTTAATTTTCGGATATTTGGCCAAAAGGACCTGTTCTTTGAGCCATAGCTCGGTGGCGAAGATCGTAAAGGTCGGTGTGGCCATAACCGTCTTACTATGGTTGAAAACGTAGAAGTGTGCCAGACCCGCTATCTCGGTAATCGCTATTTGCTGAGTGGTCTTGTCGCATTGTTCATGCACAACGCAGGATTGGTAGAGATATACTGCATCCATGCAAAGAATTTTGGCCAAGCTGCATCGGGATCGATGCAACACGGTTGACCCAGAGAAGGTGCAGGACGTAAGAGTTGCCGTAGAGGTATGATGGCATTGAGCGCGTTCATAACCACACTAGTCTCCTCTTCTGTCAAAACTTGCCCAGAACGAGTTGATGGTATTTTCTCGATGGCAACATCGGAAAGTAAACTGAGAAGACTCCTACGTCGATGATCAGAGAGGGTACGCGAGACGCCGTCGCTGTATATGCCAAACAAGTCATTTTGCTTATGGCGAAACTGTTGGAGATATGAGAGAAACAAGCGTCGTACGAAGAAGGGAAGTGGCGCAAGCGCCGAACTAGGCAGGCCTAGTAGATGGAGTGGCCCGTGCGCCATCAGATAACATTTTTGATTTTGATTCCGTTCTCCCTTATATACGCTGTCGTCGTTAGGCAGACACCTCAGACCTTCACTCGAAGTCTGAGGTGAGATTCCCCTTTCTTGTTAAATTACGAGTACCTAGCTTACCTTTCGTTTTTCCAGCTGTTCATTGCTAGGTACATTATTCCAATATATAGAGACCTTCACTCGAAGTCTGAGCTGTTCATTGCTAGATAAACAATAGAAACTTTCTTTGACCGCGAGTTGGCATCACTTTATAGCTGACCATAATTCAACGGAGGCATTCTCGTTAATCATGTGACTTCAGTAATAGAAGTAACAAACACTCACGCAGTAGAGTGGACTTCAGGACTGATTCAACCGTTATCAAGGGATATGTGCACTGGTAGTAGCAACTGCAGCGCACTATTGAGGTAGTGGAACTTTTGCAACTAGGAGACGAGGGACTCACCGAATTGCTGCAGTACTGAGCAGACGACTTATACATAAGGACAGTTTAGCCGAGCTCATCGCCGCAGACCTTCGACGTCGCTAATATGAGCCCTATGATTGCCTAATTTGGAGAGAAGATAGAAGTCTTCCTATCCAAATGCATACGGCAGCAGCACGATATGTTAACTTTATCGTGATGGCCTCGTGTCGGTTCTCAAACCACTGACAAGAAAGACATCCGTGGCCCTGCCCTTTATATAGCAACCTGGCTGTTCTCTGTCCAACAATCGGAAGTAAAACTATCATTTACTAACAAGATATCTTACAGTATATCCTCAAATTTTTGCTACACATAGCATGACGCGCGATCGCGCAACCCCATTTGTAACTTCTTGTAACGTACAAAAGCACAACGCACGCCCTCCTTTCGGATTCCTCCGTCAATAATTCTGGTAAGATATGATTAGATCAGTTCCAGATCATGGCCATAGTATCTCGCCCTCCACTCTGTGAAGGGGTCAGCAAGATTTCGCTCATCGCATCACGGCTACGACGCACTTTGATTGAACCGTTCCCTGAAATCTGAGTGCAAAGTGACATAATAGTTTGAGACATCGGGAAACCATGATCCGATCGTGGGGGCTCGCGTCTGCATGATGAGTTTCGGATTATTCTCCTCAACCTTCTCTCCCTTCAATTGTTGTAATGCATGCTCAATCATTGGACGAAAAGACGGGACGTCGATCGGGAACTCGTCCTCGTCACGCCGATGTGGACGTTTTGAAAGAAACTGCAGGCTTTTCCCAACAGTGATGGCCATGGGATAGGCTGCAAAATCCAAGCAGACGACATACGATGACAGCTGGTCAAAACAGGTGATTTTCTCCCTGTTTTGCTCGCTGAAATCGAAGATTCGATCCAAAATCGTGTCTTTGTGGACACTGAAAGTCTGATCGGCCAAGAACATATAGAACATGATTTCAGGATATATCTCGTGTGGAGGTAATACTTCCTCTACGGAAAAGAAGTGACGTAAATAAGTCAAACAAGACAGTTCCCTAGAAGAATTATGCTCCTGACCTTCCAGTTGATCCTGAACGCTCTGACAGAATCCGCGATGTTTGGGCCAAGCTTTACGCTGACATTCTCGTGAACAGTAATGAGCATTGTAGCACCCAGCACAACGTAAAGCGTTCAATTCCTCGTTATCAAAACTATTGATGCACTATGAAACAAGGATGATGTCATCACAGGGTGAACGATGCAGGTTTTGTCACTTACAGAAGGGAAATCACAGCTCTTGTTCGCCTTTGCTAATCCAAACGTGTCGCTAATGCTCAACACATGCAACCTCTCTGCCACTATGTCTTTGAAAGTTAACCAGTGACTCCACAAGGGCCCCGCTGCCTCTGGCGTGGCAATGTTAGATTCCAGTATCTCCATAAAGGGCCGCTTGAGTGCGTGCAAAACGGAGTGCAGGACCAGTGCCTGCCCAACTCTCTCCAACGTTTCAATAGCGATTTGAGCATGGGGAGAAGGGAGCTCTGCCTTCATGAGCCCGCACGATAGTAAAAGTCCCTGAAGTAAACCTGACTCCAGTGATTGAATCATCCAATAGGGGCCTTTTCCACACAAAGGTACAGTGCCGAAAAACAGGTAAGCCCAACGTATGGTGAATAATACGTCATGATCAACCGGCTTTGTGATGTGCTTCGCAGCTATAAGAAACGTCTTCGCCACGAGAAAAGCACCAGATCGCCGCAAGAATGTGCCATATAGCCTGCCATTTTCTACGCAGCACATTGAGATGACGAACAGTATGCCTCGGATCAAGTGAAAATCGAGAGGATCAGCGGAGATGGCTGAACGAAGATACTTTAGAGTATAGGTCGCAAGGGAGTCCATGGTTCCAGCTGCGGCTATTATCTCATCCACACGATCTTCCCGTTGATGCTCCTCGGTGAGTAATTGAGCTATCGTTTCAGAGAACATGAAGCCGCTATAACCAGCCTTGAATTCTGTGTATTTGGTAAGATAATACTGTTCTTTCAGCCAAATCTCGGTAACAAAAGACGTAAATCCTGGAGTAGTGTAGATGCTTTTGGTAGGGTCACCACCGTGAACATATAAGTGTGATAGACAAGCAATCTCAATGAATGCCGTCTCTTGAGTCTTTGTGTCGTATCCGTGGCGAAGGACGCAATGTTTATAGAGACACTTCATCCATGCAAACAGCCTGGGCCAGATAGATCGAGGTTCGAAGGGACACTTCTTGTCTAATTCCATCCCTAGTTGTAAAGTATGTCGTAGTGCTATGATCGCATTGAGAGCCGTCATAATGGCGTCTATATCTTCTGCCGTTGGTCGTCCAGAGTGGTCTGGCGGTATTTTCTCCATCGCGATGTCGTCGATGAGAGGCGCAATCAATTCTTGTCTTTCATCAGAATAGCGCGACAAGTTGTGGGCCTTGTGGTGTACCTGGAACTGGTTCTTATTTTGATTTCCATGGCGAAATTTCCTACTAGCGCGAGTTGGCATCTTGTTAGAGTTACTGCCAGAACTATTTCTCACAAATCTATGGTAGAGCTTGACAAATCAGACAAATCGATGATAGCAAATCTAGTTGAAACCAGGTACTCACACGTGGTAGTATACGATGCCTTGATAGTTTTGATGTGATCACACAATGCGTAGAGCCGAGCAGCAGCGATGTCTGGTACAAAACTAGGCTTAGTGAGTTGATAAAACGACTATGCAGTAACGGAGGACTTACCGATAATGCTGCAGACCACTTAAAAAGGGCATGCGACTGGCAACTGAAGTCTGCCTCGTTGGGTACACGCTGAAATACTTTCCCCATTCAAGCCTGGCCACCCGAATAATTATGCTGATGTTTATCGCAATCACGATAGAAGCTAGGAAGCAGGGAAGGTTTCGTTCATGAAGCACGTCTAAGCATAGAACTTACCCCTATTATAGCGTTTGTCGGGTTGGTCCTGGAAAGCGAGATTAACTCGAGTTCCTTTGATAGTAAATCGTTACGATATAATCATAATGATCAATCTAACATTTCGCCCACGAGCACTAGTACCGGAGTCCTGCATCCCAGGCACCGAATAATGCTGTGATTGAAAAACAATCGTGAAAAGAGAGACCAAATTATACGTGGGCCACGTTCGTATTGCACTTCATAGGAGTTGGCTCGTTGAGACGATATCCCGTAATCTCTCATCCCTGCTTGCTTTCCCGCTCTTCCTGCTTTCGTGTCTAGACTGCACAACTTGTCACCACCTTCCATCGAATCAATGTGATACGACATTTGATTATAACGCCCAGTACGCCTCGTGTTTGCTTCTCCTTCATCCCAAACGAACTTTTAATCTCCTGAAAGAAATTGAAAAACTTCGTTGATAGATCATAAAACGGTCATAAAGCCAACCTCCTTGCTTAAGGTTCGCTCCAGTCGAGACCAGCAAGCAGAACAGAATCCCCCAGGCGAGTCATTCGATTGCTGAGCACCTTGCTTTTATGCGACGTTCCTAGCACCATGAGTATTAGCATTCGCAGAGCATCCGAACAGGGCGATTCAATGGCGGCTACACGAAGAACGGCTATATACTAGGTATCGATGCTAGACTTCATATTTGCCATACTATAGAGCGAGTTACTGGAGAGAAGTGTGCATAATATCAACGACCTTTTGGTATAAATCACATAGTGGTACAAGCCCTGTGAGTGAAGCTGACAGCGCGAGAGAAGAATACCACGCACGGACCTTCAGCGTTCTCACGTGACGTGCCCCTTCAAAAGCTTTGCGATGTTCATTTTTGTGTCTTCAACGCACTCAAGTCAAATTGCAGACCCAGTGAACTTTTGCAAGACTGGTCTGTGCCAAAGTAGGGCGGAAAGCAAAGAGGCGTAACTGCCTCGATGGACGTCTTAGTGCTTGGTTTCGGCCACGCTTATTCTTCAGTTATAGAGGACGAGCAAAGCCGGTGGTTCATACAGCTATTCCACGTAGAATATTTTGTCGATTCGGACCCGCAATGCGATGAAGTCTATCATTTTGCTCAATAATTTTTGGTGTTGACACTGAGGGTTTTATATCATTTCACGAATCGATGATCATTTGCGTCGACTCGGTCGTGTTGATATCAAGGGCATGGATGTATCAAGGGCATGGATGTCAATACTGATGCCTAAGCGCCTTTTCTTTGCATCTCCTCCTCATCTTCACGCTGCAGCTCTGCATCTACTTGTGCTCCCCTGGACGGTTCGTTCCCATGTGCTCGTGCAGGCGCCAACGGATCTGTAGATGAATCGGGCGCATCCCCAGTGCTTGTATCACGCGAGTGCTTAGATGCAGCGGCCAGACGATTGCCTATGCTGCGCTCATCTCTGGATGAATGGGTGAGTGTGGTTGTCGTGAATGGAAGGCACAGAGTATGCTCACTTTGAGTCTAGATCATGATGTGCATTGCCTTGTCCTTCGTCGTACTTCTTGTGGGGGTTCTTATCCGTTTCCTTGGATGTTCTGCGAGTAGATGAGACGAACTGCCGTTGCACATGTCAAGAAGCGAAATTACACACCGTTGGTCCCCCGCTTCGTATATTTGTGGGTTGCCCACTTTGGACTGCATAGCGCCAGATCGTGCTGAGGACATTGTGAATAATGTTGCGTTGCGATACTAGGGGAGAGATAGTTCGGTTTTGGTTCTTTGGCGAGTCGTTTTATTTTCTTGAGCTGGGAGTTGGATGACGTCAAATATATGCAAGTGACATCATAGTATACACTGGATAGAGTAAATCTTGACTGAGTTTTGTTGATGGCGATAGATATCGTGTGGGTATATATCACTCTTAACGATGATCATCAAGTTGTGTGAATCAGTATGAACCATGATTTGTCGGTCTCAGCGAACATTTGCATACTGTCAGTGGCCCACACATTTATTCTTCCCCTTCATCGTCGTCCTCGCCATCCTCCTCCTTCCGCCTCGCCAGCGCCTCTTTCTCTGCATCCGCTTCTATAGTCCCAACCGCATCCCGCCACGCCGTCAGATCTTCTCCAATTTTCACCCGTGCTTCGGCAATGGATGATACCAAGGACTCATAGTATAATTTTGCGTTAAATGCTGCGGGCGATGACTGAGACTCGGTTGGAAAAGAAAGTGGAAACGAGCGTGTCGCACATGGCGATAAATCGCGGGGAGAAGGCACTGATGGAGGTGGATGAAGAGCGTAGGTGATCGTTAGGTTCTTTGGTGTAGATGACATGGTATGACTTGTATGCGCCTCGAGAACAGAACCTTCAAGTTCGCTGTAAACACCGATATAGGTCTTCCAAAGTCACCTCGAAGTTGGGAGTTACGCGAATGTATAAAAGACAACAGCTATAAGCGCCACGTTAGCATCTCTTCATCCTAACAGAATGACTGACTCGGATCAATTACTTTGCCTCACCGAAACAACTCTATATTTCTATCGAGACTTGAATGCAAATGCGGCGGATTCACCCAATAGCAAGGCCTTGCGCGTCAAATCATAGCAAAGCAACGTTAAAGCAATCGATGACATCGCTACAATAGCTGGACACGAAGCAAAACAGCCCAGCACGAACTCCTCTTTATTCTCAAGCACAACAAGCTTAACATGCCATACGTCCATCTTGAACAACAGGAACAGGAGAACCAATTCAAAAAAAGCCGCGACCACTACTGCCGGTGGTCTCAGATACAAACCGGGCGGGTTTGAGGATGAAGCAGAGATAGAAGAGTATGTAGAGGCTGTCAACGGCAAGCGTACAGTGAGTGAGGTAGTTGATTTTCTGGTATATGGTTTCTAATTTCCGACCTTATATGTTCAGAACCTGGTCAGAGTTGAAGTGGGTATTGTCCCGCCCTCAAAGCGTGTCAAAATCGAACGTCCGACCAAGGTCACTAATCCTAAGCTTCCTGAAGGCTGCCTGGAAGGTGGACGCTGGCACAACGCATTTATTGCTACGTACAAAAAATGGGTTGTGACTTGTGACAACCCTTGGAGTATTACTGACGCCAAAGCCATCTGGGCCATGCAATTGGCCTGGGACGCTATTTACCCCGACATCCAACACACGGTTACCATACACGATCCGGTCTATCTCGTGGTAAGTCATCATATTTGTTTCGATATATCACTCACTGGCTGTCAGGCCTCCCAGCGTCTTTCAGAATGGCGCAATGGCTTCGGTTCCGCTGCCATGGCCATGATCGAGCACTTCTTCGAATCAGACACTGCTTTCCAGGCATATGCCGCTCGTCAAGCATTTGCTAGCGACATACTCACCAATTTTGCGTTTCTCTACGAGGAATTTGAGGTTAATCCCTCAGTACGCGGCCTTCTGACTTATTCATAATATTACACTCACATTTTTCCCCAGGAACTTCGTGGTCTCTTCCGCTCACCTTTTGTCGTGCAGATGTTTGCAACCCACCTTAGTGCAACCCACACTGCTGCTGACATTGAGGCGTTACGAGCACAAGATGTGTCAGGGAATGCAACAGACATTAAGAAGCACCCACGGTGGGTGCTTTAGCCATGAGTGCAGCGGCTGTGAGTAGAAGCTTTAAGCTTAGTCGTCGTTCCAAAGTTCCTACTAAAGCCCAAAAAATAGGTTGAGCGCGCATTCAATATGTGGGCTGAGAGGAAGATCAACTGGGATCCACCAGCAGCACAATCTCAGGCAGGTTCTGCAGCTCGGAAGGTCAAGCCAATTCGAGATCTTAACAAGGCGACCGGCAAAAACATCAGTAGCAGTGCGACGTTCTCCGATGCGAACTGGGGCAAGGCCACTCGCTCTTATGTCAAGTCCATCAAAGCACTAAAACCGGCGACGATGGACGATATAGCCACAAAAGCAAGTATCTATGTTCCTGGCAAGGAGCACGCTCAGCAATCAGTGACGAGTGTGGATGGGAACGATGACCCTCGGGCTTGTCTGCTTGATGTCTAGGTGACATTCCCACTCTGATCGCCTGTGATACCTTGTTGCTTTGATCATGTGAAAATCCAAAGGCCAAGATCATGTTCATGTTCAGGGGGCGTGTTGGTAAAGACTTTCACACCACTGACACGTACTGACAGATGGTCTAGGAAGGTGTACGGACGCTTGTATGGACGCTTGTATTTAACTCTCATAATTTGTCGTTTCTATATCTGTTTACTGCCTTTGTCTTTCATTGCCATAGGACCTCAACATGTTCAAATTCTATATTTCTTCCTGAAGCCAGCAAACGATAACACGTATTGGTGCCTTGATGTCTCCCTCATGGTCGTATGTCTGATGAAAAAGTGGAACAATCTGTCAGGTGCAAAAATCATCGATAATCACCCAGAACTAGATGCCAAAGGGCTGACAGGTCTCATACAACGGTGGTGAGCAATGTAAATATAGCCCGCCTCCCTATCTTCAACACAATGCGCACAAGCAACCATCGTCTCCCCGGGATTGGACTCGTGGTGAAGGCGAAACCTTCAGTATCTGGTCCGTGTCCGAGCCTCAGAACGCGCCTCTCGGTTTTGCGCTTGACGTTTCAAGCCCCTGCGAAGCTGCACTAGTTCGCTGTTCATATTATCCATCCAAACGGTAAGGAGTTGTATAGACCCGAAAAGACTGGCCATCTCTTCTGATAGGTTGTCGGTGACCCGTATCACGTCGGGCAAGGAGCGGTTCTGAGAACCTGGCTGAGATGGTCCGGAGGGTGACTGTGTTTGAGGCGGTTGTGCGTCGACCACTGGTAACCGTGCTTTTTCCTCGGTGGTGCGAGTGGAAGCTTGAGTGTCCTGCATATGCGTGACCAGGGAGAAAACCACGACAAGGTAAACAACAGTGAAGAATCGTTCCAACACGGCAATGGCGAGCAACGTGAAATCGAGACAGGTGCTGACGATAGACATCGCTGGTTATCGTGATAGTAGTAAAAGAAAAGATGGCTGAAAAGAGTGTAGGTAAAACAGTATGTAAATTGATGGGTGTGAGGAGAAAGAGTTGATGTAGTTTTGGCGATGGCCCTCGAGTCTGCACCTTTTGTACTCTGTCACTTTCAACCGTCAGCCAACAACTTTGCGTCAATGACATCATCGACTACATTTGGGAAGTGGCAGATTAACTGTTCTGCAAAACGGCTGTCCCACAACGTATCCAGTTAGCTCAGCTCGTCGAGTCCATCGAGCAACATCAATGTTTATTACTCAGGATTCAGCAGAGAGGTCTGGGCAAAAAGCCTTAAAAATCGTGTATTGAAGGGGGAATATAATCGGAAGTAAATAAGCAAGTAAATATTTTAAAGTTAAAGGGGTATTATTGTAGTAATGGGGGGAAGAAAAAATCAAGAATGTAAAATTATTAAAAGGTATTAAAAGGTATTAAGGTGTTAAGAAAAGAGTCAAACAATGTGGGGGGAACGAACGAGAAAGCGAAAGTATTAAAAGGGGTATATCTATAGTAAGAAAATTATCACCCGGAGGAATAGAGCAATGTGGCCACATTGCTCTATTCCCACGGCTGATAACATAGATAAAACAGTGGCTAAAATTTATAAAATATAGAATAAAAGAAAAGGAAACGTAAGGGAGACGAAGTGCAAGAAGACGAAGAAATCACGAGAACAGTGCAAAAGAAGGAGAAATGTGCAAGATATCGGAATGCTGCAAGTAGATGAAGAAATGGTTGGATTCCAGTCCGGGTATACACGATAGTCGTGCAGAGATATTCGGGGCGCTGCATATGGTAAAATGGCGGAATCCAGTCCGGGTATACGAGACACTTGTGCAGAGATACGGTGCGCTGCAATATATGGTGATGGCGGGAATCCAGTCCGGGTATACAAGATAGTTGTGCAGAGATATTCGAGGCGCTGCAATATATAGTGAAATGGAGGGGATCCGGTCCGAGTATATGAGACACTGTGCAAAGATATTCAATATATGGGGGGAATCCAGTCCGGGTATAATAGACACTTAAGCTTGTGCAAAGATATTCGAAATGCTGCGGGATATGATAGGGTGGCGGGGATCCAGTCCGGATGGATGGCGAGGAAGATAGGGAGGGGGGTCGGGAATGTATGGGATGATGCAAAGAAAACAGATAGCTTGGACATGGCCCTCATACTCAGTACTCAGTTTGGGGAGCAAGATAGTATGGAGGTGGCTTTGCGCTCTATAATGTTATCTTAGATTCAACTGTAAAAAAAAACAAAAATAGACCACATACTCTCAAAAACGTTTGGCACAGGTTCTTCGGAATCCAAGTACGACAAGGGACCCAACGAAGACAGGGATGTAATCACTATTCCTCTGCAGCGGGATTCGTGACCAAGGTCGACGTCAGGAACTTGCGTAAGCGAGGAAGGGTATGTATACTTGTGGGTGCTGGACGCTGTTTATATCGTTTTTCAGTATTTGAATAGGATTATCACGACTAAAAGGGTATGCTTACCTGGTTTAGTGTCCTTGTACTTCGTCCCATTGTCGGCCTTCTTGGAGCTTGACAGGGCCACGGGGGAAACTTGGACTTCGTCACTGCCACTGTTGCGTGTCTTGGAATTAACAGCCGATCCACAAGAGGATCGAGTACTGGAAGGCCCTGGTATCATTGAAAGGCGGCCTTTGGCAGGTACGGCATTTTTAGACGAAGTCGACGTCTCGATGGAGGACTGGTATTCAGTTCCACTTGAAACAGCTGGAGCGAACTTCGTCAGAAGTCAGCGATGCAGTACAACACCATTACACTCACATGATGTGGTATTAACGACTGTGGTTGTCGATGATGAGTTCGATGTTCTGGGGCGACTCTTGTGATTCTTGTCTTCCGGAGGAAAACCTAAAAGGACGTCGGAAAGGAATCAGATAGGGAGCTTAAGACTCGAGCAAGAAAAACTTACAGTCCGCGTTCGCCTTACTCTTTCGCTGGGCGTTGACACCAATAGCCAAGGCCAGCGCTTTCTCGATTCGGGATTTCTTGGCAGCTTGAGTATTGTCACCCATGCCGGCCTCCTTTGCTAGCCGGCATCCTCGCTCGAAGGACTGGGCGAGTTCCAGCTTAGAGAACCGAGAATCGACTGACGCAAACCCTTGCCTCATGGCTTCGACCGCTAGCTTGTCGGACCGGGAATTTCGGGCAGCAACTTTCTTGTCGTTCTCTCGGAGTTGTGCGTATAAGGTATCCTTGAATGCATCCTCGACCTTCTTCTGCTCGGATACTTGTAGGGTGAGATCTGCGAGCTTCTTTTCCAGCTCGCCTATGCGACGTTCGAAAAACTGTCGATCCCTATCTTTGCCCGCGAGCAGAGCTAGAATAGCATCCTGGGCCCAAGCCTTATCGGCTTTCATAGTATTGACCATATCGTCCATACGAGACTGCACGGATGAGACCATACACTGAGTCTCCGAGTGCTGCATGTCGTGGTGCTTCTTGTCCTGGGAGATATTGGTCCGTATAGCGATCATTTCCGCAAAAGCGACACTCATCCTGTGAGACAGATAAATGAGGATGCAATAGAGGTGAGCAAGTATGCCCTGGACGTGGTCCATGTCCATAGGCAGCCTGTTCGAAGCATGCACGACCTTGAAAAGTGCCTGCCGGGTAGGCGAGGAAGCCTCCTCATAAGTGACGTCGGATGTGGAATGGGAGTTGCCCTTAGACGCAAGACCGGGGTCAGAAGGGTATGTCCACAGTAAAACGGAATGAGGGAGGAAAGCTAAGGACGTATACCGGTCGACCTCAGTGGAAATATTCTGGTGCAGTACGTGGTCTTGTATGGCGATAAGCATGTGCGCGAATTGACAGAGGATCGAAGTGGAAGACATTGCGGCGTTGATGTGATGGCGAAGATGGTGTCGGTGGTAGACGTTTGCGATGAAGGCGTGAAGGCGGTGAACGGATGACGTTCCAAGGAGAATCTCAGGAGAATCTCAGGAGACTTTATACTAGACAGTCTCTTGTCTCGAACGCGTTGATTCCATAATGGTCAGGAAACCTATACGGTACGAGCCTAAAAGCGAGGGTAGTCTGGAAACGATACGAGGTGAGCCTAGAAACTGGTAGGCCGCAATAAAATTGATCACTTACACCCAGTCGTTCTGATAACAGCTGTGGAGTAAATTAATATCCAGACCAGTACATATCTGGATGCGGTCCTGGCCTGATTCTCGCACTCTTCAGCCGTCAGCGGCCAGCTAGTTTATCCTGTAGGCCGAGACTTTTCATGCCCGTATTGCAATGGCGACAATACTGGCAAGACAGGGAAGCAAGGTTATTGATGGGCAAAAAGTTGTAGTCATATACTCGCCTTTGCAGATTATCCGTAGAATCATGCTTGAGCAAGGGAAATAATTGGATCGAGTGCACTTGAAAGACCCATAAAACCTGGATAAATTAACCCAAAAAGATATATGAAGGTACGCACGAATGATTACGAGGCTCATTACTAAGACGAAAAGCGCAGAACATACTATGATACAGAATGGGCGAAATTACAAATGGTTACCTTCATGATGATCTTCTCGGTGAATCATGGTGACATGGGGTCCACGAGCACAATGCCTCAATCTTTCAGATCGAATTGGAGCCCGAAGTCGTCCCTAGGTCTCAGGGGCTGGAGTCTGTACGAAGGGTCTCCGAAGAAGAATAAGAGGCGTTGTTCTCGGCCACTGCGTATGTAATGTCAGTTTGGACAATTGACATTAAAAAAGAAGAAAACACTTTACCCATGATACGACCGTTGGAAGCCTTAACAAAATGATGCGAAACCGATGTACTGCCCAATATTTTGCGGCCGGCTTCCGCTCGACCGACTCCTTCGGTGACTAAAAGAATATTGAGATATGACAACGCACACTTAGAAAAGGACTGCGACTCACATCTCGAAAGCATTCCTGATGAGGGTTGATGGCTGCAGTAAATGGGAATATGCGGTCGAACAGCCTTGGCAGAATTGGTGATATCTGATAATACCGGCGCTTTCGCTGCGGATCTGGCTTCGAGGACAGCGCTCTCCTTAGGTGAAGTACCTGTATCACAAGCATGGTCAACCAAGGTGAAACAAGAAGAAAATATCACTAACGATGATTCGGAGCGACGTCAACCGCCTGTGCCAACGTGACCGACGTTCGTAGAAAGGACTGTTCATCGTCACCTTCCGCAGCCTCAGCTTCTTTCACCGCATCTAGAAAACAAAAAAACCAGCCTTAGAAATCTCGATACGTTTATGGAAGGGGAAGACGTACCAATTATATCCTGCATCGTCTTCAAACCTCGGGTAGGATCTAAAGCGAACTCCATCGCCCTCTTGCGCCGGGCTGCTTTATCGTTTGAGGTGGCACATCTTGACTCTGCCTCCATCATCTTATCTGTCCCCCTTTGGAAACCCTGCACCAACTGCTGAACTTCGACAGCCACTTGATCTTTCCTAATCACCTCCTCCACCTCAGCCAACCACAACCCTATAGAAGTGACCTCTTCCGAATATATTACGACCTGAGCAACAAAGTGAACCCAGGTCGAATTTTTCTTGGCTTTCGAAAGTAGCGTGGAATGGGTTTCCCAGTCGTTCTCCATTGCTTGTATCGCGTCCGCTCGATCTCTCAATCGACGTTTCTTCTGCTTGAACTGCCTTTCGTACTTACTGTCCATGACCAATCGTATCGTGGCTGGCATATCCAATCTATCGAGGAGATGAGATGCTTTGGTGTTCACTAGTTCAACATAAAGCGTATCGATGGTCTTCGATGTATTGTCTGAGCGTGGTTGTAGTAGGTTGTCGACAACATTGCTCTTCGAATTGTTGGCATCGAAACAGCTCCACCGATAGATCTCGGTACAGTGACATACATTGGTTGAGCGTATGGACTTCCAAATACTGCTGAGGTTAATGAAAAGACCCGTGATAGCAGTTGTAGCGATGCGTAAGTCGCTATCTGGGAAGGTCCAATATCCTGGAAGATATATGTCGCTGGTGCCACCGACGGAGGGCGAGATATCCAGGATCATGGGCTCGTAGCCAGCAGCGAAAATCCAGATGATGACCGTATGAATGATCGCAGACCACGGAGTGGACGAATTAAGACAGAGGGCAGTGGAGAAGAGGAAGGTGTGAATCATAAACATAGTGGGCTATGATGTAAATGTAAAAGATAGAGTGAGATCTCTTGTAGGTGTGATGAATGAGGATAAGAACGCAATGGGCACAAATAAGAGAACACAATCTTTATATTTAACACTTACCAGCGGCTGACAAGCTCATGAAGACAGAGGCTAACTGGAGAATTTCTTCCCCGTTAGCCTCCCTCTGTCTTCGTGAGCTTGTCCAGCCGCTGGTGTTAAATTGGAAATGACGCCTCGTCATTTCCAAAAAGGCATGGTGGACCATATTGCAATGGACACTTTACCAGCCTATGACTAGCGTATCAGAGCTCCGGGATACGGAGAGGTTATAATGAACTAAATGCAAAGACAAAATGAAAACAAAAGACTCAATTATGGACGATGCAAGAGAACATACAACAAGCAGATCAAAGAAAAGCTAGATTATGATGACACGCTATAGCACTAAAAAGTAATCAGAAATAAACCCACTGGAATACAAAATGCTCACCTATCTAAAAACAGCAGCAGCTGGAAAACGCTCAAAGTAACCAACCCACGCACCCATTAACCTCCGTAAGTACATCTCATAGCCACCTATATCACGAACTATCCATTGCATCTTTTTCCAAATCAACCACTCCCTCCCTTACGACTTCCCCCTCCTTTCCAATTTCTTCAAATACCAGGCTACCCTGCTGCTCCTTCAGCCACTGTACACTTCTTTTCTCATCCATAAAGTACGTGTACGCTCTCCTCAGATCCTCTACTTCTACCTCGCTTACTTTGCGCTTGCGCGCAATAATCTGAGCGCAAGATATAAGATTGAGTGCATACCGAAGAGTAGTTTGCGTTGCCATGGACGTGAGTACAGCTAGTGCATCGGTGGACAGAGTAACATCCTCCTCTTCACAGCTATCAAGATATCATTATATATAAGTGACTGTTTCTCAGATATAAGGTACAGCGAGCTTACCGAATTTGAATTATTTGCTGTATGTCCTCCTCTTCGTAAGGTTTTGTACTGACTATCAGTACTCGATCGAGGAGGTCGACGGGAAGGCCATGTGGACTTCGGAATGTCGTCCCTCTAATACGTGACATACCACGATTTGAAGCCATGATGACAAGAGGAGAGAGTTCACTTTCCAGTGCACGGTTGAGGAAGGAGAAACATTCGATATCGAGCATGTGAACTTCGTCAATGAAAAGGACCTGTAGGACAGTATCTCCTGTCAATAGATTTGCCACGGTTAACGTAGAAGTAAACAAACACCAGGAATTATCTCTGCTTTCCCTTCTTCTCTCCATTCTGCTACCTTAGTGTTAATCTGGTCTCTGAGTTCAGGCTTAATTTCGCCCGTATCACCTGCAAAAAGAGCAAGAAAACCTTGCGTCCTGCTATTGATGACATCGATTTCGTGAAGTGAAATTGTATGCACGATTTCTTTGCGTTTTTGTATCTCTCCCTCTGGACATTGTACAAACTTTGTCTGAAAAAGCGTATATATCCTATTAGCTTTTAATGGTCACTAGGAGAGGAAAGAGCTTACGTCTGCGCCCATAGCATCATAGTCTCTCGACCGTGCAAACGAGCGGCCAAGTTTTGAAATTTTACCGGTAGTCTTATCTATTGCTACTACATCGCCTGCTAGTACTTTTTCTTTTGAGAGTGCGTCTATCATTTTGTTGCCGAGATCGTACACAGTTTCCATGTCCGTTGTTTTGATTGTGAGTTTTCCTGTTTTTGTAGCCTAAGAGAAACCAATGAAACGCAGGTTAGTGGGACAAAGCGACGAGGCACGAGTATACGCACGCCCGTTAGGCTGCGGTCTATTTGTATCTCAACAACTTCTCCTTCAATGAGTTCTGTCTCCTCCCTTATACGCACACCAATACTCCGACGAATGGCTTGCGTTAGCGCTTCCGTCTTAGACATTGATAAAGAGAAGACCTCGCTTGCGGCGATCATTGTAAAGGGGACATCAGCACCAAGATTCTGTGCCATTCCTAATAGAACCAATACTAATGTTCAGCATATGCTCAATACCAACGTACAGTTCAAATATCGCACCGAGCGCAATTGCTGTCTTGCCGGTAGACGGAGGTCCCGCAAATAAGATAGCACGTCCCGCTATCCTGCCTTCTTGCACCATTTTAAGGATCATACCCGCTGCCTTCCTCGCTTTTCCTTGACCCACCATCCCCTGCGAGTTTCCTCGCGGCTCTAGACGGTCATCAAGACCCAAACCACGAATGTGCGAATGTGCACCTAGAGGTGTGGGATGAAAGGTGAATAAAAGGTGCAACAAAAGACTGGCTGGAGGTACCTATCCGCTCCATTTTTGTGATGTCCCGCAGCTCGGACGTTCCTGTGGATATTTGTGCAGCCTGTAAAGTCCATTATTACAGTCCTGTGTAGGGTAAATGCTTGCATACCATGGTTTTGTGATTGGGGAACAGGAGCAGGACGCGCTTGTTTGGTCGCTGCAAACAAACGCGCCCAGAAACGGAGTGGCGCTTATTTCGCTGTTTTCAAGTTTTCACCTCAGAGCTTTGGTTCTGTTCTGCTACGAATGTTTGGTCTGCGTGGCAGCTCAAGCTTGCTGAGATGCGTGCAATCCCTATCTCAGCCCACTCAAAGGCCTTGTTATAATCTTCTACGCTCAAGTTTACATTCAAATACCATAACGCGCACTTATGCTACACAGCTCACTCCCCCACCGACCTCAGCACCCTCTGCAACTTCTCTAGACGCATCGACCACCCTTTTTAAAACCTACAAACCCGTTTCACCTGGTGTTCGTCACCTTCGTAGACCTATCAACAACCATATCTACCCAGGAAGACCTCTCCGTCTCCTCACCGCACCTCTCCGAAAAAAAGGTGGTCGAAATGCTCACGGTCGCATCACAGTACGCTTCAGAGGAGGAGGACACAAGCAACGTATTCGTGTCGTTGATTTCATGCGCAAGGCGCCAGGTATATGTGATGTCGTGCGCATAGAGTACGACCCTGGCAGGTCGGCACATATTGCACTGGTGAAGAACAGGAATCCAGAATTGGACGGGCTGAAGAAGTGGAGCTATATTCTAGCATGCGAGGGTATGAGGGCTGGCGATGTAGTAGAGAGCTTCAGGTCGGGTATACCCGAAGGGTTTGTCCCTGGATATGTTGACTCTAGGGATAAGCGTAACAGCACTGGCGAGGCCACAGAGGCTCAAGCACAATCTAGCACAGAGTCCTCTTCAGCAGCTCTTGCACTTGGTATTCTTCGTGCCAAAACAGTCAAGCCTGGGAACGTCCTTCCTCTACGTCTTATCCCTACAGGCACGGTCATTCATTGTGTCTCCCTGAAACCCGACGGCAAGGGTTTACTCGTGCGTTCCGCAGGGTCGTTCGCACAAATTGTTACGCACGAGGAATCTGGGCGGTATTCCCTCGTTCGATTGCAGAGCGGTGAAGTGCGAAAGATATTGCAAGACTGCTGTGCAATAGTGGGAAAGGTGAGCAACCCGTTGTGGAAGAGCCGTAAACTGGGTAAAGCTGGGAGAAATCGCTGGCTGGGTTGGAGGCCTCGTGTCAGAGGTGTAGCGATGAACGCGTAAGTCCCATTAAACCAATTAGTTTTCATCTTCATGTAAAATTCGCGTGTGCATTATAGGAAGGACCACCCTCACGGAGGTGGACGTGGTAAATCGAAATCGAACAAACATCCTGTATCTATATGGGGATGGCCTACCAAGGGCAAGCGCACTCGCAAACCTGGACCTAAGGGCCCAAAGAACAGCAACAAGATGGTTGTTCGCGAAAGGCCAAGAGGAAAAGAAAAGCGAATGGGTACTGCATGAGTTATTTTATTTCAAGGGTGCAATGTCATTCTAGTCGCATACATTGTTATCCAGACATTGCTAATTTGTTGTTTGTGCGGTTTGAAATTTCATGTTGCTCGTCGATTTTCAGAACGGGTGAGATTGAGGCTGGAAGTAGACTCCCATATATATCGATCTTCAATCACTCAGGGCTCCAAAACTTCCATTCAAATTAACACTGTCAAAACCGTAATTTTCTCGTAACCGAGATGGGTGCCAGGGTTTGTTGGACATGTACGCTGTCGTGGTGACCTGTCTATCTCATCCATGTCCAGCATCCCGTCATTGCTGATACCAAATTGCACCGAGTTTAATCTCTCCTGCCATGTAGCTGTTGGAATCTGAATCTGGAATGTTCAATTGCTTTCGACATCTATTATGCATCGCCATGGTCAAGTCTTCCTGAGTGCCAGATGATATGCCGAGGTTATCAGATATAGATACTGTCCTATCATCGCACCTGGACTTGGCCTTCTGTGCTTCAGTGTCGATGTCTTGTTCGGCCTTTGTCTTCTCCGCTTTTCTAAGAACATCCTGTTTTAAGCGATTGCTGCTCTACGAGCTACACCAGGTCTCTCGATGAAGACTACGATGAGGATGAGGGCCCAATACTACTTCGCCTTTCGAATTTTCGTCATTGCGTTTCCAAAAGGAACAGATGATACATACCCTTTGGAATATACCAACGAGATGGTGATTTTGTGAGTCATACTTGCTCTTCTCCACCCATGACTGACCTAGAGGACCGAGCATGGGACTCACCTCACTCATCTATGAAACCGGTTGGACGTCAGCTGACACTCACATTCATTGTTCCAGTCTGGTTTTCTACAAAAATCAATCTCATAGTAATTCACGAGCTTCGGAATGGTTCAGTGTCTGATTTGGATTGTCGAACAACATGGTCTCCTTGATTTCGAGGACCAAGCCTGGACATAAACGATCGTTCCCATGCAGAGGTGCCGTGTTGTTAGTATGATGTACAACCGAATATCCTTCTGAATGGAAAAAATAGTGTCACAAGTAGGCGCAAGCGTTGATTAGGAGTACATGTAGTGGACAAGAGAGTTCCTCGGAGGTAATCAACCAAACCTTTGCTTGGCCAGCTGCTGGAACATATCCATGGTAGCCTTGTCTTTCTCTCGTATGGCGGTTGCACGTTCTTGTGTAGAAGAATTTTTATCCCCTTTGTCTGCGTTCCTCTTTTCTTCAAATCGCTTCCGTGCAGCATCACGTCTTGCGATGCTTGAGGAGGGATACAAATGTAGCATTTGAGTATTAGGCACGACACAATGATAAAAAATCACGTACTGGTCCCGAAAGCTATCGCCTCCGCCTAGTAATGTCGACTCGTCCGCCTCAAATCCATCGTCGCCCTTCTCCCTGAAATTCTTGTCGTTCTCCCTGCGTGCTCTCTTCTTTTCTAGCATAGCTTCTCTGCCGACTGGTTTTGGTCCAACCATATCCTCCACTCTTTCCTTCGCTTCTGTGCGATCTCGTTTCCTTTTGTAATCACGTTCTGCGGCTTGATATTCTGATGCGGCCTCTCGAGCCAGTACCAGGTCTGACGCAGAGGGTAATGTAGGACCGTGTACACGATTAGCACCCTTACTACTTGAAGTAGCTTGGGATTTCAAGTCGCGGCCGTATGTAGCAGAGCCCACTTCTTCCCGGACAGCCCTGAGGGCTTCTGAACTAACTCCTGGGCCGAACGACCATTTATATGCTGTCTGGTTCGTTGCAGACTGCGCCGAAAGATTCACGCCACTATACAGTGTTTCTAATAATGAGATGTATAAGTAGGGCCTCATGATCAACCAAATAAGGAGGAAAGAGAACGAAACGAACTGGATAATTTCCCCCGGTTCCAAGCCTTTCAAGGTTTTATTTGAGAAAAAGGCAGAAAAAATGCTTTGAAACACAGAAGTTTACCTTGACAAATTTGCGAAAGTAGCTGACATATGTGTGAATACGATTAACTGTCGTGAATGCAGGGTAGTACCCACCTTCTTGCTCTATCTCCTGAAAGCTCATCAAAGTACTGGAAAAAGTTACATTACACTGCACCACGCTTTTATTTATTACAGAAAAACGCGACATACCTTCCCTTTCTCATCTTTTAGCCATACTCTGAATTCGTCACTCTTCAAAAAGTAATCTTTCTCAGATATGGGATCCACACCGGATGGTAGGCTGTAAGCTCTGCCTGGAGAACGAGAGCGATCTCTTTCCAGTGATTTCTCTGTTTCCCTATCTCGACGAGACGGCATCTTTTGAAAAATGTAAGAAGATGTAATTTGAGTTGAGAAATATAAGAACGTTGTACTATGCAGGCTTGGGTTCAAGTTCACGCCACAGTTACGCAAACTTACGTACAGCAAAAGTCTTACAGGAACATATGGATTCAATGCAAACAACGGAGAATTGATTGTATACAGTATAACAATACGGGTACAACTTCTTTATCTTCTTCATAACACTCCAGCCATCGAGTCTACAACCTGAAGGGAGTACGAGGATACTGCACCTTGGCAGAAGCAGCATCGTCAACGAACCAATATAATTGACCTGGATATACGGGCTTAACCCTGGAAGCAGGAAGCCCTTCCTCCGGCTTATCCAATATGTTACTTAACATATCAACTTTCCCTTCACCCGTTGCAACGAAAGCCACCTGTGCAGCGTGATTTATGACAGGGTAAGTGAGAGTGATCCGTTTGGGAGGTGGTTTCGGTGAATCCTCGATATATGCGACCCATCTGTCTTCTTCTGCAAGTAGCTCATGACCTGGAAAAAGGGATGCGGTATGCCCATCCGGACCAATGCCGAGAAGAATAAGGTCGAAGACAGGAAATCGAGCAGAGTCCTTCTGAGCGAACTCGCGAATGAGTTCTTTCTCGTAATGATCTGACAGCTCCTCCAAGTCTTCGATAAAAGAAGGGTCGAGAGTATGGATATTGGTAGAAGGTATGGGAACTTTAGAGAAGAGCTCGTCGAAACAAAGCTTGTGGTTTGAGTCGGGATGATCAAGCGGAACAGCCCGCTCATCAGCATAGAAAACTTGCCTATCCGATCCGTCAACATTCATGACCTTTAATAACCTTCAAAAATACGAACCACTTGTCCCATTTTACTGATGCATTGCCAATGAGGCCCTTCAACTGTTTCGGGAGCGAACCACCAGATATTGCTACGGTGAACCTCCCCTTCTTGTCGATAGAGTCCTTCTGGAGCTTTACAATAAAAGCTGCCAATGATTCAACGAGCTCATTGGCAGACGGGAAAGAGTTGAGGATGGGCGCACTCGGTGGTTGGTGCATGATAAATATCGAGATAATCTCAAGTGGCAGCGGTTAGGAGACTCTCATCCGCGTAATATTGGCGGTCCATGCGTTCACACTCCGACCTGGGCTTACGTCATAGTAATCCACAGCTCTCCCCAACTGGTGATCTGTGGCTGCCATAGATGATTTTACTGTTTTGTATTCGGCTGCGAGCCGATAATGATTACAGAGTTCTACACAACATAATCCCTTCATGATGGTGGTATAAAAACATAACTCTTTTGCATGTAATGAGCATACTGTGTCCTAGTCTCGAATCCAGACGGGTGGGAACAGACCTAGCGTGGAGCCCTAGCTTCTGGGTTCGAGACTAACTGTGTCCCAAAATGTCAATCTGAGTGCGATGCGTCACAAATTACCAGAAACACTCACGATGTCGTCAAGGTCGTCTAGTTATCAATGATGGTAGCAAAGTTCGAGGCAAACATCTGGCCACCCTTCTCGAAAAACTTTAGCTCCTCAGCAGCCACAACACGGCGGTACTCCTCGTCAGTGAAGACCTCTGTGAGGGCCTCGAAGGTTGCAGCCTCAAACACGGCCATGGCGTCCCATGGGGAAACGTTCAGACCAGCCTCGCCAATGGCTTGGCTAACAACAGGGTTGGCATGAGCCTGTAACAGTGTGTTACAATCAGAAACGCAGGACTGCTAAAGTCAAAAACTTCACACGAACCTGCTCATATTTGAGGATGTTCTTCTTAACTACAGGGAGCGAGTTAAAAAGCTTCGAATGGTCATCGAGCCAGAACTTGTCGAAATCCTCCTTCGAGATACCATCTTTCTTCTTGAACAGAGCGACAATGCGGACACGATCAGTGCGGAGGGCCATTATGATAGTAGATCGTAAGGGCTGCGACCATCAGGAAATTATTAGCTGGAAGACGTAGAGTTCGGAAAAGAGGATTACTTACAAAAGTAGAAGGTATGCGTAAAGAGGATAAAGGGAGCTTGAAGGTCAACGATCATGATCTGCTTGCCTTTATATTATTCGTGCTCTAATCCGCCTAGAACAAAAGGGCATATCATGGGACAGCCACAAGTAAAATTGATACGATCAAGACAGGCTAACTCAAAACTCCCGACCGTTGCGTTGGATTATTTCATCGGGACGCTGATCAGATGGGGTTGGGCCGGGTTGGCAGCATAAAACATACTTCATTGCCTTTTCGGGAAGTAGGAGACCTGGCGATGCTTGTCCCATGACTCCCATCACATCGTAAGGCAAAGCTAAAGAATTGAGTGGGCTGGAATCGCGTTGATGCGGACAAATTAACAAATGGGTAATTTGCTCAATGCGGCGCTGTCCAGGGGGGGTGGTAAGACAACAGTCATAGACACTTCCGGATCACATCAAGACACGCCATGCAATCACAACAAATCCACTATATGGCCCGGGATCCAAAGACGACTCACTAGTACTCACTGCTTGTCATTTCGAGAGCCCATGTAATGCAAGATGACGATAGATGCTATAACGGCGGTACTGCAGGCCGATAGCATATGATTAATGTTGATAAGATCAAATAGACGACCGTTATAATCCATGTGATAAAATAAAAAGAAGCAGACATGTTAGATTGTTGCCAACTAAGCGATCGCTGCTGTACGGACCTGATCAACGTTCCTCAGCGCTCAGGAACAAGGGAGGGATCGATATTTTTGTACGTATGATCGTATTTAGCGGGAAATCAAAATATTTCTATGATTGTAAGAAGACGCGTTGCTGACGCTCACTGCAACACCCACAAGATGTTTATGGTTGTACCGAACAGCATCCAGTGATCATTTCGTACAGCCACAGCAGATACGGACAAGGCACAGTGCTGTTCTCCAGACTTTCAGGGCATATAACAGTCAGTAAAATGTTCAATGCAGCGGAGCTTATCCATACTCATTGGTCTTCTCGATGGCTATGATGATCACCAACACACCATAAGCAAAGTTTGGATCGAATAAGACGCTAAGTACATTTATCTGTACAGTCTATAATATGCACGCTGACACGTACTAAACTACACTTAAGCATAGTAGAGGAATTATGTGAGGCCCAAATACACTCACCTGCTGGTTTGCTACGAGAGTATGCGTCACTTAATCCAGGACAACGTTATATCTATTCCTTGATATAGACGTTGCCTAGAGTCTACGTTGGCAATTTTTGATATGTTCAAGGTGCCAAGTACGGGTATCATCAGTGTTAATAGGCAGCTAAGGAGTTTCAACATCTCTGAAGAATTGCCAATACTTGAGTCCTCGAACGTTTTGAAGGACAGCGCCCAAGAACGTCGTCGCGAGAATGATAGGACAGTACTACCATCCAACGGATTCGATATGACTCTTCATATACTTCGAGTCCTAGACGCCAGACCAGTAAGCCATAACATGGTCTCCGTATATATTGAGGAATTTTCAGGTTTAACATTCCGCTTGGGCCAGACCGAGGTATCTCTAACTTTCAATTGACTGCGTCCACGTATCCAGAAAACCCCTGAGCTGACGCTATGCAAGATGCTGGGGAAAAGACACGATAACAGCTAAGGTGACTAGGCCATTCCGTAGAGTAAGCCAGATATGAGGGGAGCCTTGAGTAGGACTTGGCCAGTTGGGAGTCAGAGACACAGTCACGGTGCCGCGCCTCCTGGTCAGTGCGTCCGTTTACTGTGGCGCAGAAACAAATGCGTGGGAAATTACACGACGCGGCTTTCATTAACGGACAACCGCTCTTGTCGCATTCTTGCCCACAACCATCATCATCGTACCCAGCGACATCAAGCAATCCAGTTTTCTAATCTCAAAACTAGCTTGAACTTTTATCTCAAATGGCTCGCACTAAGGTACGTTGCTCGCGCATACTATTCGCATCCACTTTGGCCTGATCTTTGAATAGCAAACTGCACGTAAATCGACCGGAGGTGAGATTTCGTTGGCTGTTGGAACGCAATGACATGACTGACTTGGTATTTCGCGCAGGCAAGGCCCCCCGTAAGCAACTCGCGACCAAAGCTGCCCGTAAGACTGCCGCTGCCGTATGTTTTCATTCGTCTAGATCAATTCGGTTGTGGTTCTTCCCTAACCCCCTCTTTGTTCTCAACTACTAGGCTGCCACCGGTGGTGTAAAGAAACCCCATCGTTTCCGCCCTGGAACCGTCGCTCTCCGTGAAATTAGGAGATACCAGAAGTCGACTGAACTCCTTATCAGGAAGTTGCCTTTCCAGAGGTTGGTCCGTGAAATCGCACAGGACTTCAAGGTGCGCTCCCTTCTTTTCTTTCTACCATACGTGGTGTTTACGAATGTCACCGTTTAACTAGACTGATCTGCGCTTCCAATCATCTGCCGTCATGGCTCTCCAAGAGGCTGCTGAAGCCTACCTTGTCTCTTTGTTCGAAGACACTAACTTGGCTGCCATCCATGCCAAACGTGAGTTATTCGCATGCCCTGTGCCCTGTTCTGCTGACTCATCATTGGTCTCTCATGTGATCTAGGTGTTACTATGTGCGTATCTGTTTTGCACCGCTTACCATTGTTCAACGGCGCTGACTTATTTATTTCTCACACAGTCAACCCAAAGATCTAGCTCTTGCCAGGCGCCTGCGGGGCGAGAGGTCTTAAATTATCTTTTCCTTTACATCGTGTCGTTTCCCTTTTCGGCGTCTTCTAATATCTCGATATGGCGTATGTTGAGTATGTATATGATAAATGGTTTGTTCGTGTGTACTCTTCTGTATTGTCTTCATGCACCCTACCCGCATCTCCTTATATTCTTGTAAAACGTACATAAAATTTTGTTTGTATTAGCTAGTGTTTCAACATAGGCTTTCGCAAACAACTTTAATTTGTGAGATATATTGCATCATCTGTCCATGTTAGGATATTTATTGTACAGGACATTAAAATCCAGCAACAGTGGGGATGAAGGGACCGTCCTCACAGACAAAACCGACATCAGTAGAAATCTGAGACATATCAGCCGTAAATCGGAGGTGAAACCAATAACGACTTTACTTACAGTGGAGGTGTTACACATGGCAGCAACAGGGGCACCAGTTAGTGTACGAGCGAAGATATCTTTAGCGACAATGTTCGTAGCTGTGTGTAATTGTAAAAAAAAATTATAAGGGCGAAGTACATAGGAATAGGGAGTGATGCCAACCAGTGTCAGGATACAAGTCAAATATGACGACTTCTTTTCCGGTGGCATTGGTGACTGCGTACCTAGGGATGTGAAGAAAGATGCTAAGTCGGGGAGGTGGAGTAAGGGAGAATACTTACCAGCAGGGATCGCTGATGCAGGAACCCTCTACGTAGCCGGGGGTACTTAAAGGGGCAAGAACACGTAATTAGTACTACCATTCTACACACCGAAGAGAGAGGGGGACGATAGAGAGGACGCACTCGTTGATGACGCCAACAAAGTTCTCGAACAAAAAGTTTTCGATGTGTGTTTCGTTTGTGTTAGTTGAATTGGGTTTTGGGCCGACCTATCGTTTTTGTTTGGTGAGGAGGGATGTTAGGTTCGGAGTCACTACATACGTTTTGGTCCCAGTAGCTATTACAATTTCATCAGCAACGAGTTAAATTAAATCGTAGAGGCTTACTTTTGTGTAACATAGATCTTGAGGGGAGGTGAAGGGACATTGAAGAAGAGGTTAGAGGAGCCTATGTTCGTCAAGAAGGGATAAGGCTCACGGGGAACATGACGTCGATGAACATGATGTTTCGCCAGGTTGCGCTTGGAGGAAATATTATGTTAGGGTGTACACATGTTGCAGCGAGGAGATTTGATACTTTTGGGCCAATCCGTTTCCACCTGTCCAACTCTTGAATCGAGCACCATAAAGCGTGTGGTTCTGAATCACAAGGGATCGGATACAGAAGGGTGGTGCCAAGCATTAGCGATTCCATGAATGGAGATTATTATTTTGACGTATATTGTGTGAGCATAAGATAGGAGCACATACCATAATGACGTTCTCAAACCTGAATCATATTTCACGTTATTGCTGGCAAAAAAAACGAAAGCAGGAGCAAAGACTCACAAAAGATCGGATACTTGTGAGTCCTGTCCAGCTTTGCCTAAGGATCCGACCGATAGACCATGGCTGCCTTCACAATAGCTATCACTGTTGGTTATAAAATCAAGAATGTCGTCTTTAGTCCTTTGGCCGTAAAGAAGGCAAGACTTGTACGAACCGGAAAGTGATGTTCTTAGCCCCGTTTATGACTGTTATGCAGTCATCTCCGTTGTGTACATGATTCCGCTCGAAGAGCATATCAGTGCCGCCAGCAGAAAAGCCTTAGGGATGGAGTCAGGGGGGTCTGGGGAATGGGAGGTAGTCAAGCACGGAGCCTACCATCACTATCATCGATGTCCAACGTCATCAGCGGCCATTACGATTGAACGAATAAAATGCAACTTACGTGTTGAATGGGAACGACTGATCACAGAGAGACACGTTAGCATTCATATCGTAGCTTATTAGGAGGGGCATGGTGTGTTATAGGAATGCGAACAAGAATAAGGCTGGTATGGGTAGCAACCAAGCCAATAGGACAGACATGTGTGCATTCGAGAAATCCCAAAATGAAAACCCAGCGCATATATGACACTCGATTTCGAAAATTTAATTTTGCATTGTATATTCCCAAAACAGAATATACGTTCTTCCAAGTGGTACTCACCGCATTATCTGATCCAGCAAGAATGATGTTGTTGAAAACGTGAAGGTAAGACGATCCCGTTGTGAGGAAATTCCAGGCAATGGGCTGTTTAGGAAAGGGAAAACGAATCAGTTGGATTGCAGACGGGGAGCAAAGGGAAAAATTGTGCGAATGTAGGCGAGATCCAGAACAATATGGGTTGATTGTTATGGAACTGAGAACATAAATTTACCTTGTATATCTTCATATCCCTAATGACACCATTTGTAATGTTCCCAAAGAGCCAACCGTAAGGACGGCCGGCCTGTTCCATGATATTCCACCACTTTGCAACGACGTTAACGACGGAACAAAAGAAGCTTGAAGTAACTTACTTGCTGGCCATGTCCGTCTACCCAACCCCAGTCAGGATCAGTATTTCCTCGAAGGGTTACGTTGTTTCCTCCCATGAATGAGATCCTAAGGTTCGAAGATGGAATTAGACTGGGTCATCAATGGTGACATTATCCAGCGTACCATGCACCAGCGTAGTTCTACACAGCATTTATAACATTAAGTGAACATGATAGATGAGCTTGTGAGCCGAGAGGCATGCTTACCGAAGCATTGACATAACCTAGTCCATGAAATCATAAATCAGTCACCTCGCTCCCTAAAACACCACACCAACGCATGTAACTTACTTTGGACTGTTGTCATATTCGTGGGGTATGACAGGTTACCCTCGATTCTTACTTCGACGTTCGTAAACACAGGAAATACAATAGGGGACCAGACATTGTATGTAGTGTTTGGTGCGAAAAGGATGGTGACATCCGAAGTATAGGTGGTGTCCTGAAGAGCAGAGAGGAGAGCAGGAGTGTCATCTGAACCTGTGGAGTGTGGAACAGTGTAGGTTGTCCACGCGTGGATATGGGTGGAAAGTAGAAGTGGAAGAAGAATAGGTAACAACATTGCAAAAGTCGATTGTTAGACGTGGTATGCGGGTGAGACGTACGACGCGGGACTCCAGTATATTGTTTCACAGCACGATATATAGCAAAAGCCATGAGTGTGTACAACGTCAGAGTTGTCGAGAAACATAGAGAATTTGAATAGGCCCGGGTAAGCCGTTCATGTGATGCAAGAGAGTCACAGGGTGGAGGTGTTCATATATGAGGTGTTTATGCAATTTGTAGTGCATCTGACATGTCAAGGAAGACGATCTCTTGTGCCAGGGTTCTGAGTTTCTGGAGGGAAACCGGGATTGGACACGAGTTAGATGGACAGGGCGCACGTGAAACGAAAAGCCGTAAGTAGTAACGTTGGCTAAGTCGTAAGCATCAACCAGACGGGACGTACGCATCATAGAAAGGCGATACTAATATTCCTTGGTGCAGATAACAAGATGGAGGAGTTCAAGTTGATATATGCAGATGTGGCATACACCTCTAGCTTATCTTATCCAGCCACATATATACCACGGAGTCATACATGCTCACCATTCTATCGTCGACATCGTTGAACAGAAACATCAGTAAATGGTGTGCGAGGAAACATAGCGGCCCGGACGGACCGGCGGACCTTGAGGGTAAATATCGATTTGTACGACAAGGCCGCGGGATTGCGAAGGAACAAGAAGTTGAGTAGAGTTCAGATCTAGACAGATACAATGGCATACGACGGCTTCAGGAGAAGAGCTAAGCTTATTACAACCAGTATACACAACTTGCTTACTTGGAGTCCGCCCCCCACAAGATACCCATAGAAAAAATATATCTGTCAAGAACAATATGAGCTAACCGGTGCAACTGCTCTTGATACCCGCAACGTCAACCAACCATCGTGCGTTTTCAGCAGCACACAAAGTAGCAACCAAGAGTAGCAAGACTCGTCATGAAAACTCCGAAGAGGATGATGTGTTTGACTTTCCTATACGGAATATCGAATACACTTCCGGACCAGGCGAGTTTGGTAGCCAATCTGCAAGAGAAGCAAGGGCTTCTTGGTGAATTGCAGAAGGAATGTTGCTCACCTGTGAAGTATTGAACTCCTGGCTCATTTTTCAGGCATGCGAGGAAGACAGTTGGATTGATAAAACTATACCTGGAAGATACTGCACGTATGAATCATCCCGAAGATTTGAAAGGTTGCTGTGAACCACGAGAAAAAAAAGATAACTAGGTATTACCTGGTGGGAGTGAATCCGTCACTGCATTGGGACTTGTATCGGCAGTCGTAGTCAATTTCATTCTAGGTTCTACCGTGTTGAGATGAGCCCAAAGTCAAAGTCTGTTGCTCAGGATTGGGAATATTTGTGGGACCAAGTCATTCATACGAATATGTCTCTGTCACAACTAAACATGTCCAATTTCTTCGCAGATATACCACATAGCTGCACAAGAGTTGAGTCATTGAACGCTTGATGTACCCTACCAAGCAATTCTGCATGAACATTGTTTTTGAGGTGTCGCCATAGAAGAGACTACAGTAAACGCCAACCGTTAGATGGCAAATCATGTAGAAGTGTATGGATAACAGACGTGACTTTTTGCGTTCCTGTTACACAGATATTTTGAAACAGATACACGATGAAGGTCTAACATAAAGCTTGGTGCGATGTTCAGGACTCAAAGCAAATGCAAAGTCCAGAGGGGTGTCGCATTGCGAAGAGTCCGCCAGCATCGCTCCACGAACGTGTTCATGATAACACCGTGTTGAGATCGCCAACTCTTAGTACGGCCATACGGCCATCGCAGCAGAAGGAGAAGAAATATTTAGGAAGGTTCTGCTTATCTGCTTACAGGAGACTATAAAAAATGGTTGCAAAGTTGCACCGTGACTTCGGGAAGGAGTCGGATATATATTGTGGCGGTGCAAAATAACAGATTAGATTAGATTGGCCATAGTAAAACAACCGTGCGCGGACTGATTTGATCTAGGTCGAGTCAGAATTAAGAAATTTTAAAGTCTTTCGATGCAGAACTGAAACGTTATCCTCTTACCATCATGATCACCCAATCCCTCTGGCTTCGTTGTGAAAAAAAGGAGTTTGAACGGCGCTCAGCTCTCACTCCAACCACTGCCAAAAAGCTCATCGATGCTGATTTCGACATCACCGTCGAGCGCGATGAGCAGAGAATATTTGCAGATTCAGAATTCGAAGCGTATGTCCAACATCTCACGGTTTTTATAGAACTTCTCCTTTTTTACTAGCTCAAAAACGCAGTGTCGGCTGTAAGATGGTGGAGAACAATTCTTGGCCGAGTGCGCCCACTGATATCCCCATCCTTGGACTGAAAGAACTGCCCGTATCGAAAGATCCACTCTCCCATACCCATATCCAGTTCGCCCACTGCTACAAGCGCCAGGCAGGATGGTCTGCCGTTTTGTCTCGATTCCTCCGTGGTGGAGGAACCCTATATGATCTTGAGTTCCTCACTGATGACAGTGGCCGACGCGTCGCTGCATTCGGATTCCATGCAGGATTTGCAGGTGCTGCTGCAGGAGCGCTCGCCCTGGCTGCACAAAGACGGGGAGAAAAGCTAGGTCGTCTAGAACCATATGAAAACGAGCAGGCCATGGTGACAGCTGTCAAGGAGACATTGGGGGGGAGTGGAAAGGGCGTCAAGGCTCTCGTCATCGGGGCTCTAGGAAGGTGTGGGCGTGGTGCCATAGACCTCTTCAAGAAAGTTGGTCTCGAGGAGTAAGTGTATGCGTTTACCCTCTGTAGCTAGGATTGAACGTATCCACGCGTTTTCTAGCGAAGATATCATCAAGTGGGATATGGCTGAAACGGCCAAGGGAGGCCCGTTCCAAGAAATCCTCGACGTCGATATCTTCGTCAACTGCATATACCTATCTTCTTCCATCCCGCCATTTTTAACCCATGAGCAGATCATCGCGGGTGGAAAGAATAGAAAGCTGTCTGTTGTAGTGGATGTCAGCTGTGATACCACCAACCCGTTCAATCCTATTCCGATCTATAACGTCAACACCACCTTCTCAGACCCCACTGTACCGGTTGAGCTTGGGTAATTTATCTCAATTGATCATGCTGGGTGACCTTATTGATTTCAAATATTTTGTTCAGCCCTGATCAACCTTTGCTATCTGTGATTTCCATCGATCATCTTCCAACTCTGCTCCCAAGGGAAGCTTCGGAGCAATTCAGTTCAGACCTGCTTCCTTCTCTCCTAGCGCTACGGCAAAGGAAGACAGCTCGTGTTTGGACGGAGGCAGAGAAGTTGTATAAGGAGAAGCTGGCTGAAGCTATCAAAGAAGGTTTCTCAAGTTGATGAAAATACCTTCATAGAAGAATAAAAGACATGATGTAAGATTGGCAATATAGCAACTATTTGAATGTGGTCGTTGGAAGACGTGTCATGAACGACGATACAAGTGCTCAACCCAAAATTTATCTTTCAGCTGTCAGCGTATTCATGATCAAAGATACCACTTCACGTATCGAGATAATCAACTTTTCTACCATGTCTGCCATCTATAATGAAAGGGAGGAGTTCTAAACTTCTAGTTGTTCGAATGTCAATTGATCCGCGCTTGATTCAATCGAGACCGTTAAACGCTTGGGACTATTGACGTGATCCGGCTATTCGAAAGGTAGGTGAGGTCAGACAACAATGCGTAAAATAAAATAGTCCGAGATAAGTCAGATACTTGTGACTTACCAGGTCTACAGATTTATCATCCTCTTTTGACACGTTGTTCAAATATTCGACCTTGCGACCAAAGTTAATTTGGTGTTTGCATTCCATGCGAGTGCTTTTAGTCCTGATACCAGCAGGAGCTGGACATGCAGGGGCATTGTCACCTTGGTAGTAACGAGCATTCATCATGGTCATGAACGAGTTGATATATACTGTAGAAATAGAGAAGTTTAAGCGAGGGAGAAACTGTTACTTGATTCACAAGAATACTGACGTTTAACCAGTATGAATTCCATGGCCACACCGACGAAGCTCTGATCATTTGCAGCCCACTAGAATGAGCGCACAACGACGCCAACAAGAATTGTTAGTTTAATGAGGTGCGTGCATAGTAAAGCATTATAGAACATACAGATGCTATAGTCGCGATGGAACACAAGCTTTAACATAGGTCGAACAGATCAACAAGGGTGAGATATGACTCCAAATAACAAAAAAAACTCACCTTGTTACAATCCCTGTGCTCACAGTATAAGAGATTAGGCTGATAATCTTGGAGTTCGTGCTGGATGGTCTGTTAGAGAAAATGATGAACGAAAAGCTATTTCAGAATGCTACCTTTCAAATCCAGTTCGGGCATTGGCTAGGAGATAGCACATGGAAGCCGTAATTATGACATCAGCGACGATTAAGGAGCCACACGCGACATATATCATCCACTGTGATTGTTCATTAACAAGAGCCGTAGAGAGGGTCCAATAGGATCATCCCGACTCTACCTCATTATCGCGCGTATATGACCACCCATGAAGATAGTATCTGCGAACGACGATCACATCCTATTATTATTCGCTTGGGCGCGAAAAGCTCACATATAATAGCAAAGCACTGGTTTGAGTGGCCGGCATGGCAAGGTATCAATCAGCCAAGAGAACTTCACCACTGTGCCACAAAACATTGCTTACAGCAGGTAAGGCCTATTAGAAACGCCAAGTTAGCGGCAGCTAACAAGGAAACACTAAGGACATACCGAAACAGACAATAGATATAACAATCTATGCCAATTGAGCACTGATCGTTAGCGGTAGTAAGTGAGGAACCAAAGCTTGAAGACATACCACTACCGCAGGAAGAAACTGGTATTTTCCCCTACTCACTAAAATTGAAGTGTTTAAGTCCTACATAGAAAGCTATTGCAAGGAATAGCTGAAACTCACAGACCCAGATACGATGACAATAAAGACTTGATATATCGTGCAAAAATTGAAGTCATGAAGATGAACAAGACTAGATGGCTTACGCATGAACTGAAAACACGACTAGAGCCTGTGATAACTATCCTGTTACCACGAGCCCGCTGTGATTAAAATCTCATGGACTTACGCCAACGACAATTTGCAGCTATGATGGAAGGTGGGTGATGAAGGCCTGAACCCATTGAAAATGGAAGAACTTACTTTGAATGACCATACTATAGTACCAAGTGCTCTTGAAGAGGAATAGTTTTGCACGAGGTAGAAGTACAGCGCATGTGCAAGAAGTATGAGATGAAATAAATCCAGAAACCTACATAGAGTCAAGATGAGACCAAAATCCAGTAATTGATTGTAAAAACAAACCATAACCAGCAAAACTTGATATCATGAGACCTATGAGCTCCGAGGGAAATTGGTATAAAACAATTTACGTGCGCACTGTTATCTTATACCATAGGGAACTGCTCGTTCGCTTTGCCTGGAAATACACGTAAGTCTGTAGACAAGTGAGGCCAAATAAACTATGAAAGCCATGACATTAGCGAAATCGACAAGAAATACGATACAAGATTCCTCACACAGTAGCGATTAATAGACCAATATACATAACACCAAAGGAGTCCTGTATGTGAAGCGATATCTGAGACTGGGAATCAGGTTCCAACATCGTTGAGATTTTTAGATTCTTTTTTCGAGAAAGTCGGTGAGAGAGGCAAATAACTTGCGTAGCTGCCAGCTGCCAGAAGGATTCACTAGTTCAGGATATCCTCAAGAACTTATATCCAACTATAACCAATGCAGTGCAACATCGTGTCTCAGGTCCTGGAATTCAGGGCTCGGCAACCGCTGGGCTGTATCAATCATGGTTGATGCTGATCAGAGTTGGACGATGTTAGGTGCAGTTTGTGACTTTGTCACCAGAACTTCCCAATTAATCCACGGACGTTGGTTTCGACAGATGGTTGGACCATTATTCATCTCACCATCTGCAACCAGTTATCAATCTGCTGCATAGGTTTAAGTATCAGGGACAACAGAGATAGCTGAACTCACGGTAACTGACAGAAATTGCTATACTATATAAATTTAATAGATATGATGCAGAATGACCCGTTCTTTAGGAGGTAAAGACAGCTACTTTCAGTCGCATTAAAAGGCCGTCCCTTCAAGCTTGTATGACACATTGAGCTAAGATTGTTGTGAATTGAACACGAACAAGTCCTGTGCAATGGTATTCTGGCGGAATGACTTAGCAGTGAAGTAGTGCTATACTGAGATAGATCATTGGTCGGTGGTCTCGGATCCAGCCACCGGGCTAGGATTAGAAAACTGATGATTCGTGTACCGTAGTTGTATACTGAACCAGGCGAGACTCACCAGATATCGTGCATCAAGATGTATCTATCAAGAGTTGTAAAAAGCCAAGTTGACACGGGGCGGGGACCTCATACATCAAGATCTCACATCCATGCAGGTAAGACAACAGCTCCTGGAATGTGAATGCGCATGCTCTGCGTGGACTTATATTCAACAATACCATCCCATTAGCATGCGTTCGTGCTGTATGACAGAGGCTGGTTGCTATTGAAAAGCCTTGAAGGGCAAATCAGATGATGATATTCGTATTGTAATGATCCAATGGCTGTTTAAACGAAAGAATGTGAACCAGCCAGAATGTACCAGGTGCCAGCCACGGTGGTGGAAAGAATCAGAAGATGGTGGCGGTCGAAAACGGCACACAGCATCGTGCACGTGGCGGAACTTCAACATATGCACTGGCATTCGCACAAACTGGATCGTGTGTCGCAATGAACAAAATATCGTTTTGCTGAAATAAGTACCACCACACTCTATATATGCAATATGATAAAAGTCTAACAAATTTCAATACAGGATATCTTATAAGTTAGAGGGAGCCTTGTTTAGTTTTTTTCTAATATATCGCTCCTGTAAGGATCTATACGTCATGATCGTTCTCGCCCGTAAACTCGAGAGTAAGCTCATCCGACCCAATAGCGATGGATAAACGCTTGTGATAGTTATCCTGAATCGGTTACAGAGAAGATGAGATTATGAGAGAGCAGTCAGATAGTTATTACTATGACTCACAGTGCCTGTGCCAGTATCCAAAGAGTCGCCATTGTGTCCGAGAGTGATGATATGGCGTCCACAGTTGTCTTCGTCTGGGCCTTTCGTTCCCGCTCGAGGGACAGCACTCAAGCGAGCCAAGGTCCCACTGACAGTAGCATTCAAGTTATTGCCTTGGAAATAACGAGCATTCATCATGGCCATGAATGAGTTGACATACACTATAAGAAGTGCACGAAGATAACAGAAATAAAGCACATTTTCAGGGAAAACACCGACGTTTGATGAATATGAATTCCAGTGCTACGTCAATGAAGCTAGACCTCTTCGTAGAATACTGCAATGAATCAACCGGTGTCATCAGCTAAGCTTTTTCATATACGTTGGAGTGAAAAGAGCAAATCAAGGACTCAGGAACGTACTGCTATCATACTCGAGACTGAGAATATACTTTATAACGAATCTGTCAGGTAAACGATAGCAAGATGAGGAACACTGACAATAGTTACCTTGTCACTATTCCAGTACTTATAGCGTAGGATATCATAAATTTGATCCTGGAGTCTGTTCTGAATGATGTAAGATTGAGTGACGGGATCTGGGCACTTAGGGTGTTACCTTGGAAATCCAGTCCGAGAAGTTGCCAGAAGGTAGCACATGCAGATTGCAATTACAACATCGTTGAAAGCCAAAGAACTGAGCGTGGCATATATTGACCACTGGATTTGTTCATGATGCATATAAGTCGAATTCGAAGATGAAATTCATTGAGACAACCTCCACGTTACCTGAACGGCGCCAAGTTCCCACCACTGAGCAGCATGATACCTGCCAATAGCTGTCATTTCCTCTCTCAAGTTGTATTCAGGATGGGAAATACTCACAGGTAATAGCATAGTGCTATTACAACGACATGGCCATCAGTCAAAGATGATCTACTTCCAAACGATGATGAAATTCTTACGGAAGTTAAGGCCTATGAGAACCACCATGTTAAAGTATCTCAGTAACTGTTACCTAACGAGACAAAGAACTGGCCAGTACGCACCGATACAAACAACGCTGACGACGGTCTATAAGGAGTAGCAAGCGATCACTATGGGATAGGGAATGGGAGGTAAAGAGATGAACATACCACTGCTGCAGGAAGCAAACGATGTTTTACTTTACTCACTACAATGATAAGAATGATTAGAATAGCCATTGCGATAAACAAAAACACTTATATCTCACAGATCCAGATGCGATGACAATAAAGACTTTATAAAACATCATATGACATTTGATGCAGATATTTGAATCACGAGCATAGAAAAGATAATACAAAACTGACCCATGAACTGTAAAAATGATTATGACCTAACATTAACATCATGTCATCAATATCAGGAAGTATCATTCAAGCTTATGAGCTCACACCGGCGATACTCTGAAGCTGAAAGCCAGAGATAAGTGAGAGAGTGGCGGATAGGTTCCCATAAAAGAAGCATACCTTGAATGACCATACTATATTCTCAAGTACTAATAGTTCGAAGTAATTTTCCACAAGATAGAAATATATAGCATGCGTGAGAAGGCTGATTTGAAACGCATCTAGAAACCTGTCCAAGCTGACAGTGAGACCGAAATCTAAAGTCTTGCAATATGATAGACGAACCAGAGCACACAAAACTTACAGACCACGCTACTGATGAAAACCAAGGAGTAAAGTACAGAAGTTCACGACTTACCATAATCTTAAACCAAAGGTGGTTCTCCGTCGAGTGTGAGTGAATATACATGTACGTTTGTAGACATGTGAGACCAAAGAGTCTGCATGTCGTGCACGAAGAAATGAGCAATCAGTCGAGCAGAAGGGGGAAAAAGAACGCCTCACGCTGTAGCAAACACAAAACCCACAAACATAGCACCGAAGGTATCCTTTATGTCAGTCGTAGGCGGTGGCCTGGATAATCCACTTCCCAATGTCACTGTCATCTTGCCAAGGTGTACGAGAGGGCGTAAGTTGACCTGGGCAGCTGGAGAAAAGCGAAAAAGAAAAAATGGGCGCACAAGGTCCCAGAGAATGAGAACTTATAGGTGATGCACTGCAAAGGTTCATCTGTATCCCCGGACAGAGCATCACTGTTCCACAGCTATTGGTGATTCCATCATCATGTAGTGACATGGTATAAGGACCATAACTCTTGATCAAAGTTTGTACTCGGAATTGAGGAGCAGCTCAACACGCAGATTTGCATTTGTAAGTGGTTACCATCATGATGCTGAGCACCTCGGACAGCCCACTGGAGTCAACTGAATTAAAAAAGAGTTCACGAATGTGGGATTTAGTTTCAAGCATGGGTATTAGTGTACTAGTTCTTCGCTAGACAGGTAGAAAACCAGCAGTCAGATTGGCTATTCGCGACAACTGATTGGAAATGACATACAGCAGGAAGTCAATGAGAGTCACTTGCATTCATATGGGACAATCACAAAACAGCCATGTCCTATACTTTGAAAGTTACCATAGCATAACCGGGAGGGGGGGTTTTCTGACAACTCGAGAATCCAGGGTTTGAGGACACTCGTGAATCTCACACACTGACAGAGCTGAATGTACGAATCAGTGCCAGTGCTTGAGCGCTTGACCATGAAGATATTGTGGCGTCAGCGACAGGTTGTTAGATCAATGTGCCTCGCCTAGGATAGCTCTTCCATCGATCAGTTGCACAACAGATAACCGGTGTAGATACAATTACCGGATACACAGCATATTAAATCGACTGCTTACCAGCGGCGTTCAGCTATTTCGAGAAAGGCCTGACGGGGGTAACACAGTGTACAAAAGATCAAGTACTCACCAGCGTGCGGAACAGAGAACAGACCTAAAACCGACAGAGTGCTGTCCTAACAATGATATTCAAGTTTTCAGATATGCCATTGATCTTGGCTACTTGGTTAGCATTGTTCCTGCTATGTGTGTCATGTATAAACAGGGAAGCAGGTCTATTCCCTTCTCCATTCCCGGTCACGTCCATTCTATATGTCTAGATTTGAACCGCAACCATCTCGACGACTCGAGACCTCCCAAGTCAAAGAAGCACGTCAAGCCTGGGAAAGCCGTCGCACAAACTCCACGAGAGCCCTAAATGACGATCATTGTCATCAGCGACGACAACCAACAAAGTCTTTACACGTCTTCGCTCACCGAACGGGGCGCCCAGTCATTCCAGTCTCGAGATAAGGAGTCGGCCTCGTAGCCTAGGTTATGCGATGTAAAAGACTGATGACGAGATCAAAGATGTGTAGCCCACCTCCATGGAACCAGCTATATCAATATGCGCCCATCGCAAAGGTGCCTCACCCCCGTCTTTTGCTTCGATGCCCTCCACGAAGGCCTTCAGGAACAGGGCAGCTGTGCAAGATCCTGCCGGCTTGCCACCAGTCTACAAGAAAACGTATAAATGACATACTACAGATTCAGAAGGTGTGACATGACTTACGTTACAGAGATCAGCATTGGATGAATAGATTTGTGGCCCAAAGTCCTCATCGAACGGCATGCGCCAGAAGCGGTCATATTCAGACTCGCCCGCGACATTGAGCTCACTCCAGAGTGAATCAGAAGTCTATAGATATCGTTAACATACTGATTTGTGTTAAGTATAAAACAGCGACAGACTGAGAATACGCCAGAATATACTTCTCCCAAGGCAACTTCCATTGCACTATACGGAATTCAGTAATTCACTTACACTGATAGTCTCATGACCTACCCAGTGAGAGTGGCGACGTCGATCAACGTGTGTGGCTTGAACTCAGTGCTTGTGTAGTAGAGAGCATCTACAGCGAGAGATAGGTATGACGATGGTGACCCAAACAATTATTCCTCACCAGATAATACCAAGCGACCTTCGGCATCTGTGTTGTCAATTTCGACAGACTTGCCATTCATCGCATAAACACTGACTATCAGTGAATAAAATGTCACAAGGAATCAAAGATGAGCTTACATGTCACCAGGTTTATTGGCACTAGGTCCAGGCATATTCTCGGTGAGAGGGGTAACAACTACAAGGTTAATCCTGGAGCATGACTTAAATATTAATCTTTTGAAGGCAAAAAAGACGGTCCATCTTACGGAAGCTTCAATTGTGCAATAGCCAAAGCTGAGGAAACAACAGCCGCAGCACCACCTATTTTTGAAAAGAGTATGAGTTAAAAGGTGTGATGCTGTAGTAGATTTTTCTCCTTACCCATGTCTCCACGCATCAATTTCATCCCCTGGAAAACGTTCAGATCAAGCGCTATCCTTATAAAGCGAATAAGAGACCTACCGCAAGGGGTTTTATACTGATTCCTCCAGAATCGAAGGTTATACCTTTACCTACGAATGCTAGTGGCTGAGCATCTTTGGAGGCTCCATTGTAATGACTATAACAAAAACGTTAGTAAAAGTGCGGGGCTGATATCAGTCACTGACATTTCCAATAACTTTGCTGGTTCTGATGTTCCTTTGGCGACCGAGAGGAATGTATGCTTGAAATTCCAGGTAAATCATTATAGGCTCATTAACTTTATGGCATGGAAAAATCACCATGCCCTTCTCGGCAGCCCAGGCTAAAGAGATATATATTTTTCAAGAAACTGACGGAGTTGGAGTATCATGAATCAGTCTTACCTTCGTCACGAACTATGATTTCTACATTAGGAATGCCAGCGAACTCGGCTTTGATCCGCTCGGTGAAGATCTGTACATGGAAGTGTAAAAGATAGTAGTCCTGGGAAGCCACTCCCTGCGCTCACTTACCGTCGGAGTCATCATGTTGGCGGGATATTCCATTAACTTTTAAATTTCGATGCAAAAAACATGTGAGGGGCCGACACTGGTTTGTAGTATTTCTAGCACTTACTGTGCGAGCAAGATTTTGCGCTCTTGCGTATACAACACCTTGTTTCCATGCTTCTGGAGCAACCTCTGTTATTGAGTTGATTTTTATCTTTTCAGATTGCAGGGCTTTCGAACGAGGATCAAAAGCCGAGGGGGGCGAAGTCTTCAAAGTAAAGTTATACAGTGCGAGATGAGCTGCGACAGCTGTTTACGATCTCGTGAGCATGTATCGAGGGAAAGTGGTAATATAAAAAAAGTACCAGCAGCTTGCGCGTCTAAGGACGAATCTACGACAGCTTCAGTAACACCTTCACCTAATGATTTTACATCCTTGATGGCACTTCCAACGGCCTTCCTGATGAGCTCTCTCCTCTCGTCGCCCTTCTTGTCTGGAAATTTGTCGCCAAGGGATGCAAGAGAGGCGACATTGTCTCCGAAGAACAGATGAGACTTTCCCACTTTCGCAGGCGTCTTTCCTGACGGAACAGTAGACCAGAGTTTTGCGGGGTTGACACCGGGAGCGACGTTGCTGGGAGGGTTCTTGGGGTCGATGGGGACGACGTATGCTTTCGAGGACATGGTTCTAAAAAGAGTCGCTGATGATCGATGGGCTCTGCTCGAGGCTAACATGTGAACTTGAAGCTGCATCCGATTTTACTCCCGAATCCGGTCTATAATTCTGTTTGAATGGATTTGCAGTAAAGTAAGTATACCAGTAACCCTAACCATAATAATAACGTAATGACATGAGTACTTTGTGCCACTGGCCAAGTCGAGCTTCGAACCAAAATACACCTGCACTCGAACGATCAACTGCCAGGGAAAGCAAGTGGAAGTATCTCAGAATCTGTAGCTAATGAGGTGGGCATGAATATTATCCTTGTAAGGCACGGTTATCCCGCTGACAAGTCTCATCTTTCAGCTCTGAGTCATTATCAAAATTCGGACGATCTCGGGATAACCAATGTCAACCGTGGCAGTCAAGCGCTGAAATCTGAGAAAGATCAGCTCTCATTCGTCAAGTGACCTCAAAACTCTTCCAGCTTTATGTATTTTCCGTACCGTGTATTTTTATTTTCGACGACATCAGCAAGATATGGCTATGGCAGAATCATATCATCTATCCACGCTCCAACCCCAAAGCCTCAATGGTCACACGAGCGGAAGCGGACAACAGGTCGCACATGCCAACTCACCTGAACAACAAGTTCAAATCACAGCTTCAGATGGCGCCAACGACAATGCCGATGCTGAAGCACCCCCTAATGCAGTAACAGATTCACGCCCCACGAGACGGTATCAAGCTCTTTTACTTCTTGCAGGGTTTACCATGATATTCCAAATCATCGGTATCAACTCCACGTACGGCATCTTTCAGGTGAGTTATACAAAATCTTCTGTCTTCCTTGCGCGCTAACGTTTTCCCAATGGTCTAGGAATTCTATACATCCCCAGGGAGCAACATCCCTTCTGCCATAGGTCAGGATGCGCTTGTTTCTCTCGCAGGCACGATTGGCTATGGACTCACCTGGTCCGGCAGCATATTCGTAAACCCGTGTTTAAGAAAATATCGAAATGGCAGGCATATCACTCTCTTTGGTGTGATCTTGATGAGCCTCGGATTAGTCCTAGCAAGTTTTAGTACAAAGGTATGTCCCATATTATATGGTGAAGCGACATTATACTTAATCGCTTTGTTAAGCTCGTTCACCTTTTCCTCACACAAGCGCTCCTCTATGGCATTGGCGCCTCGTTCTACTATTTTCCCTTGATGTCTCTTACACCGCTGTATTTCGACCAACACAGAGGCTTTGCGATGGGTCTCGTCCTTTCTGGCTCGGGGTTCGGTGGGCTGGTTTTTGCGCCCGTAACGCATGCACTAATTGCGCGCGTCGGGGTGAGATGGACATTGCGCGTGCTTGGAATATGGAACGTCATTGTTGGGATTCCAATAGCACTAGTAGTCAGAGAGAGGAGTGGGGGCTTGGGAGGGATTAGAGGAGGGGGATTAGGGCTGATAATGAGGGGGACATTCTTCTGGCAGGTATATAGTAATTTCTCTTCCTCTCTTGCACGAGTGTCTCATTCGCGCATTTAGTCCCTTGGTGCGTTCCTCCAAGCTGCAGGCAATCTTGTCCCGGCATACTACATGACGACATACTGCACCTCCGTCCTCAACTACTCCTCAACTACAGCATCACTCGTACTTGCGCTCTTTAACGCTGTAAATAGCGTTTCTCGCGTGGGAATGGGTGTGTTGGCAGATAAAGTGGGAAGACAGAATACCATGGTTGTAAGTGTGAGTATCTCGTTACTATCATCTTTCTCCGCTATTCTTCAGTTAATCACTCTCGTGTGTTCCAAAAATATCCTCTTCAGGCCCTCCTATCTGCCATATCCGTCCTAGCCCTTTGGTACTCTGCACCTCGGGCCCAGTTTCTCGCCTTTGTAACCCTCTACGGAATTTACGCCGGTGGTTACAATGCCCTCTTGCCCACAACTCTAACAGAAGTCTTTGGCGTACAAAACTACGCAGCGGCAAACGCTATGATTTATTTCATCAGGGGTATGGGAACGTTATTGGGAGCGCCTGTCGCAGGGGTTATGATAGGAAGCCATTCGAGGGTTGGTGCAACGGGAGGAACAGGGCTGAGTGTAGGGGAGCTGAAGAAGAGGTACAATGATGTGGTGCTGTTCGATGGTGCACTACTTATGGCGGCTACTGCGTGCATAGCGTATGTCCGCTGGCTGGACGCGAGGGATAAGGGACGATGGAAATGGAAAGCCTGATCTGGTGTACGACATGCTTGATGGCGGAGTATGGGACATGATTTCTATAACCGCAGGCTCGAGCAAGCACCTATAGCTTTATATATAAGAAACCCTCCATCCAAGCAGTGCTCAAGATGAAAAGATAATCAGACTGAGGACGTTCAAATTCTTTCAAATTCTCAGGCGCTCGTTAGCTTCGATTCCGTGATGTAACAGTCATCGATAAAAACAATAAACCAATCTTTGGGCTTATCGTACATACAAGATATATTACACTATACAGTGGCGCCGTTCCAATATTTCGACGATAAGATCAGACGCTCCTTTCCAAGAACTCTAACATTTTGGTTGCAATCACCTCTAAGTGGTTTTCTAACGCGAAATGACCGCCGTCGACAAAGTCTACTTGGGCATTAGGTAAAACCCTCTTGAACGCGGTAGCCCCGGCAGGTACGAATACTTCATCGTTGGCGCCCCAGATAGCGAGAACGGGTGGTTGATATTTGCGCAAATACTCATGGAACGCGGGGTAGAGCTCGATGTTCGTAGCGTAATCGAGGAACAAATCAAGCTGTATGTCAACATTTCCCGGACGGGAGAGGAGATGGTCGTCGAGATTGTAAGTCTCAGGAGGGATAGATGCAGGGTTCGCTTCCCCCGTGTCGTACTGTTAAGAGTATTTCAACAATAGGTACGGGCCAAAAACAACAACAAAGAATTCTTACCTGCCATTTAATCGCACCGAACGAAGTCAACCACCTGGTGGACTCTCGCGTCTCGGGATTCGGATTCTTCCAGTATGGGCGAATGTTATCCCAGAATGGACCAAGCCCTTCGACGAACGCATTTCCATTCTGGGTGATAATGGCTGTGATTGCGTCAGGTCGAGAGAGTGCCAACCTGTGAAATATGATTATTATATACTCCACTAGGTGGTTAGAGGACATACCTGAAGCCAGTCGGCGCGCCATAGTCAAATACGTACATTGAGTACCGAGTTAACTTGAGGACATCGGTGAATGCCTCGACGGTCTTTGCGAAGTTGGCAAATGTGTACACGTAGTTGCGTTCGGTGGGTACCACGGTGAAACCGAAACCAGGAAGATCGGGAGCCTTTTCACAACGTAGGGCTAGTGAATATTTAGTAACTGTTGCTGTAAAAATATCCTCACAATAACATGATACTTGGGTGCGAGAGCCATGATGAGGTTCCGGTAGCTAAAAGATGAAGCTGGGTAGCCATGCAGGAGAAGCACCGTAGGCGCAGCTGGGTCACCCGCTTCGCGATAAAATATGTCTACACCATCTGCTGAGACGGTACGGATGTTTGTAATAGGGATGGCCATTTTTTTTGGCTGATGGCAAGAGACTTGTAGATTCACCTGAATGCTGGCCATTCAAATTCAACCAGAGCTCCGTTTTATATGGCAGTAGCGTTTGAAGTATTACAGTGACCTCGGCGAGAGTCCACCATTTGCGAGTGTACATGTAAGATGATCTATAAGCAGATTTATAGGATTAGTTCATTGTTCACATCATGCCCGTAATGACCATAGCGCCGATCAAGCAAACTGCTCATCACCAGTGCAGTACCAAAGGAAAGCCTCCGCGTTGAAAGGAATGGTATCTATACGGCGAAATTCTTTCGAAATAACATCACTGTCTTGAATGATTTTCGTAAAGAGTTTGTTATCATAAGTACGTTGTTTCTTCCTGTGGTAGGTTGTTGAATCCAGACGCTGCAGCCAAACAAAGAGGTATCTAGCACGATCCCAAAGTAGCAAAACTCTCACGCTGGCCGCATCAACAATGAACTCGGTGTCGGGCACAAGGTCGGGCAGGGTTCTCGGCCACAACATTTTTAAAGGCGCCCAATGATAACGACGAAAACGTGTTCGCTTTCTCATGTTTTGGACCAACTACGACCGTGGAGCAATGCCATCCATGAGTTCCTTCGCCTTAGCTTTGCTTTTTGTTGTCTTGACTGCAGGGCAAGTAGGCAACTTGCTCTGGAAGAAAGCCCGTAAAACAAGGCAACTCTTGCCTCCTGGTCCGCGTCCACTTCCTTTTCTCGGAAATCTTCTCGATATTGAAGCACACGCACCTTGGATCAGTTACGCGGAGTGGGGTGCGATGTATGGTTGTGACTATCAGTATAGTTTCAGATTACTGGCATTAATCAAGCTACTGCCTCAGGTGATCTGGTGTATTCTCGTGTCCTGGGCCAGGAAATTTTTGTCATCAACTCAGAGAAAGTTGCGAAAGACCTTCTAGAGAAGCGTGCCTACAATTATTCAGACAGACCAGTGATATCAACAGTCAAACCGTATGTGAATTATTGGTTCATCGTGTTATTAGCTTCTTAGTATTTCGATCATGTTATTGATAGATTTGGACTATCATTCAGTTCCGTATTTCTTCCTTATGGTGACCTGTGGCGTATGCATAGAAGGCTCTTCCAACAATCCTTTCGAAACTATGCATCTTTGCACTATCGCCCTATGCAGCTTCGCAAAGCACGCCAACTTTTGCTTCAGCTTTTATCAACTCCTGAAAGTTATGCCGATCACTTTCAAACGTCAGTTAGATAGTCTGAAACGTTTCTTTTTTTCACCTTGGTGAACATGGTCTAATACAGGTACGCTGCTGCTATCGTAATGTCTGCCGTCTGTGGCTATGAGGTCACGTCTTGCACCGACCCGCTCGTGATGATGGCAAAGCAAACTGTGGATTTGACTGTAGGAGCGACTGCACCTAGGAAAGTTGCAATACTTAACGCCTTTCCATTTCGTAAGTGGCTTCATGCTTCATGCTATCTTGCGACCCATAACTCCATCAGTCTTTCGACTCCCTTTATGGTTGCCTGGTGCTAATGTAAAGCATGATGCTTTTCGCTGCCGACGGTCCACACAAAATATGCTTGAAACGGCATATCGGATTGTACAAGAAAAAATGGTACGTTGATGTTCAGAATTTGAGTATATAATTTAGTAATGCTGAATTGCTAGCATTTGCGGACGGTCGGGCCTTGCATGGTTTCTGATTCCTTGAGAAGATTCAAGAACAGGGATGCTACAGGTAAATTTGAAGCAGCAATTAAAGATACTTCTGCTACTGCATTCTGTGGTAAGTAACGTGCAACCTTTTTCTAGTTCAAACACTCATATACCACATTGGTTTTCCTGTCAGCTGGTTCAGAAACGGTTAGTGACATGGAATCTTTCAATTTATCCTCATCTATATCATTGAACAGACTTCTGCGACATTACTTGTCTTTTTGCTCGCGATGGTTCTTCACCCACGCGTTCAAGAACGAGCTCAGCTAGAAATTGACTCTATTGTAGGCACAAACAGGCTGCCTGACTTCAGCGATCGACCTTCTCTCCCATACATAGACGCTATTGTCCGGGAAACCCTGAGATGGCATCCTGTTGCACCTTTAGGTTAGCACCTTCAACCTCCATTGAAACGCTTCCCGCAACTTTTTCAATAGGTGTTCCTCATGCTACCACAAGTGCTGATGTTTACGAGGGATACTGTATACCAAAGGGTTTGATATACATTTCAATGTTTGTGGCTTCTTGACTGACACAATTGACAGGAGCGACAGTAATCGCCAACGCGTGGTGAGCACACATATCCATGAGAATTCTTTTAGTTATTGACACCCATTCGTTCAACAAGGGCTATGTCTCGTAACGAACACAAGTACCCAAATCCATCAGAATTCAAACCAGAAAGGTTTCTAACCGCAGAAGGAAAGCTGAACCATGATACTGTCAGCTTCGCGTATGGGTTCGGGAGACGAATCTGTGTGGGCCGATATATGGCCGATGCGTCTCTGTGGTCGGCCATCGTGTCGTTATTAGCAGAATTCAGGTTCACGAAAGCACAGGATACATGTGGAAAAGATATTAAGATTGAGCCACAGTGGACATCTGGAAGTACCTCGTCAGTTTTGGTTTACTCTTTTTCACCTTTCACTTTTCTTAATCAGTCCAACTATGAAAACAGCCATCCACTCCCATTCCCATGTCATATCGTGGCAAGGTCACCGGATATGACATCGGAGAAACTAGCCCAGTTAAGTCGTCAGAGCACTTTGCATCGCGGTGGCTGGTACAAAGAACACCCACCAGCCAGTTTTGTAGGCCCCTTTTAAAAATGTATCAACGATACATCCCATCGTAGACCACACCATTCCTATCTCCTATATATTACATTATGCGATAAATATGGATCATAACAAATCTATTTTGCAAGCAAGCACCGACAGTTGAGTATGGCAATAGCGAGAATGAGGACGAGGACGAGGTGCTGTTTCCTTACACACCAAGCATAACCAACTTTTGTCTCACCCAAAATTGATGAAAAAGCTTGAAAGTAGTTAGAGTATTTGATTGTATTTTTGAACCTACAAAATTTTGTCAGAATAGTGTATTTTTGTTGACATATTTTTATATTTCCAAACAAAAGATAGTATTAATGGAAATATGTATGTCAACAAAAAAAATACATTATTCTGACAAAGTTTTGTAGGTCCAAAATAACATGGCCCTCTGGGGCAGACCTGGACCCAGTTGTTTTGAGTTATTGCCAGGTGATGTGATTGTGCCACTGCCTACCCCTCTGTGATGGTGTTAGTCTTGTTATGCTGCATCCCCTCATAGGTCGTTCACATCAATGTTTACAATGTGCAGAGTACTGCATTCATTGGCGTGATACACTTTGACATCTCTCTCATCATATCACTGTAATGTAATTACTGAAAATGCCAGAATTCCACAATTCCCTGATGGGGCCTTCTCCTTTCATGACTACCAATGTGACAAAACCAGATAAACCCAGTCTCTGCTAAAGCAGCCATTGTTCTCCGTGGAGCATAATGGCTGCTTCATGGTGTTGGATATTTGGTCCCTCAGGGCGCGGGAACAGGTGCGGGAGAAGGATTCCTTTGGCAAATGGATGCCGTGAAAATGTAAATACATGCTTCTTATATAACAAACATATGTAAATATCATGTGAAAGAACAATGGTGGCCACAAAAAGCCGGTTATAATCACAGAGTAAATCTTCGGGCGAAGCTCCGAAGTTTGCTTATGTAATATAATTTCTACACATGGAGTCACATTGTTCTCCTAGGAGTCATTATACTGTAGCGAGCAGCACTTCCGACTATAAGTAGTAGGGGGTTTAGTATAGGAATACCTCAGTCGTTTCTATAGCCTCTTAGGCAGTGGCTGAGGTATGTTACATTACATGTTACGATAACACAATTTTCGGACCTTCCCTTTACTTTTATTTCTCCGCTTTAAACCTTGTACTTTAGCTTTCACACATGGTGCCACGCGGCACTTCCCCTTTTGTCCAAACTCCTCTTTCTCGCGCTGCGTTGCCTTTCTTCTTATTATAGACACAACTCTCTCACACAGTGGAGCTGGCCATGCGGGCTAGGCCCCATGACATCATCAGCCACTGTCGCTATCAACTGTATAGTACATATGTACAAATAACCCTGTAGTAGTATATATACCCCAATAAATCCAGGAGACTCCTCAGCGAGTCCTCCTGTTGTTAACCAACTAACTCTCTGCAGCCTAAAGGGTAACCACTCCCTCATCATCTTCCTTATAGTGTGTTTCTGTGTGCGCCAGAGTAATTAACTCTTGGTTGTTACATTAGGACTCGCTCTTTCTACTCTCTCGCATGTTTGTGCAAAAAAGTCCCACTGGGCACCCGGACTCCAGGGTGAAGGAGATTTGGTTATTGGTTGGGAATATCCCGCATAGCAGATAGGTGCGCTCTTCGCGACGGCCTTGTAGTGCTTTGGGAGAAGAACCAAAACCTTTGATATGCGGCCCCCAGCGTTAAGGGGAGTACTTAGCTCAGCAGTCGGTGTGGAACCGCTGTTGATTAGAATTAACATACAAAACTTCTTCTTCAAATACCTCTGACCAGGCCGGGCACTTGCCTCCGCCAGTTGGAGAAGGGTTGACAGCTTAACAAGCGGACCACCCCCTGACAACCATTTGGACCAGGGTTTCTTACAAATACTTTTTATATACTTTTCAAATACTATAGTGTGGGTAGTTGGAGATTGAGATCCGATACTTAGCTGGGAAGAGGTAGATCCGCAGATAGCAAGCGGGGACCCCCAGTTACGTTTTTATTACTTTACAAAGAGAACAAGTCGACATGTCGTCGCAACAAGATATGAATGCTCTGCTGCACGCTATGCGTACGCAGATTGCAACATTGACCTCGCAACTCGCTGAGCTGCAGAATAACCCTCCTGCGGCAACCCCCTTGGTCGAGAAGAAATTCAACAAGAAAGTTGAAGTCGTTGCTGACCCTGGCGCCTTCGAAGGAGACAGAGCACAATTCGCCGAGTGGTGGATCAAGCTCCAAATTTGGGTCAAGGCAAACTGGGACGCGTTCACCGATGATTTTGAGGTAGCCACTGCGGTGCTATCTCGACTAAAAGGACCTGTGGCAGGTCGATACGCCCAAGTAAGATTGCAGGAATGCTACACCGCGGGAGTGTGGCCAACCTGGGACGATCTCAAGAAAGAGATTGAAAAATATTTCAAACTGCAAGCTGAGCGTGACTGGGCGCGTCAGCAAATCCGTTCCTTCAAACAAGGAAACATGAGGACGGATGACTATGTTACCCGTTTCCTGGCCCTCTCCATCCAAGGAGGGCTTGGTAATGAACATGCAGTAGAACTGCTGGAGCGCAATGTGAACCCTTGCATTGCAGAACAAATCTACTTGCAGGATACAAGAAACGAGAACTTGGCCCTGGCGGCTGAGGAAGTACGACGAATCGGTAGAGCCATGGAGCTTTACCAAATGCACCAAGGTGGCGGGTCCATCACCAAAAACAACGAATCCCAGAGGCGCCCTGGGTCATCAAACCAACATAAACACTCTCACGGGTTCCAGCCGTTCGGGCTGCAACCAGGTCGAGGTGCTCCTATGGATATCGGTGCGGTCCAAGGCGGACAGACGCGCAGATTCACCTGCTACAATTGTGGGCAGGAGGCGCACATAGCCCGAAAGTGTCCAAATGGAGTGCAGACTGCTCAAAATAACCAAGGGCGCCAGGCGCACCAATTAGAAATCGAAAAACCGGACAATCGGCTCAATACTCTGGCCGGTCGTTCATACGATGAAATCTGAGCTTTCTTCTATGACCAACAGGTCAATGAAATGAAGGCTCAGGGAAAAGAGTTCGGAGCTTAGGTCACTTGGGTGCCTTCGCTCCTATGAACAATGAAGTAAACCACAACAAGGTGGCCCCTGCTCCGGGGTGTTGCACAAGCAATAAAGGAAAGATGGGGATGGCTCCCCAATTTGTAAATAAATTTCTAAACTTATTATCTGAAGTATGTACTTGTATGAAACATTGTAACTGTAATATTTATGATACTACTGCTGCACCGGCGTCTCCTCTGGAGCGTGGCCCTGGCGAGACAAACACTAGGGTGCTTGATTCTGGTAAAAATAAAATAGAAAAACATGTAAATTTTGATACCTCTTCTTCTTTATTGGAGCCACCCTTTCCCAAAATCCCAAGGCGTGTGTTGATGTGCACATATTTATTCCGAAAAGAGATCCGTTTAGATGCTGGTGTGGAAAATCTTGCCCGGGGCATAGTACACCCAACCAGCGCACTACTTGATTCAGGCGCTAACGGAATCTTCATCAATCAGGTCTGGGCGGAGCAAATTGGACTCCTCCTTGTAAAACTAGATGTATCTATTCCCGTCTATAATGTTGACGGTACGCTTAACGCGGGTGGCTGCATCACGCACAAATGTTCTTTTGTTGTTGAATACCAAGGACACAGAGAACGAGTCACCGCCGAAGCTACCCAACTAGGGAAGATTAATTTAATCTTAGGCTGGACCTGGCTATTTAAACACAATCCTGAGATCAACTGGCAGACAGGGGTTGTCACATTGTCATGTTGCCCTCAGGAGTGTGTAAACTTGGGTAAACCGAATCATGTCCGTCACAACAAATGTCTTGAGAAGATAAACGCTGAAAACGTTTATGAGCTCAGATCTTTAGAAAAGATTGATGATGACGATGATGAAGTAAAACCCGAAGAAGAGATTAAGAGGCTGGTACCTCCTGAGTACCATGACTTCTGGAAAGTCTTTTCAAAACATAAATCAGAGCGCTTCCCAGAGGCTAAGCCTTGGGACCATGCTATAGATTTGAAGGACACCTTCAAACCGAGAAAAGGACACATGATACCACTCTCTGCTCCAGAAAGAGATGAGGTCTCAAGTTTCATAGATGAACAGCTTAGGAAGGGTTACATCAGACCTTCCAAAAGCCTTATGACGTCCCCAGTGTTCTTCATTCCTAAAAAGGATGGTAAGAAGCGTATGATTATAGACTATCGTTACGTGAATGAGCACACAGTTAAAAATGTGTATCCGCTACCTTTGATCAGTCAGCTAGTAGACAAATTGGCTGGTGCCAAGATCTTGACAAAGATGGATCTCAGATGGGGGTACAATAACGTACAAATCAAAGAAACAGATGCTTGGAAGGCCGCGTTCACGTGCCACCGAGGATCCTTTGAACCCCTCATTATGTTTTTTGGGTTGACCAATTCACCGGCGACCTTCCAGAGCATGATGAACGAGATCTTTGCGGATATGGAAAACTGTGTCGTCATCTACAACGACAATTTATTAATAATCTACAAAGTCAGACGATGAGACTGAGCATGACAGGATCGTGCAAGAAGTCCTTCGACGTTTACAGGAACGGCACCTATTCGTCAAACCCAAAAAATGTAATTTTAAAGTGAAGGAAGTAGACTTCCTCAGTATGATCATAGGCCAGAACGGAATCAGGATGGATCCTGAGAAAGTTCAAGCTATTTTGGAGTGGCCAGAACCTACTTGCGTCAAAGGAGTTAGGGCCTTCCTTGGCTTAGGCAATTTCTACCAAAGGTTTATCAAAAACTTCACAAAAATCACAAGACCGTTGAACGATCTCACTAAAAAGGACATTGTTTGGCACTGGGGCGCCAAAGAACAAGAAGCTTTTAATAAGCTTAAACAGGCGTTTACAATGGCGCCCATATTAGCATTTCCAGAATTAGACAAAGAGTTCCGGCTAGAAACCGACTCTTCTGATTTTGCTACTGGGGCTGTTTTGTCAATTAAATGCCCTGACGATCTTTGGAGGCCTTGTGCCTATTTATCGCATAGTTTGTCGCCTACAGAGCGCAACTATCAAATATATGATAAAGAGATGCTGGCCATCATTAGAGCTTTAGAGCACTGGCAGCACTACTTAGAAGGTGCTAGGCACCAATTTGAAATTTGGACTGATCATAAGAATCTGGAATATTTTATGACGGCCCGAGACTTGAACCGAAGACAGGCCCACTACGCGGTATACTTGTCAAGGTTTAATTATAAATTAATTCATAAGCCTGGCCAATGTTAGAATCGGGCAGGATTCCGATCTTCTGGAAGTCTTCAAGAAAGACATCTCCTCAGAAGAGAAGGCGCACCTTGACGGCAATGAAAACTATTTATGGGAAGACGGGCTCTTCCATTTTAAAGACAAAATCTATGTGCCTGAGTCCGCAAGGATCAAGGCAATAGATAGACATCACGACACTCCAGTGGCTGGGCACCCTGGGTGGCAACGAACAATGGAGTTGATCTCCAGAAACTACATGTGGCCTGGCATGGTCAAAGACGTACAGGGATATGTAAAATCCTGTCTGAGATGTGCCATGGCAAAAAATTCTCATCAACCGCCGGCCGGTAAACTTATGCCAAATCTGATACCAACTGGTCCCTGGCAGGATATATTGGTTGATTTCACAACAGATCTGCCCGAGTCAAATGGGTACAATTCAGTAATAGTGGTAGTCGATCGCTTCTCCAAAGAAGTAGTATTCATACCTACCAATAAAACCATTACCGCCGCGGGTACGGCAGATTTATTTAAAGATTTTGTATGGTCTATCTATGGGTTACCAGAAACGGTGATCTCCGATAGGGGACCTCAATTCACTAGCGAATTTACAGAAGAATTATGCAAGATGCTGGGCATCAAACCTAAATTATCAACGGTGTTCCATCCGCAAACTGATGGACAAACGGAGAGACTCCACCAGGAGTTGAAACAATATCTCCGGATATTTATTAATGACAGACAGACAGATTGGGCCAAGTGGCTAAAGATAGCCCAGTTCTCTTATAATATCAAACAGTCGTCGGCTACAGGAAAGGCACCATTTGAGGTTACTAGATCATACCTCCCCAGAATGGGTGTAGAACCTGGTAAAAGCAAGAACGAGGCTGCTGGGAACATGGCCAAGGACATGAAAGCTGTCTTAGACAAAACGCGCAAGGCACTATTTAAAACTGCAGAGCAAATGAAAGACAGGGCAGAGCGTAGACGCTCCAAGGCCCCTGACTACAAGGTCGGCGACCTGGTCTGGTTAGATACCGACCACTTAAAATTAAAAGATCGGCAGTCTAGAAAACTGACCGAAAAGTGGATTGGCCCTTACCAGATTAAGGAAGTCAAACCCAACGCAGTGGAGCTGGAACTCCCAAAACGGATGAGGGTAGTACCCACGGTCAATATAAGCCGTGTGAAACCCTACAAAGGGCCGCTGCCGGGACAGCGTGTAGACCGGCCCGGACCAGTTGTAGTCACCCAGGAAGGTGAAGAAGAGTTTGAAGTCGAATGGGTGGTGGATGCACGCTTGAAGCGTGGTAAATTAGAGTTCCTAGTCCTATGGAAGGGCTATGGAGACAAGGACAGAACGTGGGAACCAGAAGCCCATCTGGACAATTCCCGCAACGCTGTTCACGAATTTTATTCTAAGAATCCCTCAGCTCCTAGGAAGCTTAGAGGCATGGATTCAAATCTTTTTAATTCTCTTTTTCAACCTATGCCCGAAAATTTTACCACTACCTCCGGTATTTGGTCTCGCCTGGAAGTCGAGCCTTAGAAGGGGGGTAGTGTTACAATAACACAATTTTCGGACCTTCCCTTTACTTTTATTTCTCTGCTTTAAACCTTTACTTTAGCTTTCACACATGGTGCCACACGGCACTTCCCCTTTTTTCCAAACTCCTCTTTCTCGCGCCGCGTTGCCTTTTTTTTTATTATAGACACAATTCTCTCACACAGTGGAGCTGGCCATGCGGGCTAGGCCCCATGACATCATCAGCCACTGTCGCTATCAACTGTATAGTACATATGTACAAATAACCCTGTAGTAGTATATATACCCCAATAAATCCAGGAGACTCCTCAGCGAGTCCTCCTGTTGTTAACCAACTAACTCTCTGCAGCCTAAAGGGTAACCACTCCCTCATCATCTTCCTTATAGTGTGTTTCTGTGTGCGCCAGAGTAACTAACTCTTGGTTGTTACATTACATTTATTAGAGATCACCTTAAACTACATCAGTAAAAGTCGAGCTTACTTTTTTGATCTTAATTGAGCTTAATTGCCATTTAAGACGACTTAAGACACAATATTTTCCAAGTACAAAGCCCTCCTTCAAGATCAACCAAGGAGGTTGCTGCTCTGGATTTGAGCTTATGGCCATCTAGATTTGAGCTTATAACCGTCTGGATTCAAGCTTATGGCTGTCTTGACAAGGCCTTAAGATGACTTGGAAATCCATTAAAGGACTGTTAAAACACTTATAAGGCACTTCAAGGAGAGACAAAGCACAAAAACAGTTCATTATAAGACAATTTCAAGGCATAGTAACTAAGCATAGCAAGATAATCAAAAAACAAGTAAGAGTAAAGCAGGGGAAAAAAATGAAACAATCCAGTCCAAATGAGCATATAGCGGCATGTAACGACTCAGAAAACAATCATTAGTGGACAGAAATGTATAATGGATGCGTTGGGGAGAGTTGCTAATCATCAGCTTAATTGCATATGGACCATCAGATCCTAGCAGCAGCACACTGATATCTGTGATTGTAATTGCAATATCAGCCATCAGTGACGAGAAATGAGAATGAGGAATGTAACCTTAGACATCAACAAGGCAAGCACAAGGATCTTCAGAGTCATTGTCCACAGAAGAGGACACTGCACTTTTAGGAATCCTCGCAAACACTTTGGCTTTTTGTACAATGTCTTCAATAGAGTCCTGTTTGAGTTTCTGAATGGACAAGCAATAATAGCGGGTCACTTGTCCCCAGTTAGTATCAGAGAATAACGCATGACTAGCGGTCTCCTTCCCGGTTGATTTATTCAGCTTGGGGATGGGCTTTATAAGCACCTTCGAAGATGCCTTCCCCTCATTTGCGGTACCATTACCGCCCTCTGAGTTTTCATCCCACATGATTTGTTTTTTTGCCCACATTGTGAAAATATGCTCGACCTAAAATAAAATAAAAGATTATCAAAGTGCCAAAGAGTGCATATATTACTTACAGCGGCAGCAGACAAGGCCAGAGCCCCTACAGGAGGGAACTTCTGAACGTCAGATGAATTCACTGGAACACCAGCTGCTCTCAATGCTTTGACCTCCACAGCACCGGATATAGAATTAAGGTGTGATGCAAACATCTGTAAGATGAATGTTGAGCGAAACAATTCTTGGTGTTCCTACATTTCCATCAGTTATGGGGAAAATTTCAAAACAATTTGAGATCAGACTCACTGAAGCGCTGTCCCCTACATCTTCGTAGAGAAAAGCAAAGTCTTCAATCATGCTTTGAGAAAACAATTGGCGGTTGATGTATGTGTCATAGAATCAGGGTCAGATGCAAAGAAGTGCTCAACAATTACAGCAGCTGCTGAACCAAAGCTACCACGCCATTCAGAAACCCGTTGGCCAAGCTAAAATAAGGGAAAATGAGTGAATATATAAGTCATTGAAATGGCAAGAGCTTACTATACGATATACGGGGCCATTGGGGGTAATTGTGTATGGAATGTCCGGGAAGATGACATCCCAGATGGCTTGCATGGCTGGAATGGCCTTTGAGTCCTCAATGCTCCACGGATTTTTCTGAGATGCTGCCCATTTTTCATATGTGGGTACAAACACGCTGTGCCAGCGGCCACCTTCAAGACAGCCTTCAGGTAAATTGGCATTCCTAGTCTTTGCTATAGTTTCGGTCTTTGCACGCTTTACAGGGAAAACATCGGTTGTCTTCTCAATTTTCACAGAAGAAACCTGCTAATGTTTATCAGCGTTAAACAGATGGGAAAAAAAAACTTACTGAGCTTAATCCGCGTTTTTTCCCTGCTAATGCATGATCTCTTTTGTCTGTCTCAAGTTTGTCCTCTAGACCTCCCATTTGGTACTGCAAAGCTGCCTCTGTATCCTGTGTGTCTCTGGAAATGGGGCCTTTTTGCACAGACACTGGCACCGAGGTACAGGAACTACGTGTTGTTTTATTGAAGAAGCTTGACGCAGAAGAGCCTTTTTCACTGAGACTTGAGGTGCCGTGTAGGCCTTTTTTAGACTCCTTTTCCAACATAATGACCTTTGAACACCATGATTTGATGCCAGAGAGCTTGGAATTTGGTGGCTCTATGGATTTTGTAGGCCTTAAGTTCCGGTAGAAGAGCAGTGTGGTTTCAGTGAGGTAGAGCATGTTGTTGTTGCGGTGGTAATAGTGATCAGTGATTGCGGTGATAAGCTTCAGGAAGAAACTGACTTTTGCACATGGCTTTTGGCCACCAACTTGAGCCGCCACTGGTTTCATAGCCGCAACCTCCATGTTGCTTTGAGCAGCTGGTGCAGCTGGCTGCTTTCGCAACGCTGTAACAGCTGTTCTCCCACTCATAGTTACCTTCAACTTTTTTCTTTGACACTTTCCTTCCTTGTTGCTGGAATCAATTTCAATCACCTTGCTTCTTTGGGTGCAAGGTAAGGCGGTTTCTCTTTCATCCATAAGTTCTAAACCTGCATGATCTGAGTCAGAACCTGCAGCCTGGGATTGTTCATCTGGTGTCGACCTGAGCTCCATCTCGTTTTCCTGAAGCTCAAATGGCCCATAGTGCTGAGGCTGAGATGACTCAAGGTAGTCATAATTTGGAACCCACGAAGATTTGATATCAACGTAGTTCGGTCCCTGTGGCTCAATGACTCCTTGACGCTGGGATGGTTCATCATCATAGAGGTCTGCTACAGCATCTCCATCCTCACTGGCTGTAACTGATTTTCCTCTCTCTTCCTCGCTATCAGGTACAGTCCTCATGCTACTCATGCGATGAACTAAGCGGCACTGAGAGGGTGGGGGCATTGTCAATGAAGCCTCCCCATCCTCAAGCACCTGCTTATCTTCAATTGCTGCCACCGCTGCAAGTCCTGCTCGCACCCCTTGTTCAACTTGCTCCAATGTAAGTTCTTCTTTCTTCTTTGCTGCTGTGATCTCAGCCTTTGTACACCTTTTGCATTGCAGTTCCAGCAAAACTTTGCCAGGATGTTGGCTAGCATTTTTTGCGCAAGTAGTCGGGTGGGTCATTTGAAGGTGAAAGGAGTTGTGGAGCAGTTAGGGGGGGGGATATTGAACAATGAGGTGGTTCAAGGTAAGTGTGAGGAATCGATTTTTCTTATCGCATTCCCGTCATGTCGTGGTTAGCAGACTCAATCCCCGTCACTCCTCTTGCCCTTGGACTAGAGATTACAGCAGGTGTCTTATTACTTTTATCATTTTTCTTTTTATTCTCTCTTCATACTCACATTCTATCGTACCTACAACGAGGTAGACTTGTTGTTGACCCTCGAGAAGATATCCAGATGAAATAGCCACGATCCAGTGCTATGTCTGGGAATACTTCGGAGGAATATTGATAAGCAAAGAAGGTTGTGAGTCAGCGCCTTCTCATGGGCTTACTGATACAGCCAATTGCACATCCCTTACCAATACATCTTCTCATACGATTAGTAAATACGATAGATCGGACCACCTTCTCCTTTTTTCTTATTGGTTAGCTAGCTGGTCAGACCACTTTCTCAGTTCTTCCCTTTCTCGGACTGACCATCGCCGTTCACTATATAAAGAGGTACATACTCGATGTATTGTTCTCTAGTTCAATATTAGTTTGGATTTGCGCTTATACCGATACTCTTCATTCTCATACCCTGATTCACCGCCTTCCAGCAAGGACTTGACCAGGCATTGTGCTTTGTTATATAGCTTCGTATTTGTTGCCTGATAGTAAGTGTGACTAAAACAATTTATGCTTGTTTTGAGACTCAATTCTGAGTCTTGTCGCACGATCCCGAGTCGCATAGCAGTCAATTGCTCATTCACACACTTTCATGGGCTATAATGGCTCCAGTCCCTCGTATTCAGCGTGTTCGGCGCCCTCAAAGGATACAGACCATCCCATGTGAAATCCAGCAATGCAAACACTGGTTCTGGAATACCTCAGGCCTCGAGAAACACATGCATACTTTTCACAAGAACACTCAACTCTTTTGCCTGCCCCAATTGCCCACCCACATGCCAAATGTACTGATGGATGTAGACAGAGGCGAAATAAACAATAATTGAAGTGTTCCAGATGGAAACAAGCAAGAACCACCCAGTCAGTCTGAGTACGAATACCACAGATATCTTAATGGTAAGTCCCTCAAAGTTTCCTGGCGACATTTGGCTAAATCACAGAACAGGCAAGCCATGTGATGAGAACGGCCAATGCCTACCACCAAACACTCCACCAACTATTCCTCAACGCCCGTCTCGCTCTGAGTGGATGCCGTACAGGGATTGTATTGAGTTTGAGACAGCAGAACTGCTCTATACAAAGACACAGATGTTGGCAGGAGACATTAATACTCTTACAGAGCTATGGAGAGCCTCATTTATAAAACATGGCATAGACGACGCTCAAATTCCATTTTCTGACAAGGACAACTTATACCGGACCATTGATGCGACCCCTATTGGTGGTGTACCATGGGATTTGTTTTCGCTTAGTTACAATGGAGAAGTACCTCAGGAAAATGCGCCGCCATGGATGTCACAAAGTTTTGACGTCTGGTACCGCAGTCCACAAATGATAGTACACAACATACTATCTAATTCTGATTTCAAGGATAATATTGACTATGTACCTTACCGGGAGTTTTGTGCAAATGGAAAACGGAAGTACAAAGACTTCATGTCGGGTAATTGGGCATGGAAAGAGGCCAACATCATCGCAGAAGACCAAAGCACACACGGATCGACATTTGTACCCATCATACTCGGTAGTGACAAAACGACTGTTTCCGTTGCAACAGGACAAAATGAATATTACCCGATATATATCTCTATTGGTAATGTTCACAACAGTGTTTGTCAAGCCCATCAAAATGCTCTTGCTCTCTTAGGGTTTCTTTCTATACCAAAAAGTGTGTATTTTTTTCATATCATTCCTTCATTCAACTAACTTTTACTAAGCCGATAAGAAATATGGGAATGACACAAGGTTTCGCAATTTTTGATGACAAATGTTCCACACGTCAGTATCAGCTATTCTTCAAGATCTCAAGCCAGCCATGACCACCCCGGAGGTTGTTCGCTGTGCTGACCAGCACTTCCAGCGAGTTGTGTATGGGATTGGCCCATACATAGCAGACTATCCTGAACAAGCCTTACTAGCTTGTATTGTTCAGGGATGGTGTCCTCGGTATGCATCTCAACTCTTTAAAAGTAAACTCGGCTGATATTGGTGTAGTTGTACTGCAGCACCCAATAATCTTGATGGCAAAGCTGGTTGGCGCTCAAGGTTACACACTGAGGCATTGATCAAAGCCTTTGACCGAGGGATTCTGTGGGATCAGTATGGATTAGTAGCAGATATCACAGTAAGTCTCATGCCGTGGTTAATTTCGAGGATCTGTACTAATATATCTTTTGATTAAAAATAGCCTTTTACCAACAACTTTCCCCGAGTCGACATACATAAAACTCTCGTCCCAGATCTCCTTCATCAAGTCATTAAGGGCACATTCAAGGATCACCTTGTATCTGTTAGAATATACTCTGACATACCAATACTCCATAGGATAATACCTCTGATTTGTAAGCCAGCCCAGTATGCAGCAGCTATTCTGTGTAAGACGTCCATGGTTGCATGTCATGTTTAAGATCCTACATTGTATAACCTTGACCATATAGCTCAATTGGTAGAGCAGCTGGCATGTATCCAGAAGGTTCCAGGTTCAATCCCTGGTCTGGTCAATATCCAATTTTAACAGGTTATGAGCCCTGTGCTCTAGCCATCTTCCTGACTTCATACCTCATCATCCAAGCACCCTACTGCTTATCCCTCTTGCAAATTGTCTTCTGGGTCTCTGGTAACCCTCTCTATCATCTCTGTTTGCTTTGATTCCATCTGGATTACTCCCTATAAGCCTTTGTTGCTTGGAACCTCATTTTGGACGCTTTTTTGGCCTTATCAGTGCCATATCTCACCCAATCCTTATCTGATTGTCCCCAAACTCCTACCATTGTCTTCTACGACCTTGAAAACCCTAGGAGACTCCTCAGAGTGGTGGATTTTGAGTTTGATCTCCCTGTGAGCCCCTATCATTTTCTGATCACCACTTCCACCCCTATTATACCCCTCCACTCCCTGTGCTTCGTTTCTGGCCATACTTGGCCTATCTATTGCACCATATAATCGCTCCCCACACCTATATTTTGGGGGCAATCCATCCACTCCATCTGTCCCTGTGACAATTTCGATTTTTTTTGGCCTATATTTTCGCTTTTTGGCATATCTGGTGCTTGCATAAAGCTCCAATCTTCTCTGCTCTGTCCATTATCAGATAGAACAAGCCTATAGACTGTGAAGCTCGCCTGCATTGCCTCAGTTTGCTGTTTCCCAGAGCCTCTCTCAGTCTGCGGTGTTTGGGGAGCTTAAGTCACTTTGTTGACTCATATACAAGCCCTTTTAACCAACACTGTCTCGAGGCGATTTCTCTGTTAATATCAGTGTAGTATTGAAAGGGGAACACAGGCGTAACCCTGTAGTATCACTAGGAGGCCTTAGCACCCTCCTGGACCGCTTTTGGACCGCTCTTTTGGACCCTTTGGACCTTTCTGTGCACTTTTTGGACCTTCTCCATTATCCACCTCCACTGCTTCGCCAGCTCATTTCCACACCATGGATAAAACTAAATGTACTCCTCATTCATATTCTGCTCCTACTCATTGTTCTTGCTCATCTCCTAACTGCCATCATTGTAATCAATCTGCCATATCTGGTGCAAAATACCATTTTTCTACTGTGGTTGCAGAGTCGGCTAGAAATGCAAGCCTCCACTCTATTCATCCCTCTGACTTACACTGCCCTCTCCAGCTTGATGCCAACATTGATTGGAATGCAGACACAGGTGCCACTTCTCATATGACACCTCATCGTCACTGGATTCGCAATTATGCACCATATCGTGTTCCCATAAAGCTAGCAGATCATACTGTTGTTTATTCAGCTGGTATTGGTACTGTGGTGTTTAACCCTATCATCAATGGCAAGGAATCAAGGGCTGTAGAATTCTCCAGAGTGCTGCATGTACCAGATCTTCGAAATAATCTCCTCTCAGTTTTGTACTTAACTCGTCAAAGTGGTTTTAAAGTCATCATTTCATCTCAATTTATGTCCTTCATACATGGCAACACTCTCTTATTCACTGCAACCATCAACAACAATAATGCTGCATTCTTTGATGGATCCACTGTTTCTTGTGTTGAATTGGGACACTTTTCTGCAACAATTCCACTTGACTTAAACCTTTGGCATTGAAGATTGGCTCACCACCACTATGCTGATGTCAAGAAATTGACACAAGAAAACCTTGTTACTGGAATGACACTTGAGTCTAAATCTACTCCTGATCCTATCTGTGAACCATGTCTGTCTGGAAAAATGTCTGCCAACCCATTCCCTTCATCTTCTCATCGCTCTGCTCACCCTCTAGACCTCATCCACTCTGATGTACACCAAGTCTCCTCCCCTTCATTCTCTGGGTATCGATATTGGGTCACCTTCATCGATGATTACACTCGATTTTGTGTTGTTGTCCCTTTGAAGGCCAAGTCAGATGTCTTTAATGCTTTCAAGAGTTTCAAGGCTTATGCTGAGACTCAATTAGAGCGAAAAATCAAGGCTCTGCGCGATGACAAAGGGGGAGAGTACATCTCCAAGGAGTTTGAGCAATTCACAGATGATCATGGCATTGTCAGACAGCATACCACCCGGAATAGGCCTCAGCAGAATGGAGTTGCAGAAAGAGCAAACAGGCTTCTCTCTGAAAGAATCACTACCATGCTTTCAGAGTCTGGATTGCCTAATATCTTCTGGGGTGAATGCCTAGGTGCCTTGGTGCATGTCTGGAATAGGTGTCCCACTGATGCAGTGGTCAATGCTACTCCTTATCAATTGTGGCATGGACATAAACCAGACATGTCACACCTTCGTGTTTGGGGGTGCACTGCTTATGTGCATGTGCAAAAGGATAAGAGAGGTGTTTTTGGCTCTCACATGGAGAAATGTGTGTTCATTGGTTACCCTGCTGGGTACAAGGGTTGGAAATTCTACAATCCTACCACCAAACACACCATTATCTCTGAAAGAGCTGATTTTGATGAGCGCTACTTCCCTGGCTTGAAAAAGACTTCTACCACTGCCATTCCTACTCCACATTTGCCACCTTCACTTCCCATGCCTTTGGGCCTGGATGAGGATGTCCCTGCACCAGGTCCAGGGGGAGATATTGACCCACCAGCTGTACTTCAGCAACCTCAGCAACCTCAGCACTTGCCTGATGATGGGCCTGATTTGGACCTTGATGCAAAACCACCTGTGAATCAACCTCTTGAGCTTCCAGATCACCCTCCTCATCGCTCACCTTCTCCTGACTTGCCTATTGCACTGAGACGCCCTGCAAGGGCTAGGAGACCACCTAGACCATGGTGGCTTCAACACAGACAACCTACTCCTGCCATTGAGAGTGATAACGGTGAGAGTAGTGATTCTGAGGCAGTTGATGATGAAGTGGCACACTTTGGAGACTCTGCTGAGCCTAGGTCATTTGCAGATGCAATGAAGCGTCCTGATGCAGATAAATGGAGAGAAGCAGCCATGGAAGAGCTCCAAGCTCATGAGCACAATGGAACTTGGTCACTTGTGGAACTACCTCCTGGAGAAAAGGCAATTGGTGGCAAGTGGGTCTTTAAGATCAAGCACAACTCCGATGGCTCCATTGAGCGCTACAAGGCCAGATATGTGGCTAAAGGTTACAACCAGCGCCCTGGCTTTGACTTCCTTGAAATATTTGCACCCACTGTTCGCATCTCATCTATCAGAGTTATCCTTGCAATTGCTGCCATCCACAACCTCTATTTACACCCACTGTTCGCATCTCATCTATCAGAGTTATCCTTGCAATTGCTGCCATCCACAACCTCCATTTGCTCTCCATTGACATCTCTCATGCATTTCTCAATGGTGTCATGGATGTAAAGGTCTACATGCAGCAACCAGAGGGATTCCATCAAGGTGGTCGTAATCTGGTCTGCCAACTCAACAAGGCCATTTATGGGACCAAGCAAGGAGGCAGGATGTGGAACCAGAAGATGCACATTGTGCTTGAAAAACTCGGATTTAATCGCACTTACTCTGACTCTGCCATCTATGTGTTTAATAGAGGTGGAGTGCGCATTATTCTACCTGTCTTTGTTGATGACATGACACTGGCATCCACATCCAATTCTGCACTTGACCAAGCTGTCAAGGACCTCTCTCAGCACTTCAAACTTCGTGATCTTGGCCCTACTTCCTACCTACTTGGCATTTCCATCACCAGAGACCTCAGCAATCGCACCATCTCCCTCTCCCAACATCAGTACACTCTGGACATTCTGGAGCGCTTTGGCATGAAGGACTGCAAGCCTGTGTCCACTCCAATGGACCCCGGTTCACGCCTCACCAAGGATATGTCTCCCAAGACACCAGAAGAAGTGCAACTGATAAAGGACATTCCCTATCTTGCTGCTGTTGGTGCTCTGATGCATTTGGCCACCACCACTCGTCCTGACATTACCTATACTGTTGGAGTTCTTGCCAGATTCAATTCCAATCCTGGGCCCACTCACTGGGGTGCTGTCAAGCACTTATTCCGCTACTTGCAAGGCACCCTCAATCACTCACTTGTCCTTGGCCCTGATCCTAATTCCACTGAACTCTTCACCACTTTCTCTGATGCTGATCATGGTGGTGACAAGGACTCTGGACGTTCTACTGGTGCTTACCTTGTCAAGATTGGATCTGGTGCTGTCTCTTGGAGTTCCAAACTTCAAAGCATTGTTGCTCTTTCCACCATTGAGGCAGAATATATTGCTGCTGTTGAAGCTGGCAAGGAGATCTGCTGAATGCGAAATCTGCTGAAGAAAATAGGCTGTCCTATCACCTCTCCTTCCACCCTTCACATTGACAACCAATCTGCCATCTCTGTGTCCAAGAATCCTGAACACCATGGTCGAATGAAGCACCTTGATTTACGCTGGCATTGGTTGAAAGATATTGTTGGCTCTGGCCAAATTGCTCCCACCTTTGTGCCCACTGCTGAAATGCCTGCTGATTTGTTGACCAAGGCTCTGGCTAAGCCTAAAGTTGACATGTTCAGACAGATAATGGGACTTGTTAGATCAGGGGGGAGCTAATGCTTGGGAGGTGCAGCATCAGGGGGGAGTGTTAGTTTTGGTGATTCTGCACCTAGTTGTGCTATCTATTTTCCCTTCTTTCTAAATCACTTTCCTCTTTATTTTTTTTGCTGTATTATTCAGTATTCACTGAGCATTCTATAATTTCGCCTTTGTGGCTGATTTGTTTACCTTTGTTTACAAAACTTCGGACTAGTATTGCAGAGTCCAGTATTCCTATTCTTTAGTTACTCATACTGGACTCTAGTTCTGTCCCTGTTAGCTCTCAGCAAGTGGCTAGACACTTCCCAGAAGTTCTCAATTGAACAGTATCATGGGTGGAAGAATAGTTAGTCAAAACCCATGGGAGAAAACAAGCAGATGAAATAATGGATGACATAGATGTTCAGTATGTATTAATTAGTATCTCATTTTTATATATCAGGCTCTGACAATCTGTTCAGTATCTCTGCTGCACCATTATTTCCAGGCCTCTGACGATTTCCTCAAGGTCGTGGGTTTAAGCAGTGGACTGGAGATGATTCCAAGGCTTTAATGAAGGTTTTTATGTTTCTTTTTACTACTGAACTATAGTATACTGAACTCAACTACATGTACCACCTGACGTAGTCAGAACATTTCAGGCTTTTCTTGAATTTTGCTATTTTGTATGGTGTGATTCACATGATGAAGACACCCTTGTGCTTGTACAAGATGTCCTATCAAGATTCCATCGGTACCATATTATCTTCCAGAATGTTGGTGTTCGGCAAAATGGCTTTTCTCTCCCCCGCCAACATTCTCTGGTACATTATCTCATGCTAATCAGAATATTTGGCTCTCCAAATGGCCTATGTTCCTCAATCACAGAGTCAAAGCATATCAAAGCAGTCAAGGAGCCATGGCATTGTTCAAGCCGTTTTGAGGCGCTTGGCCAGATGTTACTCGTCAATCAAAGACTCAACAAATTAGCAGCGGCCCGAGTTGATTTCACAGACTGGGGGATGCTTTCTGACCATATTCTCAATTATGCAAACACTATATTAGGTATGTAACATAGTCTATTCCAGCTGTCCTTTAACTATTTACTCATCCGTTATCTAGTTGATAATCATGATATGGTGGGGATGCCGGATGACCACAATCAAGCCGCCAATCGTATTTCATCTCAACACAACAATGAAGCAAATCACTTTGATGACGCTGATGAGGAAAGTGGACCTGTTTCTGATGTGGGTGTAGTGAGCCATGTAGAACTTGCAAAGTGTCTACGTACATTCTTTTCTGCCTCTTCTTGTCCATTAACTGATGTCTCCTTGAACCAGAGTCTGGCTATCCACAAAGGGTGAAACAGCTTAGTGCTTGGATCAACCAATCCCAACTGCATGAAATGATCCGACAATTTTTATTTGATCAGCTTCACAGAAGTCTGAATGATTCAGAAGGCTCCAATGTTCCCCTTTCTTGCTGCCCTCTTTTCAATTCAAAAATCGCTGTTCACCACTCCGCCGTAGCATTTTTTTATGCACCAAGCAATCCCAGTGGGATTGGTGGGATGCGACGAGAGACAATTCAAGCGTGTCCGTCATGGCGGGGCGGTCCTTCTCGCTATGACTGTGTGTTTGTTGAACATGACCCCACTGCTCTTGCAATGCAAGGACTTGATGTTGTTCGAGTTCACCTTTTTTTTTCTTTTGTATATGATGGGATATTTTATCCATGCGCACTGATTCAGTGGTTCTCACACATTGCTGATCACCCAGATGAACTGACTGGCTTATGGATGGTTCAACCAGACGTCAATGAAGAAGGCTATCCAGCCCTCAAAATTATACATGTTGATTGCATTTTGCAGGCTGCTCATTTACTCCCAATTTATGGTGATTGTTTCATGCCCAGAGAACTTTCCTTTTCCAATTCCCTTGATGCTTTCCATGCCTACTATGTCAATAAATTTATTGATCACCATGCTTTCGGAATAGCTTCCTGATCTCTTATTTTTGCCTTGTAAATTTTATTACACTTAGTTTTTGTCTTAGCAGGCACTTGGTTTTACTTTTGTTGTAATCAAATATGTTGATTTCTCTTATGAAACTTGATACTTTTCTGGGTACCTTAGTAGACCTTGAAGTCGAGCAAGTTTGATCTTAGGTTGACTTTGTCACCTTTGTCAGCTTGATCTAGCTTAAAAGTAACATTAAGCTGTCTAAAACGACCAAAGTAACTTTGACTTTTACTGATGTAACATCTATTGTAGCTTCACTTAGATAGCTTCACTTAGATAAATAATAAAGTTGTTTCTATAGCCTTTTAGGCAGCGGCTGAGCTTCACTTAGATTTATTATATCCAATATCATACCACAATGCAAATCGGGAAGGCCCTCACATTCTTGAAGAACATCTTTCAGAATAAGATTCAGTCTCTTCTCCATGAAAATAGCCAGTCATGCAGCTTGATTTGACATTGGGCTACTCACCTGTGTAGCGAAAAGGCGTTGAATATGCTTTATGATAACATGTAATTCTTGTCAGGCGCTTGGGCTCATTGTCAAACTGGCCTACGAGCTTCTTGCAAGAAGAAACGAGAAACATTCTTACTGCCGAGATGGTACGTACAAACACAGGTGTTGCATACAAGAAGCTGGCTTAAATAGTTTGACAATTTCTTATGGAAAGCCGGACAGTCACGGTTCATATATTATTCTGACTTCCCATTACAGTAACAGGACTTCGAACACTCTGACGTGACGAGGGTCCCAGGGCCCTGCCTCCTACCACCACACTGCGCACGATGCACAGTGTCATGCACCAAAGTTGATTGGTAGCATGGACAGGTGTCAATAACGAAGCGAATATTCAAAAAGACTCGCCTTTGCGCCACACAGGCACAGTGCCACGTGGAATAGTAATTAATATTGCCCTTTTGAACTTGTGGCTGATCAGCACCACCTCTATTAGGCAATCCAGTCACGCTCACCTTTGCTTTTCCATCCGGTACTTTCCGCATTTCGGCATTTCGGCAAATTTTCGCGTCGCCACTGGCTACACATTGCATTGCGCCCTCGCTTTTGTCGTTTCCCTTACTCCCCTTCCTTTGCCTAGCCCCACCATGGGCCCCTTCCTCTCCTTTTTATTCTCACCTGACGGTCATTTCTGGATCCCCATTCTAATCCACTTTTCCGTCACCTCCACCCTCCTCCTCCTCATCTTATTTGCACCCCCACCATTTCTGATGTCACCACTTCCTATCCGCTTCCATCGCCGATCCGTTGACTACCACGTGCCACTGCTGATATCAGCAAAGCCCCGGCGGCCGGTCCAAATAGGGCAACAGGTCCATCTTCATGACGTTGATCTGCCATCATATACTATCAAAACATTGGTCGCTTGTCTTGCCTGGTTGGAGCGTGGGTGGGTAGTTTTTGAGCTGGAGAAGGTTCATCCCCTTGCGTCGCCCATGTTCATCGCTGTCCCATTCACTTGGGTACACTTATCTTTTGTCCATCGTCTTCGCTACAGCTACACCTACCACACGCTGTCAGGCAACAAATACGAAGCTATATAACAAAGCCCAATGTCTGGTCAAGTCCTTCCTTGAAGGCGGTGAATCAGAGTATGAGAATGAAGAGTATCGGTAAGAGCGCAAATCCAAACTAATATTGAACTGGAGAACAATACATCAAGTATGTACTTCTCTATATAGTGAACGACGATGGTCAGACCGAGAAAGGGAAGTACTGAGAAAGTGGTCTGACCAGCTAGCTAACCAATAAGAATAAAAGGAAGAAAGTGGTCCGATCTATCGTCTTTACTAATCGTATAAGAAAGCGTATTGGTAAGGGATGTACGATTGGCTGTATCAGTAAGCCCAGGAGAAGGCGCTGACTCACAACCTTCTTCGCTTATCAATATTCCTCCGAAGTATCCCCAGACATAGCACTGGATCGTGACTATGTCATCTGGATATCTTCTCGAGGGTCGACAACGAGTCTACCTCGTTGTAGGTACGATAGAACGTGAGTGTGAAGAGAGAATAAGAAGAAAAATGATAAAAGTAATAAGACACCTGCTGTAATCTCTAGTCCAAGAGCAAGAGGAGTGACGGGGATTGAGTCTGCTAACCACGACATGACGGGAATGCGATAAGAAAAATCGATTCCTCACACACGCTGCCTGGGACTCACTTGTTCCAAATTGGAACTACTCCTCTCCCTCCCTCGTTTGATCAGGTGGTCCAACACAACCAGTCCATTGGTAAGGCCATGGAACTGTTGGATTTGGACTAGGTGGTGGACCGGTGGCTCCAGTTTCTTTTTCTTCAGCAGAACATTCATTTACAGTGCGATTATTTTTGATTTTTGAATCATTTTTATGGACACATATTTTTTTAGAATGCCTGACTGACAATAAAGGAACTGTGTTGATACTGATAGTGTTTTGCCTTGCCCTTTTTTTACTGCATCTTCCCATGACATCATGATTTTCCTGCTCTTTTTTTGCTATTGGACTTTACTTTATGGTTGTACAAACCTGTGACATTACTCACAGCATTCATTGTTCTATCTCTTTCTTTTCCTTTTTTGACAATCTTATCCTGTACTACCTACGCAGGATTTGTCAGCATACATTCCTTCCTTCATGTTCTTTCTCATTCTTTTTGCACAGCTATACTGTGCATAGCCTACTTTTCTTTCACTATATAAACCCCTGTATTTTACCTTGTAAAAAAACATGAACTCCAATCCAGACTTCTCCTCTACTCTCAAGTTCACTACTCTGCTACTTGTGATCCAGTGTGGTCACAACACTTTACACTTCTACCACTGTCAACTGCTGTCATTGTCACTTCCCACTTTTGAAGTCATTGTCATCCCTTTCGATTAGAGTCCTTCTGAGCACTACAGTTTGTGCGTCAGGAGCCTGCTATCACTGGGAACCTCGTCATATTGTCGTTCTCAAACCTACCTTGTGCTACGATTAGCAAGGTAGTGCTCGTCTATACTCGTCACAAAGCCCCTATCCTTCTATCAATTCAACTATCCCTCCTCCTCAAAACCCACACTCATACACCTCTGGGTTTTAATTTGAAGGATCTTCATACATACCACCCCACGAACAACCAGAGCACCCACTGTTCTAGGAGGCAAAGCCCATAAACAAGTTCCGTGGAATCTGGGAGGATTGTGTGTTGGTTTGTTTTTGTGTGTGGTTTTCTAACAACAGTTCTCATCATCAACAACGGCAGCGACACACTCTCCCAGTCAATGCTGCAATTCGCTCTCCAACAAACACAAGGCTGCCTTACCCTTGTTGTGTTGCTCTTTGCAAGCGGACTGTGCATTTCCTGCAGACTGTATTATACCATTCACATCCCTACATGCCATGTCCATTCAGGACAAAGTTCTTGTTCCGTATATTGCTCTCAATCACCACTTTCATTGCATGAATAGTTGGTCTTAGATTTTGCAGGAAGTAAATGGTATACCAAGGATCTACACTACTACTCATCTACTACAGATTCAGACTCCATCTCATTTTCTGACGAGAAACTTGCCACAAGCTGACCATCTTCAAGTAAATCTCTATAGCTCTCACCATGATTACTTGACTGCTCGCCGTCATCCTCGAAGTTGCGGACTGTAATGGTAAGTGTTATATTGCAATCATTCTCACATGTACTTGCACGACATACCTGGGCCATGTCCTTTGTTCACGCCACCCATATAATACGAGCCATCTGGGCGAGGCTTGTCCATCCCATTGGGCAGCTCGTCCATACCATCAAGAAGAACAATTTTGGCCACATCCTTGGTTGTAATGTCTTGCAATCTTGCTAAATCTTGCAACCATTCATCCTGTGCTGCATTGTCTTTATATTGTTCAAACTGGCACAGTAATGCACAGTAAATAGGCCAGACTGTCTCTCTCTCTACGGCTGGATGTCCCATCCCATTGTAAAAAATCTCAGCCAACGCTGAAAACTTCACAGGTACAAGTTCAAAGACTGCATGATCTTTTGGTGCATACAGATTGCGTACATGCTCAACTGCATCTGGGCTCACTATGACCTGCAGAAAGTATTAGGAAATCCTTTGGCAATAATTCCTTAGAATACTATCACCTTACAATCATATGCACCAAAGTCCTCAGGTGTTTCAAAGATGTGGTTGGGAACACCATGTGGTAGTATTTTGTTCTTATCGGCTCGCTTCTGTGTGTTGTTGACACGGTCACAATAGCTGTCTAATTCACATTGGAGCCATGGGATGAAAACCCAGTGAAAAACCATACTAAATTTTGATATTCAGCTGATTAAGTTTTGAATGAAGAATCATGCTTACCGCTGGAGATCAATATCAGCATCATACCAGTTATTCACAACACCCTTGTCCAATATATCTTCAAATCCTAGTATGAATCGGCGGCGCAGTTGAGACCATGCAATTTCTAGTTTTATATTTTTCTTGATTCGCATCCACCTGTGCTGAAGAGTTCCCATTAGTGCTGGGTCGTGCATTTGTCGTAGCATGGTGTGGGCATTGGCAATTCCATAATTCTCAGATCCAGGGTCACTTTGAGTGACGAGAGGCATGGCTAGGTGAGTTTGAGTTGTTTCAATATCTATGGTCCAAGTGGTTCTAACACATACTACGTACCTTCCTGTTCCAGACCAAATTTACTTCGGTCAATTTTTTTGAGGATAAGATCTAAAATCTCTTTGTCGTTCTTCTTCATCTTCCAGTAGTGTAATATGATCTCTTTAATCGTTTCTATTGGTGCTGTATAAAACATTGGTGGTGAGATCATTATCCCAAATCAACAAAAACATTAGCACTAACGGTTGGGCTTGTTTTGGTTCACTAAACCAGTCCTAGCCATCTTGTGAAGAACTGATAATTGGGAATGAAGGTGGAAGGTGACAGTGTATTGTTAAAGGGACAAGCCAATGTGGGGTGGGGCAGGTAGCAGTGAGTCACATTTATTTCATAGATGCAAACTAACTTTCTCCCACATGCTTCGCCTTCTCAGCTGCTTCAATCTTGAAGTTGACTGATTTTGTGCAGATTAAAATTCATATATACGGACATTGCCAGGTTTGCAACCTTTGCCAGATCAATATTTGATGGTAATTCTCAAAGGTGAGCTGCCGTCTCCAGCATCATGATTAAAATTTCTGATATCATACCACGCGCTTTTGTGGCTTGTGGCCTCCAGACATTTTAGCTCAGTTGGGTCTGGCGCCTCTGAGGATCTACAGTGAGTCTCTTATACATGCAATTATCTTGCACCTTGCTTATTACCTGGAGCAGGCATTTATTCGAACCACAATCCATACCACAAAATGCAAGAACTTGAAGAACTTGAAGTCGTAACTCAGTTTACCGAAGACATCCGAGCTCTACAGGCCTCAAAATGCGAGCGACAAGCCTGTGGGATGACAATTGAAGTTGCCAGCCACTATGTCCTCAGTCACAATAGTGCAAAGGCCGGCAAATATGTGTGTGGGTCATGTTATACTCACTACACAAAGAAGCTCAACACCTCTGTCCGCCCCAGTAAGTCCTATTACATTGTAGGGTGTCAAACTCTAAACTATATACTAGGCACTCGCCGTGGGGGGCCAACCAAGGTCCTATTCTCCTCATTAGCTGACAATGGGACTAAACAGCCTACCAAAAGAGATGTTGTATCCACTCTCCCATCTTCTTTACCATCCTCCGCCTGGTCCTCAAGCGAATCTGAGCCCCTTGTTGGCAGCATCAACACTCTCACTGGCCCTGTTCAACCACAGGCTACTTTAAATGCCAGTTCTTCTGGTCAGTTTGGATCCCTTGATCCTGCCAGTATAAACTGTGCAGTTAATATAGCCCAGCGTGACGGTGTGTTCCTATTTTTTTCTCTTTGTTTTTAACTCATTTCCCATGGCCTTAGGTTCCTCAATATGTGTTACACCAATGTCTGTAACAACCAAGAGTTATTTACTCTGGCGCACACAGGAACACACTATAAAGAAGATGATGGGGAGTGGTTACCCCTTAGGCTGCAGTGAGTTAGTTGTGCTAGACAACAGGAGGACTCGCTGAGTCCTTCCCCATGTATTGCTCTTGTATATATACTAAAATACATGAGGTACTGTACAGTTGTAAATAAAGTTCAAAGTCCAATGTCTAGCATGTGACCGGTCACATGATGAGTCTAGACACTGGTCAGGTGATATGTCACATGACTGGTCATGTGACTTGGAAAATAAAAGTAGAAGTACAAAAGTGAAGCGTAAGTAGGTGCTGGTATGTCAATTGTAACAATGTCGACCAGCTTGACACCTTTATCCATAGTGCCTCTCTTTGTTCCAGGTACTAAGTTAATCAATATTATAAGACAATATATAAGTACTAATTACGTCCAATAGACAACTCTCAGGCTGAAATGCGGGCTCATACATATGGACCTCCCAGGCCAAATGTCAACGTACCAAAGGGGTGGAGCACACAATACCAAGAGAACATGCTTGTAAACCCACAACTTTCTAATGCCTATGTCAATCCCCAGCTTACACACAATGATCCTCGGGGCCGAGATGCTGAACAGTTGTTTCCTGGGTCTTTAGGATACACTGTTAATCATCTATATCATAAATATGATGTATCGCAGTTTGCCAAGCGGAGTTATGCAGTGTCAGAAGAGGTTCTGGTTGAGGTAATAGGCATGCATGAAGATGCAGGCAAACCAAAAGGCATGGTAATGAACATCTGTGAAGGTTTTACGTTGGATGCCATGGCCACAGTTGTGCAAGTCAGTATGAAGGCCAGACAAAAACTTCAACCTCAATTTCTCGAAGTCTGTCCAGGGTTTGACTGGCAGTGGGATCAAATGGTTGTGCGAAAAACTATAGGAAATTCATGGCTGGATTTAGGAGACTACCCCTCAGACAGGCCTTACTTCTACGAGCAATGCTTGGTGGATGCAAAGGTGAAAAGTGGTGGTACAATTGGTACAATTGGTACTCAAGTGTTCAAAAAGCCAGCAAAGGCATTTAAGTTGGCGGTGGTTGTGAAGTTGAGGGAATGGGAATGATGGCTTGACTTCACAGAGGAGATAGAGGTACATTTATCATATTAATATATGCATGACTACTGACATAAAAACCACAGAATATAGCATCTAATAATGCTGCGACAGACACCAACTTCCCACTGCAGGCCCCAAACACTGGGTCTGCAATCCCAATGCAACACCAACCATCAAAACCAGCCCAGTACCTTAGAAAAACACATCAGATTCCAACCCAATGGAAAGGGTCAAGTGCAGCTGGAAAGACTCAACACAAACCACCTGAGGCTGGGTCATGGCAGTGAGTTATTGGTATAATTTGCATTTTGTCTTCTGATGACCCTGCTTTTCGCTAGAGTTGTGGAAAATATACAAGATCTTGAGGCGGCAAACAATTTTGATGAGAGATTGGGTCCAACACATTTGCCTGCACCAAAGAGACAGCGAAAGAACACTGTATGTATGGTTTAAAGTTTATGTGTTATTCCCACTGACGGTGTTGACAAAATCGGATAAACCCGGTCTCTGCCAAAGCAGCCATTGTTCTCCATGGAGCATAGCCACCACTCCATGGAGTAACCATTGTTCTCCTAGGAGCACAATTGTACTCCTAGGAGTCATTATACTGTAGCGAGTAGCACCTCCAACTATAAGTAGTAGGGGGTTTAGTATAGGAATACCTCAGTCGTTTCTATAGCCTCTCGGGCAGCGGCTGAGGTATGTTACATTACATTTATTAGAGATCACCTTAAACTAACATCTATTGTAGTTTCACTTAGGTAAATAATAAAGTCATTTCTATAGCCTCTCGAGCAGCAGCTGAGTTTCACTTAGTTTTATTAGGTGTTCATGCTTATGTAGTCATCATCTCCTACAAACCCACAAACACCTCCATCAAAGCGCGATAGAAGGGAGTTTCACTCACCTGATCACATGTGCATGCAAAAGGCTCTTGTCCTCGGCGGATCAGAGACAACTGCTTCCTCCATCAACAGTGAGCACATATTTCATGATTTAAAGATCAAGATACTAATAGTATCATCAGTGTCACTGCTATCAGAAAATATCAACTTCTACCCAGTCCCCAATACTTTCATTGATGAACTATTAGAGGATGACAACAATCAGCGTTTTCATCTACACCCAAAGAATTGTATTCGTGGTGCACTAGATGTATCGTTAAAAGAGTCTATGGGATTCGGGTCCTTCAAAACAACACATGCGGGGTGGTTAACACTTTTCGGATCTGTTAACAATGGCTTGGGCCACAATAGCCCAGAAGAAGTAGCTGTGAAGCGTTTATATCACAAAATCATGGTTGGCAAACAGGGGAAATCATGTTTTGGAACCGGTGCACAATTCTTGATGGATGAGGATAAAAAAGAATTTGCAGTTGGTCGTTACTCGGCAACTGAGGAGTTAAACAAGATCGAAATGGAGGCCAACATCTTATATTGGGCGCAGTCACTCATGTCAATGACCTATGCATTCATTGACAGCACTCTGAAATCATCGTTATCCTCACCCTCCTTCAACATTCCTCGGGTACTATTTGTTAGGGCTGGAGTAGCCATTGCACACACAGGGCTCCACAAAAAAGGCCCGGCTCATTCCCAGACATCGATCAGAGCTGTTTATCTTCTAGAGGAAAAGATAAATGAACATCAAGATGGAGAATTCATCAAGTATATTCATAATTCTGATGCGGCTCCCATGCTGGAGAAAGGTGAGGATAGGTATGAGTTGGCCGAATTCTTGTAATTTACACAACATGTACAGTATGAGAAGACAGGGAAAGCCGTTTATATCTCAGATTTTCAAGGTAAGTACATTCAGGACTGATACTGGTCATACTGTAACTTTGTTTCAGGGAGTAGAAGTCTTCTGTCAGACCCGCAAATCATGACTAATCCGTATGTGTCTTTCAAGGTCTTTTTCTGCGGTTGCTAATGATATATTCTTCGAGTCTAGCGACAAAGTCGGTTTCAATAATGATATGTTCGGAGAAGGAAATGTGCAATCAGCTGTGCTTTCATTTGAGCACGAACATGCCTGTAATAAATATTGCAGATGGTTTGGTCTTCATGTCCTGGTGCCTCAGGGTGATGAAACAAACGAGCTCGAGGGTAATGCTGAAGAGGGTGATGCTGAGGAGGGTGATGCTGAGGAGGGTGATGAGCTCGAGGGTGAAGCGGCTGTTTAATGTCATATAGGTTTCTTCTATGTACATGTCCATGTTAAATATGCAATATGCCTTATGCTTCATTATGACGACAAGTACAAGGAGTATTAAATTGTACGGAAGATAAATCGACGTGTTTGGAGATACTAGTGGTCGAGGTCCTAGTCTCGGTTAGAGAAAGTTGGAGCGACATATGAACCGCGACTGTCCGGCTTTCCATAATTTCTTGGTATACGAGATGCATCTCCAGAGGTGCCTCGGATGACCATCCGTGTGCCTGCGGTTGTCAAAGTTATTTGAAAAGGCCGTAGCCTGCTACTGGTTAATGGCGTCGCTATACTGACTCATGACCGATGGATCACAAACACGAATCAAGTGCCTTCCATCTGATCTTGCTTTGGAAGGTAGTATGCCGATGGCGATAATGTCCTTCAGGTCTCAACGCGAATTTATGTTTTCATCAGACGTAAACGACGTACTTTGGCTAGATTAATACCTACCCCCGGGACCGTCAGTGCACCAGTTGTGCGCACGACTCTTGTCCTGGCTTGGATCACTGCGTACTGTACCTACACACACAACTGTTCATCCTTTCTTATAAAAGCAACGGAGTAACCCGGTACCATCTTTTAGATGTTTTGATTTTAGACAGCAACTTCAACAATGGGCATTTTCATAAAGTTGATAACAGTGGCTCAACCTATATCCAAAATCAAAGTATGAGGGAAAATGACTTGCATGTTGATTGAATCTGATGGGATAGGGGAAATGTAAACATACCATTGAGTCATTGCTATGCAAACGATATAGTAGAAAACGCCAGTGTTTCGTTAGTTCCTCCATAAGGAAGTGTAATATTCGTACTATCTTTTCCCAGCAAATTGAACCAAATCCGCGATGCAAGTATGCTATGCAAGACTCCTTGTAATCTGTCGGAACAGCGTATCAGTATAATCTACGCTACATCCCGAAAGAGAATGCGCGTCACATGTCCAGTAATTGGTTCCATTCCGTCTGATATGCAGAAACAGAGTAAGTTCGATTATTTAAAAATATACTGAAGTTGCGCGTTACTCACCGGAAGAACACATATGACAATGTTTGCCGTAGAAATGGCTTTAATGGAGTCCATAAGTATCCTGACAAGCGCAACGGGGGCCACTCACTAAATAAGGAGATTACATATAATATATTGTCCTGGTATAGGGTATGCGCCAGTTGACTCTTGAAGGATCGTACGAAATCCCTTCGACAGAGATTGAGACCAAGTATAGCTGAGATGTCCAATGGTTCAGTCAAGAATAGGCATGCCATCAGGTTCAGGACTTACACAGCTCAAATATTGCCAGACCTGCGAACTCTACAGCTTCCAAACGATTTGCCGTTGCTTGATAGCAACCTGTCATAGATGGATATGGTGGCGATATGACTGGAGTTTAGTTGATTAGCTTCATAAAAAGCAAGAGCTTAAGGTGGCGCCTTACAGCTATACGAGAGTGTGCCCACTGTAGGCGTTATACAGCCCGAAATAAAAAGGATCTTAAACGCCACAGCAGAGCGTGCGTGTCAGTTCGACGTCGTTTTTAAAATCGAAATATCTACCGAGTAAAGTACGAAAAGTATCATGAATATCCTTCGGTTACGTTCCCATAAAACATAAGTACGAAGAACAAGAAGACCTATTTAACAATACGGTTAGGGTCAGGATAGACACAAAGAACAATTCCGAACCTTCAGCTGCAAGTATACTCAGTATGTTGAGCCCTGCATCAGAGTCAATCAGAACCCGATACGATATAGAAATGATACTAGTGGCCACGAACACGCAATGGTCTTGTAAAGTGGCAGACACTATGCAACGCATCAGACTGGCAGATAGTCTAGAATCGTATTGCTAACCATATCTAGATCTATGTGGGGTGCTAAAGAAACTGCATCTCATATGAGGTTATATATGCTCTAGCTATAAGAGAAACCGCTCACAGTAAAGATCCGCCGATACAGCGATGAAAGGGAGGTAGCGAGCAAACATGAAGATTATACGTGGCGAGGCCCAGGGCGTGAATCTAACGAATTGAATCTGCGGCATTGGATAAGAGCTAGAAACAGAAAACATAAAGCTCAAACGTACATCACACCCAAAAGTTAAGCAATAATCTGAGACCTTGAAAAAGCATGAGCTTATTCACACTGGGCGGAATTTTGAATACAAACACCTACCAGTAGAGCTGCACCGGCGACTTCATACGCAATGGACGTGATTAGCAGGAATAGATAATATAAGCAAAGCCTTGCGCACCCTTGAAATACTGAGGTGTAAATACTTTAAAAATAGGCAAATATTGAAACAATTCAAAGGGTCATACCTTCACTGTTTGAAGATTGGATACTACTGTCAAGCTTACTGATGTCATGATATGAGGGATTTATATGCGACCAGTGCATGTTACTACACTCAAGACCACTTATATATACCGATCTCGATTTAACGACTTTGGAATATTGGACCCTTTATAACATATGTGCTACTAGTATTTCATCGCCATATAGCCTGCTGAGAAAATAAAACACTGCACTGCGTCGGGAATATCTGGTCCAAAATGCAGATAAGTACCAGGGGTTTCGAAGAATTTCTAGAAGCGAGCCAAAAGAAGATCATCGTCTATAGCGATGCGTTGATGGTAAAATCCACATACCTGGGACTATTGGGAGAAGGTAACGTATCCGAAGTGACAAAAGCATTCAAGTTACATAGATTGAAGTAGTACTAGTACTGGTGGTACTAGTACTAGCTGTCATAAACAGTTATTAAACATACTTCCGACGCAAGGAGTTCCGAGTCCGACCAGTCCGACCCCGCCACTGTCACTCACAGGTTTCTTCAACTTGGGTCCTATTCGTGTAATCCACCCTCATTGTTTTGCATAAAAAAGCGCTCGATATCTCTTAAGGCATAGACATCAGCAATTATGTCAATAAAAGAAATCAATCAAGCCTCTCGTTCAGGGAGCTTTCTAGGTATTCTTTGGAGTCGTCCGATTAGCCGACACGAAGCTGAAGCGCTTTAAGTGAGACAGCCACCGATTACTAGGTATGTTTTGGGTGGTCAGAGTACCAGTGGCTTCGTGCTTTATGGTGGCATATGTGGCATGATTTCTGTCAGGTATAAGAACCCTGAACTCTCAGCTATTATACCTGTCTGTACTTTCCTCACTTCTCCCACCATTTCCAAGCGCAATGGAACCCCAGACCTTCCCCGATTCTTCCTCCTCTTCTGCAAACCAAGATATCGGCCGTGACAGCTTTGCCAGGGAGACAAGACAGCCATGCATATCTCATCATGCACCACTTTCTTCGGTTGAACCTCAAGCGGACACAAAATCCAGATATATGTATGCGATCGCCGAACCCAGTCAACATACGATATCTAGGAAGCGATCTCTGAACGAGAGCGGCTGTGAGGATAGTCTGACGACCCACACTCGTCGAAGGATACAGCATTCAGCTCCAGTGTGGCACACTACCGCAACCGAGGCCAGTACCATCAAAGACTGTTCAAGCGATGAAGGCGTCACTGGAGGACCGAATCGAAAGCATGAAGAATCAACTCCCGCTCTGGAGGATAATGCACTCGGTGATCCAACATTTGAACAAGGGCTGGAAACGCCTGTTCGTTATAGTGCTTCGTCGTACTTTCGAGGCGTCGTCGCAGAATCCAATGATGACTCTGTACAATCTGCCGCGAGTGGCTCTGATGAGTTTGATTCGCAAGAAGATGTGTCAGACTTGGAGGACGATCGGCCACGTCCTTCTGAGGTCGTTGATGTTTACTATCCAGTATGTCGATGCCAAAATTGCGCTGACGAACGCAACTAATTTAGACACCCTACAGTCAATTGACGATCAAAACCCAAGACTTTCTATCCCACAGTATGGTATGGACGCTCATGGAAGCAATGTTATAGGCTCTCTCGAAGATCACGAGATGTATAGAATAGCTCTGCATCCTCTACCTATGATGGCTCCCATATACGACACCTCTGATCTGTAAGTAAAAATTACTTTCGAAAAGAAAAAGAACACAACATTGATTCTTTCGTTCTCCCTACAGAGCTCAACATGCTTTCCCCTTGAAAATTGAAATAATCTCTCAAGAACCCCACCACCATCCACCACCAGAAGTCACTAGCGTCGTTTTACGCTCCCAAGTCGAATTCAGGCAACATCAATTCATCCTAGCACCAAAGCACAGGCTCAATTATGTGGACCGGCGCGAGACTACTCTAGAACTGCCCCCGATGATATGGACTCCTTTCGAATGCATAAATGGCGACAAAGGCTTCTTCGCTGAGCACATGGCGCCCATACCCATGGCGATGTTTCCCTACCCAGGATCGACTATCCATATGAGGGCGTATGTGACCGTCAAGAATGGAAACAAATTGTTGTCCTATATTGCTACCGCTGCAGCTACGACTGGACCGATCCAAGTGCTTGGAATTTTCCCGCCAGTACAATACAACTAACGGAGCACTCGCACTTTTTCAAATGTAATTGCAAACACTGGTATCATGTATATTTTGGAGGGGGAAGAGAAAAGAGTTCCTTAAATAAATCAATGCCGTATTGAATAAAGATGCTGCATACGTGGAAAGGGGGAGGCAAAAAAGTACAACATAGAAAACACTCTAGTTAGAATAGATGAACACTTTACGATCCGAACAGACAAATAATACAATTACATGTGACAAGGAAAACATCTAGATGATAGCAACTATCAGGTCCGTGAGTGGTAACAGCAATTCTACTCGGCGCCGCCAGCGAGCTCGAGAATTAGTCGGCATGCGACGTCCATAAATACAAAAGGCGACACGACCTCGTCTTCTTTGACGGTGTCCTTATCTTTCAGCGAGCGGCCAGACTCTGAGCTCGTCTCGGGCATGAAGACATCTGGGTTTGCCATGTCAAACTTGCCAGCACCAGGCTCGGTCGAAGCTTTATAAGTTTTTTTGTGGTGGAAGTCCACGAGATAGTTTATGGAGTCAACCATGTAGAGTTGTAGGTTCATCAATATCTGAGAATATGATTTTGTAATCAGTACGCAATAGACTGGATGAAAGACTATAGAATTTTACCACAACATCTTGCACTCGCGCTCTAGTCTCTACAAAATAAACACTGGCAGCGGCTTTGAGGTCAACGTAATTCCCGTCGAGCTCTCTTGCCCTCTCTATCCTAGCTCCGTCGTGGCGGTGGTGTCTTATACCTCCCAACCCGCCAAGGTTTCTCTTTTCCTTCCATTCCATGCCTAGGGCCTTCAATGTTCTATAGATCTCTAACATGACTTCCATAGGAGGTGACCGACTTCGAATGCCGAAATGCCATTTCGTTCGATGCTGCTTCTTCTCCTTCACAGGGAACGACCGTTTGGCGTTAGCATAAGAAGCGAGATGGTGTTGTTCTGGAAGTTGTTCGGGGAGAGATGAATTTAATACTGCGAAATTATTGATTTCGGTGTCTATGGGAGGTGTCGAGAAGTCGAGGCCATCGTCAATTTCGTCATCGTCATATTCTCCGTTGAATTCGGCTTCGAAAGGGTTCTCCTCCATATCACCACCGGGTGACAGAACGCTAGGCGATAGTGTATTTCGAGGCTGTGATAGTCTATTCGAATCAACAGAGACGAAAAACTCCACAGGTGTACTTACATCCATAGCGGCAAGTTGAGCATCCCGTTCCTGTTCTTCAAATTCTGCCACTGGTATTCGTGCCAGTTAGTGGCGATGAAGATGGGTAACAAACATGGATACGTACAATCTCGTCCCAGTCTGCGTTTGTCACGCAGTAGCATGTATGCAACCTTCACAGCGTTGCCTTGTACACCATCGTCTCGACGCAAACACTCCCATATATCATCCCTGTCTACTCCTTCCATACGCTTTGACAGTTCATCGACAACATCTTCTTCGATGCGTCCGAGGCCATCGATTATCTCAAAGTCGAGAACCTTCGGTGGGGTGACAAGAGATGAAAGTGTGCCCAGAACAGGGCCTGGAGGGGGAGGAAGCGGAGTGAGGTAGCGCGGTAGATCGGTTTTGAAAAATGGGTGCTGTGTTATCTCTGGAACGGTTATCCGCTTGACCGGATCGACGGCCAGCATGGAGACAATCAGCCCTCGGGCATCCGCACCCAAATAAGAAGGCATATGATAGCTTCCCTCTGAAGATTAAATTTAACGTTGAGTCTAGAAGCAGTAATGGATTGACGCACGGCTAATTTTGGTGAATAGTGTCTGGACATCGTCATCTTCGAAGGGAAGGCGTCCACATAGCATAACATATAGGATGACACCGCAGCTCCAGACGTCTATCTCTGGACCAGTGTATAGACCACCTCGGATGACTTCGGGAGCGGCATAATTCGGGCTACCGCAGCTGGTCTTTAGGAAATCGCCATCTTTTATCTCGTTTGATAGACCAAAGTCGGCAATTTTGACATTGAGATCGTCGTCTAACAAGACGTTCTCGGGTTTGAGGTCTCGATGAACGATCTTGAGTTTGTGACTATATTCGATACCAGAAATCAGCTGCTGGAAGAAGCGCCGAGCACGATGCTCGGGCATGCGGCCATTTGCGACTATATAATTGAATAATTCCCCACCAGCGAACTCCAAGACGATGATGATATCTGTCGGGGTAGAGATGACTTCGTAGCTACAGAGGTGTCACCGAATATCGGGAGGTGAGATACAAGGGTGTACATACAGTTTGATTATGTGAGGATGTCTGAGGGTGCGCATATACTCGACCTCACGCTGAACCCGTGTTTTTGTTCTTGTCATATGGATTACGGCCTTTGATATATACTTCATTGCGACCTTTTGGCCTGTGATGGTGTGCAAGGCCACTGGAAAAGAGGTTCGAGAGGGCAAGGAGGATCGATTGAGAATACGCACTTTTGACTTTTCCAAATGTGCCCTCTGCGATGTCCTGTATGACGGTGTACTCGCCGAGCTTTGAAGCTGGGAACATGGTTTGTTGGTCGCTCATGGCGGTAGACGCTGGCTTTCGTCGGGTTCCAGTATCGGTTCTGCGCGAGTTTTGCGGGGCAAAAATTGAAATCTCCTGTTCCAAGCTCATCTTCCCTGTTACGTACAGGCTCCCTCGGGTTAAGGTTCGGTCGGCCTTTGCCGCGGCTCCATCGGGGCAGCATCACCGCCATTCCGTCGGCCTGTCTTCTTATCGTTCTATACGTCCAACAGCCGTCTTCAGTCGTTATCGCAATCCACTCGCAGTATCACCGCATGTCGTCCACAGATCAACGCTAGTCCTCACAGCCATCCCCTCACTCCAACGAAGACTCACAGCACAGGCCTTGATTGTCGCGATGTTGCATCTTGGTGGACACGGATGGCGCTCATGTAGCCCTATTCGATCGGTCTCTTACCAGTTTCATATTTCTGGATAAAATCTTCACGTCCAACGTGCTGCGGTGGTCTGTGCACCAAATACTGTACACTGTATTGAATTTTATCCATGTATTTGTTCAAGCAATGAGTCGGTGACGCAACCGCTTGGTCTCGGCAGCGACGTACTTAAGACAAGGCTGTGAAACTGTATTTGTAAGCGAGGACTGCCACTTTCAGTCTTCCACTCGCTCTTAGGGTCATACTTTCACTTAGTCCATCTACTGCATTTCACCCTATTTCTCGGTCCCTAATCCCTCGTCCTTCTCTTCTGTATATTCTATGAGTCCCAGGTCTGTAGATAACAAAGGGGGCGAACAAAAAGAACGCAGACGTCCTGGTCGAGTTCCAACTTCTTGCGCTGAATGTCGACGGTGCGCTAGTGCCTTACATTCCATATTGGCCCGTCTCATCATTTTAGCCGTTGCTGTGAATCCCCCATAGACTTAAACTTCGATGTGATCGCAAGGTAGAGTTCTCGTATTTGTCGTCGATTTTTTCCATTTTAAATCCTATTCGTTCGCCATAGGTTCCTTGCGAGACCTGCGTCAAACGAGGATGTGGTGCAATCTGTCCCAATGGTACGTTCACATCACACTTGTTACATTCGTTCACTGTAAATCTGCTACCTTTAGGATCCTTGACATCAGGGAAGGGCAATCGGTAAGCGTTCACTCTGTATTATCTAGTGTACCTTGAGTCGACCTCACTTCCCATAGTCTGGTACTTGCCAATACAGAAGAACTACATAGCAAAATCGAAGGTCTGACCTCTCGAATTCGAGAGCTAGAAGATGCTTTAAGAATTGTGCAAGCTGAAATATCTGACCGGCCCCATCCCCTTTTACAAAACAACATTGCTGACCTTTTACGTGACACTACTTCGGCGACAAATGTCCCTGAATTATCCCAAAATGATCCACAAGTGCCTCCTTCAGACAAATCAGAAAATGAAGCTGTCCTTGATGCCTTTGGTATAATTTATGGCTCTCTTTATCATACTTTTCATTCATGTCTCTTAAAGGCACACTTACAATTGGGACAAGAGGAGAGACAACGTTCCTGGGAGGTACTGCGCGCTCGGAGGTAAGTCCCATCTCACCATGCAAGGCTTTGGCGCTACTAAGACTCGCCATAGTATCTATTACAGGTGACATCTCTTCATAACCCCATGTGGCTCCTCTTATACTCCCCTATAGCCTCCCCTCAAGTCTGCATCACTGCCCATTACATTATCATTCCCAAGACTATCCAAACCAATAATAGACGCATGGTTACCTGAGTCTGATCTTGCTCCTGTTGATCATGAACTACGCAAGCAAGTTTTTGGCTTACTCCCGTCTCTATCGGAAGCCATCCGTCTGTGTGACATATATCTCGAGTATGGCCAGATGATGTAAGTTTATTCTCTTCTATATTCGGCCCGTTGGTTTAGGCTTAGCGTCTCATCCGCAGGTGGCATTCCATCTCACGGGCAGAGCTTTTCGATGAGTTGCTTGCCGGTATTTATCGCGCTGAGTATGCATTTGACTCGACTAGGCGCTACATCTTGAACTCAAAAAATTTAATCAAGCTCATATGACACGATCAGTAATCCCAATCTTCTCTCTTTGTTGTTCATCATCTTTGCATTGGCCGCTCTCTTCGACTTCGATCGTCCCGCATATTCAGTTGATGCTCAAGAATACTATGTGTTATCTCGGGTATCTATGAATTTTGTGTCACCATGCACTCAAACTACAGTGCATACTGTGCAGTGTTTGGTACGTCCATCATAACTTGTACAGCATCAACATTCTCATTATAATGCCGGTTCATCGTAGTTACATATAGTGGAGTATCTAGATTTGAGTGATCTCCAAATGGATTCCAGTAGACCATATATATTTATAGGGTTAGCGGTGAAATTAGGTTACAGGGTTAGTCCCAGTTTCGAAACCTCACTTTCTGGTTCTGACGCTCGCAACAATTTTTAATGTAGATTGGGCTTCGTACGTGCTCACAGTTGTTTCGATAGACTGACTCTAACCTATCACCAGATTTGCATAGTGCGAGGTGGAAGCTAGATGATTCTATTGTGCAGAGAAGAAGCTCGGTGTTCTGGCAGCTTTTCTCGTTGGATACATGGCAGGTACATATCCCTCGGTACTCAACTTGGCTCGTTGATTTGATCTCTATATATGGCAGAGTTTCTTTGCTGGAAGGCCCCCTTGTATGTCTCCAGACTGGATCGATTGTCCCTTCCCCGAGGACAGCAATGAGGTTATCGGCGAAAACGGTCAGAAGGAAATGAGCTGTAAGTCGTCGATGTATGGTCCGCTAATGATGAAACGTAATCAACTATTTTGCAAAGGGCGCATATGGTCTTGCAAATTTACCAAACTCCTGCATCATGTCATGACTACTGCACTTGGCAGTCATCCGCCAAGCTACAGTACTGTTCTTGAGCTGGATCGGAAGATACGAGACTTTCCTATACCGCCACATTTGCGACCGAAGTGTGAGGAGAACATACCGCCTCCTTCGATCACGTTTCATGTACAGCGTCAGATTCTGTTGGCAGTAAAAGAAGCGAGTACGTGCTATAATAACCTCTTTATGAGCTTATTTTTGACTTGTTTGATTATAGCACTACTGAACCTCCATCGTTTCTACTTTGCTCAAGCGCTTCAGGAACAACCAAGGGATCTCTTGAAACACAAATATGGACCGTCAGTCATGGCAGCGTATCGTTCTGCATGGAGGTTGATTGAGGGCCATGCTCACGCGATGAAAGCCCTCCCACGCATATTCGCTCGAATTAATTTATTTTGGTCTCACTCGCTGTCCGCTGCTGTGCGATACATTTTCATTCATGTTGTGTCAGTGGCGCTAATTTTTGTGCAGATCGTCATGTGCATGATTGTAACTCGTTCTCCAACGTCAAGTATGGCTGCTTCTTCACTGCGCGAACTAGATGTGGTCCATGATGTTTTCCGACAAGCTGCTCCGACTTCTCGTCCAGCTGCTAATCTTCTGGTGGGCAGGACATTTTGTATATTTTAGGGTTGATTCTGATTTGGCTGCTTAGGATTCAATCACGAAGATATGGGAGAAAGGACACGAGGCTGTTGACTACCCGGATACTGAAGATCCATACTGTTTGTCAGAGCTCGATCGATTGGGTGGAGGGAAGACTCACTTGATCTCGAGTCCTGCTGCAACTCCGCCTGCGGTTTCACCTCCTTCCACTGCATCCGAAGGCGATTCATCCAGCTCAAGCCAATCAGGCTGGGGAGGAGCAGAATTTCCGAACACGATGCATCCACGCATCATGCAAGACATGAGGGTATTCGACGGTTTTGAGCCATCCCCATTCAGTGCTGGCGTCTTGGAATACACAAACCCGGAGTCCTTCCTGCAGGCGATGAGCGATGTGCAATTCAGTGGTCCGAATATATTTGGGAGCGAGATCTATAATGGTCAGCCTCAGAATGTAGCCAACTTCAACCCGCAGGCGCATCAGTTTGTGGCGAATGGGGTGGGGCCGGCGTTTTTGCAGGATGCCCCTGTGCTTGATTCGGCGTGGCAGAGCTTTGTGGAGCAATTGGGTTTTTGACAGGTCTTGGTTCAAGGGGGTTGTTCAGTTTTGCTTTTTTTCCCCTGACGCTTTACTGATTTTCTGATTTTCTTTCTCTTGTCACCTGGCTATAGTAATATACACGTAGATAGGTTTTTGTAGCATTCTGGCTAGCTAGGTCTGAATATTTTGTATCCGGATTTTCTATTCAATTGGCGATTTGCACTACTGTACTGTATCATGTATCGTAATAGCGTGCTGAATGGAAGTAATAAAGGATGGGCCGACTAACCCCTTTGAGTAACTGCGATGCCAGGAACGATGTCATTGGCTGGTGACGCACGTGCGAGGCTTTTAGGAAATTTTGTTTTGGTTCACTCCGGTGACAGGCTCTTCGACCGAGGCGCTTGACCAGGAGCGTGCAGGCAGTTCTTTAGAGTCTCAGACCTCCTCTTTCTGTATTTACACCTGGGCTCCATCGACAGTGTGTTTCGGACTAAAAACCGTCTCTTTGGACCTTTGAACGGACTGGGCTCTGACGCGACTGCTATGGGGTACTATATTTCACAATCAGCTCTCAAAAACTTGAAAAAATATGCATATAAAGGTGTAGACAAGTGAGTGTTGTCTGTCAGATGTTTCCTTGCCCTTTTGACGCGCATCAAGATCGTTGGTTTCGCGCTATGTATTGAGCCCATACTGGAACTGGTTCATCAAGCTCTGGCCTCTCACGGTGGCTCCCAATACGGTGAGTCGACTCTATTCAGATAGCAAAAAGCTTCCGTCTCAGATGCGAACGATGCACAGATAACGCTACTTGGACTTTTGATCGTTGTGTTCAACCTTGGTACGCTACTCTACTATGACCCCTTGTATTATACGGAGAAAGATGGAGCGACGGGTCCACCGAGGTGGATATATTTTACGTGAGTTCCGGGTGCTTGGCGGTGTGGAGCGGATCTCGTTAATGTCGATGTTCGTTGTTATTAGCTGGGCTGTTGGTTTGTTTTTGTATCAGAGTTTTGATGCCGTCGATGGGTGAGATGGTCGGTTTTTTTGCAGTGTTTACTCACGTTTACTGAAGTAAATGCGCGATAAAGGAAACAAGCCCGACGCACAGGGATGGCTGGCCCTCTGGGAGAGATGTTTGATCATGGTGAGCTACTAGTGATGTTTATTGCGGTACTTCACACTGAGAAAGGTTATCAGGATGCGATGCGATAAATACTACAGTAAGCAGCATCTGGTACCACAAAAGCGTAACGTCTAACGAATCTTTTAGTTGGAAGTCGTCTTGGCGGCGCGCGCTCTTAACTTGGGTCGCTCTTGGTGGACTGTGGCATCGCAATGCGCTACTCTCGCGAACTTCTATCTAACCACTTGGGAAGAGTACTACACAGGTATGAGTGTTAGAGCATATGTCTCGGCAGTTTCTTAGAACGTGCTTTTAGGGCAACTTTACCTAGGAGTGTTTTCTGGACCGGTCGAAGGTATCCTCATGATCGTGGCTATCTATGTGATAACTGGACTTTTTGGTAAAGCGCGCAGCTTGATGTGGTGTTTGGTTGTGATTAACTCGTTTATCAGGCACTTCTTTCTGGGACCAGAGGATACTCACGTTCACTAGACTTGATCGGATCCCTCGGATAGCTAGTTCTATTCCCAACCTCCCCCTCAACGAGTCCTTTATGGTGTTCGGGGCTTTTGGTCTAGCATTCAATATACTTTCCAGGTATGCGTTTTCCTCGTGGCTCTCTCAGTTTCGTGACTAATGATGTACAGTTATCGCAATGTACACAAGGCGAGAAAACTAGCTGGAAAATCAGCTTTGAAGCCATTATTATATCTGTTGCCCTACGTGGTATCGGTCGTCATCCAGATATCATGGCTACTCAGCCCTTCGTACCACGAATCTGCGATTATCAAATCTCCCCTCTTCTTGCCTTTCGTCTTTGCATGGGGCCTTCAGTTCGCACACCAAGTTGGTAGGATGATTTTGGCGCATGTCACGAGCACGCGTTTTCCTTGGTGGCATACGATGTGGATTTGGAGTATTGTTGGCGCTGTGGATGCTAACTTGCCACACATTCTCCATAGGTAAGATGGTATTTTAGTGAGCTGTTTTTTTTTGGCTTACTGGCTTTTATCTATAGACCCCCCTTGATACAGTCCTCACCAAAGAGGACTGCGATCTTTGTCTATCTGACTCTAGCTGTTTCGTTTTTGACCTACGCTCGGTTCTGCGCCTTCGTCATCAAAGACATCACCGAGTATCTAGGAATTGCTTGTTTTACCGTTCGGAAGAAGGATGCTGGAGGTGTATGGCGTGACACTAGCGATATTCATGACATCGACGTCAAGAGAATATGATATGACGACCCGGACTTGGACCTAGTACAGGAGAAGTGACTCGTAAAATTGATACCTAGTGGAAAATCTTGTTACATTGCTTTGGATACATGTCTAGTCTATGTTTTAGATGTATATATCATCAGTAATATTAATGTTATGCTCCTGTCCACACATGTTTTTCTGAGTTCTCATATTGAAGCCCTCTATGTGTGCACCAGGGAGTGAGCGGTGATCTGGGTCCCGACACCTTCGAGTCACGAGCAATCGCACATTTTATCTTTCCTTGAATGTTTTTAGCACTGACTCGCGCTTCCCGTCTTTCCTATCGATTACCTGCTTTCCGCTCTGTAACAGCACACGCACCCAGGTTTCATTCCATGGCTACCGTCGAATCTCTCGACAGTCAAATAACGGAACAAGCGGCGCTCTTGTTGGATCTTAAAACACAAAATGCAGATGCATCTAATATTGAAGAAGCTAAGAAGAAGCTCGGCGAGCTGAAGAAAAATCTCGCATCGATCAAGGGTGCGGCAGGCAACAAGGATGCAGGAAAGAAAAAGGGTCGACTGCTACTAAAGACAGCAAAAGTTCGTACTATCGTATGCTTTGATCACCAGATATCTCAAGTACTCAAGTAGGTTCCATAACAGGGAACGCGCGACTATGGCCCTGGCGAAATGTTCTGTCGCGAGCACATAGAACGCACGGTCAAGGATGTTTTCACGACATTTGGAGGAAGCTGCCTTGATACGCCTGTTTTTGAGCGGAAGGATATCCTTGCTGGGAAGTATGGGGAGGATGCGAAGCTTATATTCGACCTGATGGATCAGGGTGGAGAACAGCTTGCGCTACGATATGATCATACTGTTCCTCTTGCGAGATATTTGGCCATGGGGGGAGCTACTATCCAAGGCAAGATATGGCAAGTAGGCAAGGTCTACCGACGGGATAATCCTGTCATGTCAAAAGGTCGAATGAGGGAGTTTTCGCAGGCGGTATGTGATAGTGATATCGACTGAGGCCCCCGTCTGAGATATGAACGTTAGGACTTTGACATTTCTGGCGTTTGGGATCCGATGATCCCAGACGCTGAGATTATCAGTTTGCTGTGCACGATTCTTGCTAGATTTGATGTGGGGGAGTTTACTGTTAAGGTATGTCACAGTATTCCAGTTGCATGACATTGTTGTTCATATTTGTTATCAATAGATTAATCATCGCAAAATTCTGGATGGTATTTTTGAAGTGTGTGGTGTACCAGAAGAGAAGATCAGATCGATATCATCTGCGGTCGATAAACTAGACAAGGTATTTTCTTTTCGTCTATATTATCATGTACTGTTCTCATGTTTCTGTAGCTTCCCTGGCTGGAAGTCAAAAAAGAAATGACCGAAGAGAAGGGGTTGGACCCTGCAGTGGCAGATAAAATCGGGGAGTATGTCAAGCATAAAGGTGATATACTCGTTGTTGCAGGGTTACATAACCTAACAGTATCGACAAGGTGGACCATCATTGCTGGAACAACTCAAGGCAGATGAAACACTAATGGCCAACGGAAATGCCAAGCAAGGTGTTCTTGATATGGAACTCTTATTTACTTTACTGAAGGCTTATAATGTCATCAACAAAGTCAGTCGTGTCACATCTTCGTCTATCTCAGTCTGACCTCGTACCTTTAAGATATCGTTTGACTTATCACTTGCTCGGGGTCTCGACTATTATACAGGGATCATTTACGAAGCTATAGTCGAAGCATCGGCTCCTCCAGGTTTTGCCGCCGCCAATGCGCTCGCCTCATCTTCAGCACCTGTCACAACCGAGTCATCCGCTACCTCTACACCACCACCACCGAAAAAGAAATCTAGCAAGAAACCCAAGCCTGAAAATGGTGAGGAAGAAGAAGAAGTTGACGAGTCTCAAGTAGGTGTCGGTTCAATAGCCGCCGGTGGCCGGTACGACAACCTTGTGGGGATGTTCACTGCAGCGGCTGCTGGAGAGGGGAAGAAAGCGCCCAGTCTACCGTGTATTGGTGTTAGCATTGGACTCGACCGCATTTTCGCTATTGTGTGGCCAAAATGGGTTGAAAAGGGTATGCGAAGCAAAGAGACGATGGTGTACGTCATGGCAGCGGGAGACGGACTGTTAGAAGAACGAGTACGCTTGGTCCATGAGTTAAGAGAAGCAGGCATTAAAGTGGGTTGAATTTTTTTATTTATTCACGCGACGTCAGGTCATTAAATAAGGACTGTTGCAGACTGATTTCTTAGCCAAGAAGAAACCAAAATTGCCTACTCAATTTGCCGCAGGTGAGAAGGACGAAGTTCCGTTTGCGATTATTCTTGGAGGGGAAGAGCTGCAGCAAGGTCTCGTTACTGTTAAAGAGCAGAAATGGGAGCTTGTGGATGGGAAGAAGGCCAAGATACAGTCTGCAGACACAGGAACGAAAGTAAGGCGGGATGGGCTGATCCCATGGTTGAAAGAGACGCAGACGTTTTTAGAATGGTCTAGTGGAAAGCTCATGTAAGGGACTCGCTTGATTGTAATTGAATTAGACTTTTCCATTGGATACACTATCTAAAACGATCTATTCCTGGCCCAGAATGGGACTGGTATAAGTTCAGCGTTAAAGCTTGCTTACATTATACATCAGTGCAAGGATGAACGGTCACATGATTAAGACACGTCGTGTTCAAATCAAACAGACAGACTGTAAACCAAGTAGACAGTACCCGACAACAATATATTTTATTTTCTTCAGCTCGAATGATGTTAGCCCATGAAGGACAAGATCATTCCTCACCTGATTTCATGTTTAGTACACCTGAGGGGACATCTCTTGTGCAACATATCCTTGCACCATTGCTTTCGTTCCAACCTCATGACTACCAGATTGAAGGTGTATGCAAATCCCTAGATGGAGTAGACCTCTTGGCCATTATACCGACAGGGGGAGGCAAAACTGCTTACCTGTTCATGTACATGCTCATCCTTCAGGCTCTTGCTTCTAATCCCACTCTCTGTACTCCACAGAGACATGTCCCTGCCAACCCTGCCATGGTGGTGGTATTCCCTACAAACAGACTCGAGGAAGAAATGGTATGTCAGCATCTTGTCAATGAAATCAAATGCTACATTGACGCACCTAGGAATAAGAGTTCAAAGGCTATCATATTGAAGCATTAGCCATTAATGCAAATACTCTCCGGGATGCCAGGATCAACCGCAATAAAAATCTATGGCATACTGCTCGAGAAGAGGTTGCTATGGTCTTGCTGTCCCCTGAACAGCTCTCATCAAAAGGATTCAAAGACCTGTTGTACCACAGGTCATTTCGGAGTAGACTGTGAGGAATCGATTTTTCTTATCGCATTCCCGTCATGTCGTGGTTAGCAGACTCAATCCCTGTCACTCCTCTTGCCCTTGGACTAGAGATTACAGCAGGTGTTTTATTACTTTTATACTTTTTCTTCTTATTCTCTATTCACACTCACGTCCTATCGTACCTACAACAAAGGAGACTTGTTGTAGACCCTCGAGAAGATATCCAAATGACATAGCAACGATCCATTGCTATGTCTGGGAATACTTCGGAGGAATATTGATAAGCGAAGAAGGTTGTGAGTCAGCGCCTTCTCATGGGCTTACTGATACAGCCAATCGCACATCCCTTACCAATACATTTTCTCATACGATTAGTAAATACGATAGATCGGACCACCTTCTCCTTTTTTTCTTATTGGTTAGCTAGATGGTCAGACCACTTTCTTAGTTCTTCCCTTTCTTGGTCTGACCATTGCCGTTCACTATATAAAGAAGTACATACTCGATGTACTATTCTCTAGTTCAATATTAGTTTGGATTTGCGCTTATACCGATACTCTTCATCCTCATACCCTGATTTATCGCCTTCCAACAAGGACTTGACCAGGCATTGTGCTTTGTTATATAGCTTTGTATTTGTTGCCTGACATAGACTATGGGCGTTAGGAGTAGATGAAATACACCTACTCGACACCTGGGGCACGGCATTTCGAAAATCCTTCCTACAGATAGGCTTCATAGCCCAGCGCATGCCTTCCAACATTGTTATCATTGCTATGACTGCCACATTAGTTGCAGGACAACCAACAGAGCGTGTATGCAGCTTTCTGACGCTTACCCCTGGACAATACCACCTTGTACAACGTTCCAACGTCTGCAGCAACATGCGGCTTGTCATCTTGCAGTTACCCCATGGCCCGGGTGGTTGGTGTTTTCCGGCCCTTGACTGGGTGCTTGCAAACAAGAAAAAAACAATAATATACTGTCAGACGATTCATCTGCAGTTCCGTGTAATGACTTACCTCTGGAATAAATCGGCTGACCGCCAGGACCTCCCAATCTGTCTGCGCATGTACAATGTACTTAACACACCTGAACACAACAGGGAGACACTCCAGCTTTATCGTGAGAGTAGTAAGTCACAGATTGTAATTGCAACGGACTCACTTTGTGTGGGATACAGCCCAAAAGATATTGAGGTTGCCATAGTGCTGGGCCTTGCTCTAGTTCCTGACAACTTTTTCCAGAAGATAGGACGAGCGGGACAAGGTCAACAGGTGGATACACCTTGGGGCATTATGTATGTGACAAAGACTCACATGACAGATGCCGAGTCTATTCTTGAGGACCACAAGATGAGCGCTGGCATAAAGAAGACACCAACATCTGCCGTAAGCATGGACGGCAACATGGCTAAGCTGCTGTTAGCGCCTTGCCTCGTTGCTGAGCAGAATCGGCTGTACACAAACCCGGTTGTCAACTCACCTTTTACTTGCTCAATGTGCATTGTCCAATTTTCACATCCATCAACCCAATGTCTGTGCAGTGGATGTGATCCTGCCAGTTGCCCTCCTCAAATTACTACACCTCCCAAGGTCCCAAAGCTCAAGGCCATGGAGAAGTCCAAACATCTGTCAAAGGACCAGCAAAAAATGGCAGTAACTGCCTTTGAGGAAGTTTGTGGCAGGATCTATGATGCAGCACCCTCACTACTCACTGGCTTACTTCCATCCGCTGCCTTTCTACTTGACAACACAATCAAAATTCTTGTCAAGCGTGTCACAAGCCTGCAATGCTTAGCTGACTTGGCTGCGCTCACCACATCCAACGGCTTATTACAGCCTCATCTCCATCATGTGTGGAATACCATTCAACAGCTCCGGACGAAACTGCCCCTGTCCTCTGCTCAACCTGTTGAAGTGGCTAGCAAGGACTGCATGTTTATCATGGATTGCCATATGGAACTGGCAACGACCAGGTGAGTCCTTGACAACTTATATTTGCGATGCAAAAAAATAATAAACCTCCCATGGCAGCAATGGACCTCTATTGTCCAGCTCAATTTACAATGCCATTTATAGTAACATGGCTCCGTACGTTTGAAACCCCTCTTGTGATTATGGTCTAATTGTTGCCCCCAGCACCGACACTTTGACATGGCAGGCTCCAATGTCACATAACAACTTTGACTTGAAAATGAATCCCATCCCAGCCAAGCGTAAACAAAATGGCACTGTAGGGCCCCAGGATAATCCTCAATCACGCAAGCAAAAAATGGCGAGCTTGTTACGTGTTCATCAATTTACAAAGATATATAAGTACTTATGAATGGACTGCCAGGCGAAAGAGAACAAGTCCTGAAATCAGGTGCGAGGCTCAGTCCTCCCCTCTATCACTGCCCTCATCTGCAGCTTCACTGGCCCAGCTGTCATCAGAAGAGTTATTGTCAACAGCATCAAATTCAACCATCAGCTCCCCGTCCTTGAAAAGGCGTAATCCTGGGGTATTAGGACTGTTGAAGTACATATTCATGTTTTCAGTTTTGTTGTTGTTGTTGTTATGTTCATCTTTGCCCCTTTCTTCCTTGCTCCCATCATAATTGCTTGTATCAGAGTCTTCGGGTACTTCCTCCTCGCTGTGACTCTTCCTTTGTAAATGGCTGGCTTGATGGCTTTCAAACATTCCATGTGCAGTAGTTGTCTCCCTTATCCACTTCTCTAGTTTTCCCATGCATAGTTTGTTAATGCCCCTAGCAAAGTCGCTGATATCTAGCCCACTATATTTGCGCCCAGAGTGGAAAAGATACAGCTCTTCCTCCTGGTAAGTTCGCAGCAAGGTCTTGATCTCTGGTTGGTCATGCGGTTTGGGATGTTTCCCACTTTTCTGCGCAAGACCAAGGCCTTCTAGCAAGTCTTTCTTGATCCGACTGAACTCTGCAACATTCCGTGATATGGTGCTACACATCAAAGGGCCATCCCATTCAACATCATTATGCTCTCATGAGTGTTGCAATATATCATTATAATATTCTTGCATGAAGTCTCCGCCATAGAATTTACTGGGTAGTCCTTCAAGGTTTACGAGCCAGTTTGACAAGATGGCATCCTTCAACTCGGGTGAGCATTCCAGCTCAAGGTTGCAGATCATCTTAAGCAGGTAAGTAGCATACTTTGTATGTGTAGACCCTGCAAATGTAAATAACATAATCTTAAAGTGATTTCAGCACTGCAAAATGTGAACACGCATGCAAAACTTACCTTTATACACTCATAAGCACGTCCAATATCACCCTCACTGATAGAATATGCAAGTTCACGAGCCACAATTGCATCTTGCATGAACAGCATTGAACAAGCCAAGGTTCCATCACCAACAAAATCCTTTTCAGACTCTTCATTATTTGAATCAGTGTTACTTTTGTTTTTAGTCTTCTTTTAGGCAGGCTGACGGGTAGATTCCTTTGCAGTACTGTGGCTGCCTTGACGAGGTTTCCATTCACTTCCTATGAGAACTTCACCAGGTCCTTTTAGCGGACCACATTGTTGTTGTGCTTGTTCAAAAGACTTTGCATGTGTGTATCTCTGATGTAGTTTGCATACATCATTTTCCAGTGTTTGTAGGTCTGGTAGCTCAGAGTGTGCTGCAAGTGACTGGAAGTGACCAAATAGGTCTGTGGTTTTATAAAACAATCTGGGGTCATGTCACCTCATAGTACATTCTGCAGCCGCAAAGTCTCTTACCTCCAACAATCAAGGATACGAGCATCAAGCACCACACTGGCAAGATGAAAACTGGGATAGTAATCCACTTTTTTCAGGTCCGAGGGTGCCTTGCGCCCAACTTGATTTGCACTGTGCCCCAATGTTGACGGGTCATCAGTAAGCTTGTCTCCCCAGTGCCGTTCAAATAACCGGCTGAGGTTGGTCCATTCTGTATGCCATAGTTCTAGCATTTGTAAGGACCATTTTATTATTTTCTTATCTTCTCTATGTCTTGGTTCTCGAATGCCTTTCCCATTACACCTCTGGCTCTAGGGCTAGAGGTATCATTTGCCATATTACTTCTCATAGCCCTCACAGGCTTTCTTAACCACCGTTACCACTTTATATCACAGATCAGAGACTGGGTATCACTCCCAGCCAGCCAGCACAATGGGTAGGGACTGGTAGTAGGCATCTCGCCAACCAGCTCCAAGCCCCATTAAGGCCTGGATATACTAATAAACACTTTGATCAGGATCATACCTCATCATGAGGATACGGTTCCTGAACACGCGTAACAAACATCTATTATTAGTACAAATCTCTCACCCGCTGATTAATCAAGTTAAAGTCGTACGATAGTTGTTCTCTTTTTCTTATTGGACGATTTATTCCTCAGACCACTTTTTGTTTATTCTCCTTTCAGTCTGAGGGACAAACAGTTCACTATATAAAGCCTTACCTATTCATGTATAGTTCCTTAGTTTTCTATTACTGAATTTACCCGCTTTACTCCTCAACCAAAACCCTTGAGCTCACCTCCCAAAGTCCTCTACTTGCTATATTTACTAGCGTCTGTCAACCTCAAGCTCATCAAACCTCTTACTCCCTGCAAGTGCAGAAGGAGACAGGTTTCGTTTTTGTTATAGTTTATCGTTGCCTCACAGAGCCACCGGTCCACCACCTAGTCCAAATCTGACGGTTTCATGGCCTTACCAATGGACTGGTTGTACTGGACCACCTGGTCAAACGAGGGAGGGAGGGGAGTAGTTCCAATTTGGAACAAGTGAGTCCCAGGCAGTGTGTGGTAGGTGTAGCTGTAGCAAAGACAATGGACAAAAGATAAGTGTACCCAAGTGAATGGGACGATGATGTACATGGGCAACGCAAGGGGATGAACCTTCTCCAGCTCAAAAACTACCCACCCACGCTCCAACCAGGCGAGACGAGCAACCGATATTTTGATGGTATATGATGGAAGATCGACATCATGAAGATAGACCTTTTGCCCAATTTGGACCGGCCGCCGGGGCTTTGCTGATGTCAGCAGCGGCACGTGGTGGTCGACAGATCGGCGACAGAAACAGATAGAAAGTGGTGACATCAGATATGGTGAGGGAGCAAAGAAGATGAGGAGGAGGAGGGTGGAGGTGACAAGGAGGTGAACCAGAATAGGGATCCAGAAGCGACTGTTGGGTGAGAATAAAAAAGAGAGTAAGGGTCCCATGGTGGGACTGAGTAAAGAAAAAAAAAGGTAAGGGAGGGCGACGAAAGCAAGGGCGCAATGTGTAGCCAGTGGCGACGCGAAAATTTGCCAAAATGCCAAAAGTGCCGAATGGAAAAGCAAAGGTGAACGCGACTGGATTGCCTAATAGAGGTGGTGCTGATCAGCCACAAATTCAAAAAGGCAATATTAATTACTATTCCATGTGGCACTGTGCCTGTGTGGCGCAAAGGCGAGTCTTTTTGAATATTCGCTTCATTCTTGACACCTGTCCATGCTACCAATCAACTTTGGTGCATGACAGCGGTGGATCAGAGTATGAGAGCTGAAGAGTATTGATATAGGTGTAAATCCAAACTAATATTGAACTAAAGAACAATATGTGGAATATCTACTCCTTATATACTGAATAGTAGCAGTCAGGCCAGAAAGAGAGGAAAGTACTATCATATTTACTAATCGTGTGAGAGAGAGTCTTGGCAAGAGATGTATAATTGGCTATATTAGTAAGCCCATGAAAGTGCTGAGTCATAGCCTATATTGCTGATTAATATCTCTCTGAAGTATTCCTGGACATGGCACTGGATCATTGCCATGCCATCTGGATATCTTCTCGAGGGTCTACAATGGTTCTCCTTTGTTGTAAGTATGATAGAATGTGAATATGAATGGAAAATAAGAAGAAGAAAGATAAGAGTAATAAGATACTGACTGTGATCTTTAGTCCAAGGGTGAGAGGAGTGACGGGGAATGAGTCGGATAACCACGACACGATGGGAATGTGATGAGAAAAATTGAGTCCTCACAGTCGGGCCCCTCAGTGTGCATGCAAATTAATGCTTGCTGGAAGTGAAATAGCACACTGTGCTGCAAGTTCTGTAAACAGCAATGTCCAGCTGGATGGAATATCAGAGGGAATGGATGGCTCGGGGGTCTGAGAACTCATGGTGTTGATGTAGACAACAAAAATATATGTGGGGTTGTCTATAATAAATGATTACTGGTCAGTGCATTATATAATACAGGATTTCAGAAACACATTGTTCAAGCATATCCATAAATCTATAATGTAAGTACTACGGTCTTAGAGAGCCTCCCAGGAACAAGACACAATTTTGGAAGTTAGGAGATATTTGCACATCACACATGAAATAGAAAATGATGCCTAAAATGGTGAGAGACAGGAGACTCTGATCAACATGGAAATTTTGGATTGTTCCCTGGTGAGTTGAATGGTGTGACTTTGGATCTATGTTTGTTGACCTGATCCTCTTTGATTCTTTTCAGCGACTTATGTAGAGGTACAAGAATGAGACTGAATTATATGGTAGGAGTAGTGATGGAAAATCATGCTCATAGCATTGTAGTAGAGATTGGAAATAAGTAGTAGCCTTGTCATTCTCCATTTTGCACAGTACATAGAGTATATGGGGGTGTAGTGGTGTGAAAGTCCGGTGAAAATGAGTGGGTGACAAATGTAATGCGATTCTGGGAGCTATGGTACAAAAGGTCTTGAAAGGATACAACAAACTACTTCAGTTGAGCCTCCAACTGCTCGAACTGATAATCATCATGCGCCTTGCTCATAACGGCGTGCGCACGAACCTCGGCATGCCACTTATTATTTTCATTGAGCGCAGCTGGGTATCTGTCCTCTCCTTCCTTCCCAGCCCAATCGAAATCAACGAGAAACCCTTGCTCCTTGGAAGAAACAACATTCGTGTCACGCAGGTCTCCGAACACAAACCTATTCTCGTGCAAGAGCTTTAGTGCCCTTTTAACATCCCTCAAGACAGCTTCAGGAACAGGTTTGGGCCTTGAACTGTTTCGCAGTCGCCAGATTGATGCACCGTCTTCGAGATGGTCCATGACGACCATAAAAAGGCCCCCGATGATTGGCTCGCACCAGTGGAGCTTTGGGGCCAGTTTGGCATCGGATAAGAGGCGGTGGGCTGCTTTACCGTATCGACTCGCAAACTTGACGACGACCTCGGTAGCACCATCAGGGGTGGCAGCGTCACCAAGGGTAGCCCGGTACAGCGCGGTGGTCCCAACTCCCAGGTCTGGCAAGCTGGTCGAAATGTGCTCGCCGGTTCGCAAGAGGACACCGTGGTAGGTCAGGCACGGCAATGCATTGCCAGAGACTGAGGTTGGGTCAGGGTAGATTGCCGCAATAGTTATGTGGTTGCCCTGAACTGCGCGGTAGTGCGCTGCCAGTGCCGCTCGACACGATGAAAGGCACCTGAAGATTCGAGCCGCATGGATGATGTTCTCGGACAAGTGAAATCCGGGGGTGATATTGAAGGCGACTAGCCTGGATGCGTAGATAGAGCCAACACAGACAGCCACACCAATCTCGATCCGATTTCCCGAGAGACCGAGAAGCAAGACAGGGAAATTGCAGGATCCTTGAAAGTGCGCAAGCTAGAAAGGACACGTCAACGGAGATACGAATGTGGATGCGTGCTGCCGCACCTGGGGGTCCGACACAATCTTGCTGTAGTCGGCAAGACTTTGAACAAAAGGATCTCCGCCAATACCAGGGGCATTTTTCAGCTCCAGGATTGTGACAGGGAACTCACCTTGCCACCAACTCGCATCAGGCTGGATGTTCCCCACCCGGTCAAGCCTTTCCTCCCACTGACCAGGCTCCCCCATTAAGTGGTCGACGTGCTGCCGAATGGCGTTCCGGCGACTGTCCTCATTGTGATAAGACATGATTGTACTGCTGAGGAAGCTAGACGCGTGGCTGACATCATGTTCGGTCACCTCGAGATCGCCAAGCTCGGCGAGGGCCCGTTGTAGGTGCGCAAGTGGCGGGCTGAACATGGCGGCTGGGACTTGATCGAGGCACACAGGATGGCCATCGGCATTGAGGAACTTTGCCAATGCATCAGCGCTCCTTACAACTGCAGATGGGGAGGGGCTGGATGATAGTTTGGCGAACTGCTTGCCGAGCTCTGCAAAAATAATGAGGATTGAACAAGTGACAAGTGGGTGGACTCGTACTTTTCTTAATCTGTATCCGAGACCGCGCTTGAGGATCGTCAACAAAGTCAAGTAGCTCCTTGACTGAAACGGGGTGAGGGGGCTAGGGAGGGGTATGGAAACACATGAAAAAACGCACTCTCGGCATTGGCAACAATGATATGAAGAGTACCATTTGGCAGGGCTTCGGTGAACACGTCTCCAATATCATGTAGAACACTGAGCTCGGCTGCCTCTGGTTGGATGCGAAGCCACTGAATGACACGGTCTGTCAGATCCACCTCGGGCTTTATCTTGACATCCGCCTATCCAGGGTCAGTCATTTGGCATCGTAGACTAGGTGGCAGACACACCTTGTACAGCACAAGGTCTCTCAGTGGGACATCGTAGTCAACCTCCTTGAGCCGCTTGTGGAACTCCCGCAACAGCGATTCGACGATGTCATTGCCCTCGACGGTTATTTGCGTGATAAACGGCGGCTCCCCTGGAAAGTAGCACTTGAGCTTGAGCTTCATGATGGGCGTGGTTCACCGAGTCTCCTATAAATCCCTCGTACTGGAAGGCACTGACTGCGCCGATACTCGGATTTGGGAGGAAGAAGGAGAAAGATAAAGAACGAGAAAAGAAGGCAAAGCCTGTGGCGCCTCCGAGCGCCTTCCTTTCGCCCTACTTGTCGCCAAAATACTGACGATAACTGTCGTTTACATTATGTGCTCTGTGAGTGGACTCTTAGGCTGTCGTTTTTAAACATTTTTATTCCCTCCTTTTCATAAATTGTTGCATACCATCTTGTTCGCGCTGGCTGGCTTTTTTTCCCGCTGCAAGTTAGTACCCTGCATTCTATGATAGACATACCTCGCATAGTAAGACTGTAATCTATTAGTGCCATATCGTGCTTCTTTGTATTCCGAGAGAAGAGTTCACCAAGAAAACCATAATAAATTTTGTACTTCATTTCATGTAGTAATAACGTACAATCCAGCGATTTGAGTATACAAGAAAGTAAACCAGAAATTTGCAAGAAATAATTGTAAATATAAGATATCCAATAGCGTCCTATAAACTTATGCTTATTCTTCCCTTGGTTTATTTGTTAAACAGGGTAAATCTGAGAGAATTACTACATGTCCTTCGAAACAAACTCTGATGATGGCTGTCTTGTGGAGTCGACCAGTATGGTAAATATTCTAAATCAGCCTAGCGCTGTTCGATCCTGATGAACAAGTTATACTCACGTTTGAGTAGGTATATTTCTCAAAGTTCAAGCATGCGTTCGTCTTCCAAGGGAAGAGGTAACCTCTGACCTGTTTTGTCTATAATACCAAAATTTAAGTCAACAAGTATATTTCATATTACAGACCTTATCTTACCTTCTTTCGGAGCTTTGGCAACATCCAGGATATATAGCCGGGTGTCATGTGAAGTAGCAAAAAATATTCGTCCAATTCCTTCGTCCCAAGCAATTGCCATGACGCCCTGCTTCATAGTGCTCCGCAGTTGCTGAGGCGTTATGAGCTTAGCTATGGGTGTATTCCTGGCAACATCTATATTCCGTTTGATAGCTCGAATAGGGCTGTCTTTTTGCGTGAAAACGTCATCCACTTCGTCTTCGGGTACAACGAAGTGGCTATAGAGCTGCACTAGAGGTGGAGACTCCGTGCGATTATCGGCCGGTACTGTATGAAGGAGACAACGGTGTGATCCGGGAAGAGCGCAAGGTCGACCTATATGGCTGCCGGTAGACGCACCCCCTGAAAAAGTATGGGCTGACATTCTGCGAATGTTATCAAGAGAGTAATAAGGGGTAAAGATAGATGGAAACGGAAACTTCGCGGGTGGAGTAGGCGGAATGAGGGCGTGATATAACTCGGTACCTTTCGACCTGCGCAAGAAAATGTGAATAGGTGGGGGCAGGGCCTGGGTAGGACCACTGGAGTTGCCAACGGGAAGCAGATTGGGGTCGCTAATTTGAACGTTCTCAATATCTCTGAACCTGAAATTTAATATCGATTGGGGAGCATATGAATATCGCTCATCTTGCCCAGGTGGTGGAATGGGGAACATGGCGAAGTTACAAAGGCCTTCGGGGTCTCGGGCAGGTGGACCGGGCAGAATGGGGATGGAAGGTTGAGATGGACCAGGTAGCTGAACGAGACCAGTCAATTCGATGTAGCGGACAACGAAAACTTGACTTTGATTTGGAAGTATTCGGAAACTACAGATGGTATGTTCCTAGGAGATTGTAAGTTCTATATTGGACAGATAGGCTGGTTATACAGAACGTACGTCGAAAGAATTTGGTAGTGTGTTTGCGCAGGTGAGAGTGGAGATACGACCATTGATGGATAGATCTTTGAAGACAATAAAGCGGGGTTTTTTCACAACAGCCATGCAAGGCCTCCCTTGAACTTCAGCCAGATCGATGGGACCCAACTCAGACGTGGAACGCATCAAAGAAATCAGACGGAATGGAGGTGGTTGAGACCTTGCGAATTCAAAGAATTCCATAGACCCCGGAGGATAGCGAGGGTCTGCGAGAGCGTCGAGTGCATCCAAAGGAACCTGCATGCATGAGCATGTATAGCGAAAAGGAGCCGGAGAATCTATCCCATACAAGGGATTGTTTCGCAAGGTATTATAGCTTGAAGGATTAATCCTGCAACGACTTAGTTTCACAACTGCAACAAACCAAAAAAAAAAAAAAACGAAAGGGGTACTTACGTCGTTTCTTTTTGGTATCTCTTGGAAAACTTTCGGCGGTTGAAGGCAATGACTATGCTCCGAACCCCTTCGATTGTCATATACTTGACTCGTAGATCATAAGCTTTGCGTTTCACGGGCGTTTCAGCCAAAGGAACTACGCCCCCTACGCGATGATCAAGGACATAGACTACTAAGGAAAAGTGATTCCTGTCTGGATTTGATACAGAAGCAACCAGATGCTTTCCACCCGGGAGAGCGACCATAGACAAGATTTGTCGATACGCTCGAAAGCAGTGCAAGTCCTTTGCGACGGGTTCTGGAGACATCCAGTTCTGTCTAAGCGTCAAAGCTCGAGTAACTAGTCGCTCAGCTTCGAACGACGTTATAGAGTGGAGGGCATATCTCGTGGAAGGCGGTAAAGGAGGTGCTTCATATCCGAGGCTTTGCAGAAAACGTTTCCATATAATACCTTGATGACTAAGGTTGTAGTATAATCTGCTGACCTGAGAAGGGTCATTGAAAGGTCGTTTTTAAGATATGCGAAAAGAGAGGACTTACTGTTCGTAATGATAGGATGTCCTCAACTGTTAAATACACAAACACATGATCTACCAAGATGTCATCCGACAGTGTGCTTAAGGATGGTAGCAGAGGGAGATGTACACGCACATCCCATGCTCCCGGGATGTGCATTTTCTACCAAGTGTCGAAAGACTGGAGTGTTGGGGAGTATGTGAGTGGTAAAAAAAATATATTTGTTACTAAAATACGTACCAAACGTGCCATGTTTACGACTATGTAGGCCTTGTTTTTACATTCTGAGAGAACAAGACAGAATTCGCGTCAAGTTCTTCGTTGTACTCCAGAATGTTAATGAAAGCTGGAGCACGACTGTGATTGTAGCCGACAAGGTAGCGACGATGGAAACCCAAATACAACACTTTCCCAAATGGAATACGCGCTACAAGCATTGTCACATCATGTGACTATGTCGGCGGCCGGAGCGAAGATAATAACCAGGATTACCAATGTTGATACTATTGTTGGACAATAGGTGCAATTGGTCTGGGGAGAAGTTGAATAACTCACCACTCGTTGAGCTTGTTGGAACTTGACTAGTAGATATAATTTTAAGTTTTCTATGTAGAAAAATAAGCAAGAACTTAAAGCATTGGAGCAGTGGAACAAAACTGAAAAGATGACACATGTTTTGGAATGGTTCTGCAATTTCTGGTCACACTGGTCACAACAGCACTCACAGACCAAATCAGGCAGAGCTTACCAGTTAAATTCCACAGGTCATACCAAGTCCTGACGCTGGTGGTATGTGTGGTACATGTTGGGCAGTGGATACAAAGCTATATAACAATAACAAATGTCTGGCCAAGTTCTTGAGGAAAGGCAATGGATCAGAGTATTGAGATTGAAGAGTTTCTGTATAGGTGCAAATCCAAACTACTATTAAACTAAGAAATAATACATGGAGTATCTACTCCTTATATAGTAAACAACAGAGTGTTACAATTAACATACCAGCACCCTACTTACGCTTCACTTTTGTACTTCTACTTTTATTTTCCAAGTCACATGACCAGTCATGTGACACATCACCTGACCAGTGTCTAGACTCATCATGTGACCGGTCACATGCTAAACATCAGACTTTGAACTTTATTTACAACTGTACAGTACCTCATGTATTTTAGTATATATACAAGAGTAATACAGGGGGAAGGACTCAGCGAGTCCTCCTGTTGTCTAGCACAACTAACTCACTGCAGCCTAAGGGGTAACCACTCCCCATCATCTTCTTTATAGTGTGTTCCTGTGTGCGCCAGAGTAAATAACTCTTGGTTGTTACACAGAGGTCAGATCAAAAGGAGAAAAGAATAAAAGAGTGGTCCAACCAAACAGTTAACCAATAAGAAAAAGGAAGAAATGGTATGATCTATCATAATTACTAATTGTGTAGGAGAAGTCTTTAGTAAGGGATATACAATTGGCTGGATCAGTGAGCCCATGAGAAGGTGCTGGATCACAGTCCATGTCACTGATTAATCTCTCACCGAAGTATTCCCGTGCATAGCTCTTGATCAGCACTATGCTATTGGGATATCTTCTCAGGGGTTGGAGAGCCACAACATGGCAGGAATGCAATAGAAAAAATGATTCCTTACAGTATGTACTGAAGGAAAGCTAGCAGTCCTTGATTGAGTATTTTGGTGTGTGATTGCCTGTTTTGGTCACCTAGTCACTGTTACGATAACACAATTTTCGGACCTTTAAATTTCATTCTCCTCTTCAACTTTCTTCTGTAGTTTTCACACACTGTGCCATGCGGCACTTTCCCTTTTGTTCAAACTTCACCTTCTCACGCTGCACTGCCTTTCTTTATTTTTAGATACAAGTATCTCACGCAGTGGAGCTGGTCACACGGGCTGTGCCCTATGAGATTATCAGCCACTGCCTCCATCAACTGTATAGTACATATGTACAAACAACCTGTAGTAGTATATACCTCAATAAATGAAGGAGACTCCTCAGCAAGTCCTCCTGTTATATACCCACAACCAAGTCGGTCCTACCCCAACGCACTTCCTCCCAACGCTTGTTTGAGTTATGCACCAGAGTAACTAAACTCTTGGTTGTTACATTAGGACTTGCTCTTTACTACTCTCTTGCACTTTGTGCAAACCCAGTCCCCAGGGTTAAGGGGTTATTATTTTGGGATATCCTGTATAGCAGAAGGGTGTAAAACCTCTATCCCCTATACCGAGTTAACGGAGGGATAAAAGCTCAAATCAAACAAGTAGCGTTTCAAGTAGCGATTGAGAATTAATCAACAACTGAGGAAAATATGTACATGATGGTCTACTATATATATGTTTCTGAAAGTCAGCCATGAGGCGCTGACTGATGTTCTTTGTAATGATTCTAGACTTATGTCACGTGATGGTCACATGATCTGATATAACTACGTATTTATGTTATCCGCGCTAAAGCAGCAGCTTAACATATCTTATCTGTCATGTGATCAGATATCGAAGAAAATGAAAAAGGAAATTAGCGCTCAAACTAGCGCTTCTGGTTCAAGTCGTGACAAAGGGTGCGCTCCTAGCGATGGCCCTGTAGTGCTCAGGGAGAAGAGACAATTAACTATACACGGCCCCTCAGTGTTAAGGGGAGTACTTTAGCTCAATGATAGTGTGGAACTATTGTTTATTAGTTTTAGAATACAAAAATTTCTCTTTTGGATTCTAAAACTAAACACTGGTCATGTGACTATGAAAAGTCCGAAAATGTAAAGTAAAGTAAATGATCACATGATCAGTCATGTGACTTGGAAAAATGAAAAGTAAAAGTACAAAAAGTGAAGCGTAAGTAGGTGCTGGTATGTCAATTGTAGCAGTCGCAACCCCAACAACAGGACATGAACACTCTGTTGCGCAACATGCGTGCACAGATTCTGTCCTTGACAACTCAGCTCGACAAAATTCAGGCTGCCCCAGCAGCTGGACACATGGTTGAGTGGAAGTTCAACAAGAAAGTCAAGATCGTCGCTGACCCCGGCGCTTTTGAAGGAGACTGAGCAAGATTTGTCAAATGGTGGATCAAACTCCAAATTTGGATCAAGGCAAACTGGGACGCATTCACTGATGATTTTGAGATAGCCACTGTAGCGCTATTGTTACGATAACACATTTTTGGACCTTCAATTTTCATTCTCCTCTTTAACCTTTTACTGTAGTTTTCACACTCCGTGCCATGTGGCACTTTCCCTTTTGTTCAAACTCCTCTTTCTCGCACAGCGCTGCCTTTATTCTTATACTAGCTACAAGTCTCTCACGCAGTGGAGCTAGTCACACGGGCTATGCCCATGACATTATCAGCCATTGCCTTCATCAACTGTATAGTACATATGTACAAACAAACCTGTAGTAGTATATATACCCCAATAGATCAAAGGAGACTCCTCAGCGAGTCCTCCTGTTGTATCCTCGCAACTAACTTGTTGAAGCCTAAAGGGTAAATGTTCCCTCATCATTATCTCTATAGTTGGTTCTAGTTGTGCACCAGAGTAACAAACTCTTGGTTGTTACAGCTATCACGACTAAAGGGACCTGTAGCAGGTCAATACGCCCAAGTTAGACTCCAGGAATGTTACACGGTGGGTGTGTGGCCAACCTGGGACAATCTCAAAGTAGAGATTGAAAAATACTTCAAACCGCAAGCTGAGCGTGACTGGGCGCGTCAGCAAATCCGTTCCTTCAAACAAGGAAATATGAGGAGGGATGATTATGTTACCCGGTTCCTGGCCCTCTCCATCCAAGGAGGGCTTGGAAATGAACACGCAGTAAAACTGCTGGAACACAATGTGAACCCTCGCATTGCAGAACAGATTTATCTGCAAGATACGAGAAACCAGAATTTGGCCCTGGTGACTGAGGAAGTACAACGAGTTGGTAGAGCCATGGAGCTCTACGCTATGCACCAAGGTGGCGGGTCCACCTGTTAGTTTTGGTGATTCTGCACCTTTGTGCTACCTATATATTTTCATTCCTTTCTCTATCTATTCTTCTATCATTCACTATTGATTGTGTTCTCTATTATTTTGCCTTTGTGGCTGCTTTGTTTACCTTTGTTTACAAAACTTCGGACAGTACTGCAGAGTCCAATGCTTCCTATTCTCTAGTTACTCACATTGAACTCTAGGTACTGTATACCTGTCATACTCTCTAATAATAAAGTTACTCACATTGGACTCTAGTTCCAGTCCCTGATTGCTCTCAGCAAGTGGCTAGACACTTCCTTCAAGCTTTGTTCTTAATACCACCACCAAAAATAATCATTCCCAGAGGAGCCCTGGATCATCAAACCAAAAACAACATCACTCTCATGGGTTCCAACCATTCGGGTTGCAACCGGGTGCTCCAATGGATATTGGCGCGAACCAAAGTGGACAAAAGCACAGATTCACCTGCTTCAGCTGTGGGCAGGAGGGGCACATGGCCCAAGATTGTACAAACAGAGCACGGGCTGCTCAACAAAAAAATAATAACCAAGGGCGCCAGGCGCACCAACTAGAAACTGAAAAACCGGACAATCAGCTCCAGACTCTGGCCGGTCATTCATACGACGACATCTGGGCTTTTTTCTATGACCAAGAGGTCAATGAAATGAAAGCTCAGGGAAAAGAGTTTGGAGCTTAGGTTACTTGGGTGCCTTCGCTCCTCGGAACAATGAAGTAAACCACAACAAAGTAGCCCCTGCTCCGGGGTGTTGCACAAGCAATAATGGAAAGGAGGGGATGGCTCCCCAATTTGTAAATAGATTTCTAAATTTGTTACCTGAAGTATGTACTTGTATGTGTAGTTGTGACTGTGGATTTGCCCTGGACCCATCTGATGATATAGCTGCTTTGAGCACTGATTCAGTGGGTCAGGATGATGAAGGAGTTAATACTAGAAATACTTACAATACCACCGCTGTACCAGTGTCTCCTCTGGAGTGTGGTCCCAGCGAGACAAACACTAGGGTGCTTGATTCTGGTAAAAATAAAGTAGAAAAACATGTTGCTTTCAATACCTTTCAATACCTCTTCTTCTTCTTTGGAGCCACCCTTTCCCGGAATCCCAAGGTGTGTGTTGATGTGCACATATTCATTCCAAGAAGAGATCTGTTTAGACATTGGCGTGGAAAACCTTGCCCGAGGCACAGTACACTCAACTAGCGCACTGCTTGATTCAGGCGCTAACAGAATCTTCATAGATCAGGTCTGGGCGGAGCAAGTTGGACTCCCCCTTGTAAAATTAGATGTATCTATTCCTGTCTATAGTGTTGACAGTACACTTAACGCGGGTGGCTGTATTACACACAAATGTTCTTTTGTTGTTGAGTACCAAGGACACAGAGAACGAGTCACCGCCAAAGCTACCCAACTAGGGAAGATTAATTTAATCTTAGGCTGGACCTGGCTATTTAAACATAATCCTGAGATAGACTGGCAGACAGGGGTTGTCGCATTGTCACATTGTCCTCAGGAATGTGAAAACTTGGGTAAACCGAGTTGCGTCCGTCAAACTGAGCGTCTTGAAAAGATAAACGCTGGTCACATTTATGAGCTCAGATCTTTAGAAAAGATTGACAATGGCAATGACGAGGTAAAACCAGAGGAAGAGATTAAGAGGCTGGTACCTCCCGAGTACCATGACTTCTGGAAAGTCTTTTCTAAACATAAGTCAGAGCGCTTCCCAGAGGCTAAGCCTTGGGACCATGCTATAGATTTGAAGGACACCTTCAAACCAAGGAAAGGACACATGATACCTCTCTCTGCTCCAGAAAGAGATGAAGTATCAAGTTTCATAGATGAACAGCTTAGGAAGGGTTACATCAGACCTTCCAAAAGCCCTATGATGTTCCCGGTGCTCTTCATTCCTAAAAAAGATGGTAAGAAGTGTATGATTATGGACTATTATTACTTGAATGAGTACACGGTTAAAAATGCGTATCCGCTGCCTTTGATTAGCCAGCTAGTAGACAAGTTGGCTGGTGCCAAGATCTTAACAAAGATGGATCTCAGATGGGGGTACAATAATGTACAAATCAAAGAAGAAGATGCTTGGAAGGCCGCGTTCACGTGCCACTGAGGACCCTTTGAACCACTTGTTATGTTCTTTGGGTTGACCAATTCACTGGCAACCTTCCAGAACATGATGAACAGGATCTTTGCGGAAATGGAAAACTGTGTTGTCATTTACATTGACAATTTATTAATATTTACAAAGTCGAACGAAGAGGCTGAACATGACAGGATTGTGCAAGAAGTCCTTCAATGCTTACAGGAACGGGACTTTCTTGTCAAACCCAAAAAATGTAACTTTAAAGTGAAGGAAGTAGAATTCCTCAGTATGATAATTGGCCAGAATGGAGTCAGGATCCATCCTGAGAAAGTTCAAGCTATACTGGATTGGCCTGAACCTACTTGTGTCAAAGGAGTTAGGGCCTTCCTTGGCTTAGGCAACTTCTACTGAAGGTTTGTTGAAAATTTTGCAAAGATAATGAGGCTGTTGAATGATCTCACTAAAAAGGACATTGTTTGGCACTGGGGTGCTAAAGAACAAGAAGCTTTTGATAAGCTTAAACAGGCATTTACAACAGTGCCCATATTAGCATTTACAGAGTTAGACAAGGAGTTCCGGCTAGAAACCAACTCTTCTGATTTTGCTACTGGGGCTGTTTTATCAATTAAATGCCCTGACAATCTTTGGAGGCCTTGCGCCTATTTACTGCATAGTTTGTCGCCTACAGAGCGCAACTATCAAATTTACGATAAGGAGATGCTGGCTATTATTTGCGCTTTAGAGCACTGGCGGCACTACTTAGAAGGTGCTAGGCACCAATTTGAAATTTGGACCAATCATAAGAATCTGGAGTATTTTATGACGGCCCGAGACCTGAACCGGAGACAGGCCCATTATGCAGTGTACTTGTCGAGGTTTAATTATAAACTAATTCATAAGCCTGGAACTTTGATGGGGAAAGTATCACAACACAATGGGATCCGCACCCGTGTACAGTGATTCTGGACCTTCTGGGCATGCAACCAATCAGTATGCTTTCCAAGTACACCTTGGTAGCTTAGTTGGTAAAGCACCAGACCATGAAAGCTGGAGTCCCAGGTTCAAGCCCTGGCCAATGCATATTTTCTCATACTATAAACAAATGTCATAATTTGTCAGAAAGCAGATGCTTTGTCCAGAAGAGAGGATCATGCCAACGGCATAGAAGATGACAACAAAGGTGTCACCTTGATAGACCAATCAAGGGTTGCCAATGTTAGAATCAGGCAGGATTCTGATCTTCTGGAAATCTTTAAGAAAGACATCTCCTCAGAAGAGAAGGCGCGCCTTGACAGCAATGAGAACTATTTATGGGAAGATGGGCTCTTCTGTTTTAAAGACAAAATCTTTGTGCCTGAGTCCGCAAGGATTAAGGCAATAGATAGACATCACAACACTCCAGTGGCTGGGCACCCTGGGCGGCAATGAACCATGGAGTTGATCTCCAGAAACTACATGTGACCTGGCATGGTCAAAGACGTACAGGAGTATGTAAAATCCTGTCTAAGATGTGCCATGGCAAAGAACTCTCATCAACCACCGGCCGGTAAACTTATGCCAAATCCAATACCAGCAGGTCCCTGGCAGGATATATTGGTTGACTTCACGACAGATCTACCTGAGGCAAACAGGTACAATTCAGTAATGGTGGTAGTAGATCGCTTCTCCAAAGAAGTAGTATTTATTCCCACCAATAAAACCATTACCGCTGCTGGCATGGCAGATTTATTTAAAGATTTTGTATGGTCTATCCATGGATTGCCAGAAACAGTTATTTCCGATAGGGGACCTCAATTCACTAGCAAATTTACGAAAGAGTTATGCCGGATGCTGGGCATCAAACCTAAGTTATCAACAGCGTTCCATCCGCAGACTGATGGACAAACGGAGAGACTCAACCAGGAGTTGAAACAATATCTCCGGATATTTATTAATGACAGACAGACAGATTGGGCCAAGTGGCTAAAGATAGCCCAGTTCTCATACAATATTAAGCAGTTGTTGGCTACAGGAAAGGCACCATCCGAGGTGATGAGATCATACCTCCCCAGAATGGGTGTAGAACCTGGAAAGAGCAAGAACAAGGCTGCTGGGAACATGGCCAAGGACATGAAGTCCGTCTTAGACAAAACGCGCAAGACGCTACTCAAAACTGCAGAGCAGATGAAAAACAGGGCAGAGCGTAGACGCTCTAAGGCCCCTGACTACAAGGTCAGCAACCTGGTCTGGTTAGATACCAACCACTTAAAGTTAAAAGATTGGCAGTCTAGAAAACTGACCGAAAAGTGGATTGGCCCTTACCGGATTAAGGAAGTCAAACCCAATGCAGTGGAGCTGGAACTCCCAAAATGAATGAAGGTAGTACCCACGGTCAATATTAGCCGTGTGAAACCTTTCAAAGGACTGCTGCCGGGACAGCGCGTAGACCGGCCCGGACTGGTTGTAGTCACCCAGGAAGGTGAAGAAGAGTTCAAAGTTGAACAAGTGGTGGACGCACACTTGAAGCGTGGAAAATTAGAATTCCTAGTCCTGTGGAAGGGCTATGGAGACGAGGATAGAACATGGGAACCAGAAGCCCATCTGGACAATTCCCGCAATACTGTTTGCAAATTTTATTCTAAGAATCCCTCAGCTCCTAGGAAGCTTAGAGGCATGGATTCTAAACTTTTATATTTCCTTTTTCAACCTATGCCCAAAATTTTGACTACTACCTCCGGTATTTGGTCTCGCCTGGAAGTCGGGCCTTAGAGGGGGGGTAGTGTTACAATAACACAATTTTTGGACTTTTTCTTTAATTTTCATTCTCCACTGTAACCTTTTACTGTAGTTTTCACACTCTGTGCCATGTAGCACTTTCCCTTTGTTCAAACTCCACTTTCTCGCGCTGCACTACGTTTCTTCTTATTTTAGATACAACTCTCTCATGCAGTAGAGCTGGTCATACGGGCTAGGCCCTATGACATTATCAGCCACTGCCTCCAGCAACTGTAAAGTACATACGTACAAACAAACCTGTAACAGTATATAAACCCCAATAAATCAAGGAGACTCCTCAGCGAGTCCTCCTGTTGTATCCTCACAACTAACTTGTTGACACCTAAAGGGTGATCCCTGTTTTATCTCTCTACTCTTTGCTTGTTCTAGTTTTGCGCCAGAGTAACTAACTCTTAGTTGTTACACTTCAAGCTTCAGGGCTAAATTTCAGGGTTCATGACCAAGAATATCTGTGCTAAATTGTTCTGCTTTTTCAGAAAAAAAAACCTTCGGCTCTACATAATCTTCTACACCCCCCCAAACAGCAACATAGAAGCCCTCCATCCCTGTTTGAGTACAAAGTGCTGTCCACTTCCATGTAATGTTAGTAAATTCACATAGACAAAGTGATTTTGTCCACTTTACCTCTTGATCCATTGCAATGAATGTAGCATTAACATTATGTAATAGAGCTTTTGGGTTGGCCCTAATAATGGTCAATTTTTTTTGGCGAGCTTTGACTGCCTTGAGCTCAAGCTGCTGCCGGTCAGCTAATAAAAGTTGCTGATAGACCTTCAATAGGTCATCCTTGCGGATCCTTATAAAGTCTAGGAGGC